GGACCTGACCTGACCTAAAAGTCAGGGACCTGACCTGACCTAAAAGTCAGGGACCTGACCTGACCTAAAAGTCAGGGCTGTTGTATTATATAATCAGTCAACATTGATTCAATTGACTAATCAACCCCTGGCACCGCAGACAACTGGCTATACCAACTGCAGTTCAATTAAGCTGTAGGTTTAATCGCACTTCAATTAGATTATAGGTCAACAGTTGATCAACGGTTGTTTAGTCAGACTGCAGGTCTAACTGTAGAACAACCTTTGTTCAATCAGGTCAATTGACTTTAGCTGGTCAAAGGCCGTTCTTACGTAAGCATGCCCCTTAGAGCGTCTACCCCACTAAAAGGAGATGCACCCAATCAACGGTCGTATAAAGTGATTTGCCAAGAATTCGTTGAATTTGGCCCACTAAAAGGAGCGATGCACCCAATCAACGGTTATATAAGGTGACTTGCCAAGAATTTGTCGATTCAGGCCCACTAGTCCACCCCCTACAGCCAATCAACGCTTGTACGAAAGGATTTGCCAAGACTTTGTCAAATTAGGTCAGCTGACTTACCAAGATTTTGCCAAAATCTGGATTACATAAGCCGGATTTGGACCGGATATACCAAAAGTCCCACTAAATCAAAGGTTTGAGCCAATCAGACCTCTCCGATAAGCCGCTATCTCAAAACTGCTTATTTGAGTAATTTTTCGAACCACTTCCCAAAGGAAAGAAAAAAATCAACGCCACAATAACCCTTCGTAAACTCAGGGCAAAAAAAGCCCACACCCGTTCGCTCAAACGTTAAACAATACAATAATAATAATAATAATAACAATAACAAATAAGCCACTGCCTGCTTAATTGCTAATGGGAGGTACCAAAACTCATTCACGAGCTCATTTGCTTCTGATTCATCGTAACGCGATGACTTATGATCAAACAACTTGTCAAAGAACCTAACAGCTTCCTGCTGATCCATTTCTGTTATCTCAATTATATTTTTCTCTGCGCACGATTGAGCTACCTTTCGAAAACGTGTGGTAAATAGGGTAACGACGTTGTCGCTTCTTGGGAGGTATTGATTGATTCCCGCTGATTTGCCAGGAGAGCCGAAAAGCAGCCCGGTGTCGTCCGCGTTATCTATGATCAGAAGCCATTTGCTGGATTGGTCTGAGCTGAGATGATCTCGTACTGCATCTCTAATGTCTTCGTTGTCAGATGTCTTTTGAATGCCAAGCTTCTTCGCTATTTCTCCGTAAGCCTGTTCGAAGCTTGCATCGCTCACTGCGGGCACCCAGAGGACGGAATACTCTGGCTTTTTCTCCTTCACCCAATATGCGAATTGCAGGGCGAATTGTGTTTGGCCGATGCCGCTCAGTCCGACGAGGGCTACTTTCGAACATTGCTCCTTAAATAACTTCTGCTTTATCTCATCGAGTTTTGAGCTTCGTCCGGTGAACCGTTCATTCTTAGGAAAAGGGACATGGAAGCAGGCCCGAACTATGAAGGGTTAGATTGAGTATAAGAACAGCGATGATCTTGTTATACTAACTATGGTAGCCCTCAATGGACCCCGATGGCACCTCTGACTGACTTTCATGGCTGGTAACAATACCCTTAACACATCGATCGACCAACTGATGGTTGTTGTGCCGGCCAAGCCGAATAGGCTTGAAAAACGTCGTAGCAGCGGAGGTCGCGTGCCGAACTCTCAGAGCGAAGCGAGGTCTGATCCATGCAGAAATGCTAGGTATTGATCTTAAAGTAGTCGCAGTTTGTTGCATGCCGAGAGCCTGTAATATGCTCAAAGCCAGTCTGATATCGAAGGCTTGCGTAGCACGGACAGATTTAGAGGTGCTCTTGATACTATTAAATTCTGATATAGCGTGTTCAGCTTGGCTAGGATCGGATACATGGGGATATCGACTGATCGGTAATGACGTAGATGTCGAGAGAGCTTCCCAAAGATATCCTATGCGTTTCAGCGTATCCGGGTCCTTCTCAAGAGTTAGTAATACGGATATATACCGTCAACCACGTGCCTAGGAATGTCGTTCTACATACCACTTCTTGACTGATTGGCTCCATTTCTTGAAAGAATTCCCTCGAGGCCGCCAAGAATCTCATGAACTCATTAGAAGCTAACCAAGACGTAGGAAAGTAATTATGTCCAATTCTGGACTGAGATTGGTCCTTCGGGTCGTCTGGAAACGTTTTCGTTTCGATAGCTCTGAGAGTTTGCATATAATGGTCGGCCGATTTAGCCAGTAGTGGCATTGGTTCTGGAAGTGAAACCTCAAGTTCTGGGAAGAAATTTTCGATCTGCTTCAACGTGAGAGATAAGGGGCTGACGTATATTTCCCCTAGCGGATTTGAGCCGATGACATGCCCGTAGATGGCATATGTATGTGCATCGACAACTAAAGAACCAGAGTTGCCGCGTACTAGCCCTATGCAATTATGAGTCTGGGAATAAAAGATGAACTTTCATCTATACACTTACCCTTCGAGTTTTCCAAGATAAGGCTTCCCAAACGGGAAGGTCTATCATCATTGATGCCTCCTAGTACGGACCATGATGGTTGAAGAACACCGGAATGAATTGTTCGAGGCGATGAAATAAGCAATACTTCAGTTTCGTGGTCGGGAAATCTGGCCGCTTCCGGTGACATGAAAGTCGGCTTCCCCATATTCGAAGGATTGAGAAATGCATTAGGTCGCCGGTGTATTGGTCTATCCAGCGGAATGAGTGCCCAATCCAGATCTAGCTCCTCGTGGAGCGTATCACTCTGTTCGGATGAAGGGCATAGAGCAATTTTTTTAATACTATGTTCTCCTTCATCTTCCGTCTTTGTCTCTTGCGGCTCGACGCGAGGATCCTGAGTGAATATGGAGTCACTATCTTGATACCAATATTCATCCCCTTGATTATTGGTCAACTCTTCGTATACTACATCATCATCAAACTCCAGCAAGTCATCTTCTTCTAGCTCGTCAGCTCCAAGCGGGTTTGTACCAATCTCTAATGTGTAGAGCTTCTCGGCGCTATATGGGAGTGATATAGGCTTCTCGGTATCAGGCTGATTAGGTATTCTCTCCAGTCCGCTTTTCCCGGCACCAGCGATCCTTATAAAAGACTTATGGCGGTCTCGGATGCTGTGACACGCCGTCAAACCGTAGTAACGCAGTCCCACTTGGATCACGCAACCCATTGTCGACGTTTGGGACTCTCCTGGGGACTGGTAGATTGGGAAGCCGCTCATCGTTAGCCAAGAATCATCTGTGGGATTTCTGGGCCAATTGATAGGATTTCCTCTCCCAAAATGAATGTCAGCTTCCTCGACTCCTAGTAGAACTCTAGGTATCAGAGCACGCCAGAAGTATAACTTGAAGTATGGTCTATATGTGTCTTGTCTGGACTCATAACTTGTTTGTGATTGCCAAAAATGCTCTCGGGTCGACTTGCTAACGCAATATTGAACCTTGAGAAACTTTCGGCTGAGTAAATGTTGAAGAGGCTGGTATGCGTCCGGACGACAAAAGACTAAGATAGATGGACAAGCCTGTCTCTCTGATGGGCCACAGAATCTTAAGCTGTAGTCTATATCCCTTACATGCCGGCGTAGTCTTGGGTCATCTCGGGTGTTCTGGCGGAATAAAGTGACTATTTCACCAAATCTATCGTTATAGTCTCGCGGAATTCTCGAGGTACTGTGAGGATAAACCATTATTGGTGGCGAGACGTTTGGAACCGACAGGGGGTCACGGAACGGATCGTCGCTATTACCATAAGTCCCTCTAGTATTTCCAGCATCCACATTATTCGAGGCAGTGGAATTTGATGCAACATCAATATTCAATTCCTCTGTGTTGTTTGGACGCTCTAGGCTCTTTGTGACTTTGGTGACTGAGCATGATTCGTCGAATGCCGCATTACGTTCGGATATCTGATCGTATTTTTCTTGAGTTTCAGTATATTTCGAATTAACAGCGTGATGTTGGCTTTCGTGTATCAAATTCGTGGAATCATTGCTAGCTTGCAAGAGTGTTATCGACAGTACCGATGACATCCTTTTGAGGCAGGAGTCAGCAAGGCTAGCAACTGCGACTAAAATCTGATGGTGAATCTGGTTATGCATTCTGCGTTGAAGTAGCTGGGATAGTTTTACTATACCTACCTAGTTACCAACCTGAAGATAGGCAGGTAACTAGAACCTAGCTAGAAACATAAGAATAAGAACAATCCAAACTAAACGCAGTTTGAACTATTGCCATAGCCGCATTATCTAGTAAGTATATTTCGATGGACAAGCGGGGTTCTTCCAGGACATTGATGTAACGATGCATATTGCCATCCATGGTGGTGGCTGAGCTTGTAACTACCTAGGTACCTAGGTAAACAGCTCTCCACTCAAAGGCTTTCGCGACAGCCACATCGAGTCGTACTTTTGTCAAGCAAGGCTCTACACTTAAGGAACAAATTGCGTTTTTACTCCGCTCCTCAATATTTGCGAAGCAGATCAAGGCCTTACACTTCCAATCCCGCTTATCATGTACATATTCTAATGAACCACTACTCAGAGTAGTAATACGTGAGTAATCGACATTTTACAATATCAACATACATTTCTATTGATTTTAAATCCATATACTTACCTAGGTAGGCACAATGTATTATCCAACCGAAAATGAGAAGAACGAGATAGTAAAGCAGCTCCTAGCTGCTCCGTCGGATTCCCATGCAGCCTATCCTTCCTTCGAAGCATATCTTAATCATTACATATCGATAGTGTGCGGCGGTGTTAAAGTTGACTTTCCGTCTCTCCAAAGTCACGATGATGTGTTACAATGTGTCAAATCACTATATGAACAATATTCCTTATCACGAAACGACATTACAAGAAGTTGGTTCCCTGGTCGTGGAAGCGTTCCGGCGGAAAGGGAACACATATTAAGAATTGTTGTCAATGTTGCGTTTATGATTGATATCAATGAGAAAGACTACTACCCGGAGCTATTCAACAGCGAAGGCCCGCATCGGGCAAAATGGGAAAAGGACCAGGCCTTTGTGGACTTTCTCGAGAAGTCATTTCTTCCGCTTCAACGGGGCGCTGCCACGAACGTAAATCTAGGCAACAAAAAATCTCTCAAGGCATGGAAACTGACTAGAAGATATGGCATTACGATAATGGCCACCGATAATCTCCTTGAGCATCTCCTATATAATCCAAAGGAACATACTCTTAGGATCTTCCACCATATATCATATCTACGCTCACATTTGAAGCACTCAAAAGATATGGATTTGGAGCTAGACTTTTCGCAAAGTTTAGGCCTGTATGTTAACCTTTTCCAAACTCTGATCAGCAGAACTGAAATTATTTAGAAAGACTTTACCTCCACGGCTCCTATTCGAAACGTTGCTTTCTTTGCAAATGATACTGTTCCCCATTGCTGTTTCTAGTTACAAACCGTCCAAGGTGCTATTGAAGAAATGCATCAAAGAGCAAAGATTTGATAAGGAGTTGCTGTTTTTCGAAACAGTTCGTGAAATTCCTCCCGATTTCACCTTCAAGTACTGGGCAGAGAGAATAGAAAGGCTCCAAGAAATTACAGAACGACCACCTCCAAGGGGCGCAGTATTATCTTGGCTAGAGAGACATACTTCAGAGAGAAATGCCTTGACTATTGCTATCGTGGGGCTTTTCCTTTCTGCCTTTTTTGGCTTTCTTGGGGTCATCATAGGAGCACTCCAACTAGCCTTAGCGTGGCTTGCATGGAAATACCCTACTAGTTAATGTGAACCATCTATTCGAATACTATCCCATGTGCGTTTTATTAATAAATCTCGTTGAAGCGTAAAGTTGCATTTTACATATGGTTTACCCTCCTTTGTCCACACACTCTTTTCTGTCAATCCGCTTAATTATTCATCGGATTCTAATCCCTGTGTTGGCCAACCACCTTATGGTAAATATTCATATGGCAATTTCCCATACTTTCGGCGACGCATCATGTTCTCTCGATTCCGCCCATGAGACATTCTTGCAGAGCCACCGCTACCGCATTGCCACTCGTTTGAAGTTGTGATAATCTAGTCTATTAAGAATGTGATTATGTATTAGTAAGTAATGACCTAATTTATTCGTTTTACCTTTAATCCAGGAACATTTATCTCTTTAACTGGCAGTTGTTAACATGCATGGATTAGGAGATAAAATACACCACGGCACCCACAAAAGCTCGGTTTAGGAACTGTTGGTACAAAAGATATAAGACAAAATGGGTGCGAAACCATGTACCGTTTATATTCTACCCTGGGTCTGATCACGTGAAGCTGTGGTGTATTTTGTCTCCTAATCCATGCATGTTAATAACTGCCAGTTAAAGAAATAGTGTGGAGTACGGCCTTTAATTCCTACTACGCGACTTATTATATTAATCGCGGGATTGTTTTCAAAGGATTAAATTTATTAACAAGAATTTAACTGTTTATACCTAAAGATAAATTGTTCTTTAAATACATTCTTGTTTTAGAGTGAGTAACAAAATTTGACAGACCACCTGGGCTTGGATTACTAGATTTGGTTGTGGACACGTGACGACAAAGCTTCTTGTTCACTTATTTGACACAGCTTTACTCTCCAAGTAAATACTCAGAGTACAGACCTGGATTCAAGTAGCTTATTAAGCTGTTAAATCTGGGTCTATACGGTAGGATAATAATTAATAGGTCAAGTGCCACCTGTTTTATTAATTAAAACATTACCTAATGTGTGATAGAACGTAAGTAGTTAATTCGTTCCTCTATATACTTCACACACTGTTGGGATATCGATTATTTAAAGTAGTCACGTGGATGGATTGGCCATAAAGTGGCCAATTGTGTAGGTAGGTAGCTAGCTTATTCGTACACACTTAACAAGAACAACACCAAGAATCATCGCGTATCTTATTGTTTTACCTTTGCTGGGCAGCAACCCACCCATGGCCATACCAACACACACACCTAGATTGAGGAGGCTTGGGTTTGGATGCAAACATATGATGAAGAGTAATTGCTTTGAATGCAAGTCCTATTATTTATTATAACCGATGCTGCTACCAGAATGTGTAAATATTTGGTTTGAAGGGTTCGAGAATGTGAACTGTTTTGAATAAACTCAGATTAAATATAAGATAAAAAGGTATCGTACGAGAATGTAGAGAAAAAGGATGATCAGAGACAAAAAAAAAGTTTGGTCATCCCACCTCCAGTATGGAAGACATTCCAAACGAATTCTAAGGCCGAACTGCGGACCGGTGGTCAGACGCCATTAGCCTACATGTCGCGGTCCATAGGCAACTCCCAAGTCGCATATGGGCCCCCAGTTGTAGAAGAGGCGACCTTAGAAGTCGAGAGAAAAGCCCCCAAAGGGATTCGAACCCTTAGCATTTTCGATATCAAGTTGCCCTGAAACCGAACAGTCGGTGTTATGACCATTACACCAACAACCCTTGAAGTGACAGGTGCCTAATTCTGATATATATACTTGACAACTCAGCTCAATTTCGTCCATCTCCATGGTAACCAATGACTTACTATTCACCATCAAAGGAGTACGGGCCAGGTATCTTGACATAAATTCTACGATATCGCCTTACCCAATACCCTAGGTAGGTAGACCTACAGCTTTCCATCAGTACCTACCTCTACATACCACTACACTATCACTACCTGCAGAACTAGCAAAACACCCATAAAAGTATTTCCCGTCTCAAATGCCTTGGACGGTACATTTCTCTAACACACATCTTATTCATGATTCTTTTACCGCTTGTTTTATTACACCCATAAGCATTATTAGTCGACATTATTCTCCCGAACCATCAGACCTTCTCTACAACATCATGCCACGCAAGCAACTATCTCTCCAGAAACTTTTTCATAGGGGTTTCCACGGCGGTCTTCGTTGGCAGACACAGGCTAAGGATGTTTACGATGAACGGTTGGGACGCGAAGTAAAGAAGCACCGCTTCCTCCTTCATCATCCGCACTCCATCCATCTCGCCAAGGTATTGGCGAGGGAGCTCAAGACGACCAACCCGACCGTCGTCAGCCTGGCTCTTTCGCATGTTTACGAATTTGCCGCCGAAAAAGTCGAATTCTGCGCCGAGTTGGAGCCGCAGGAATTCTTCGCTCGGGCGAAGAATTCCTTTCCCTGGTCGAGCAAGATCAACGACCTAGCATTTTGGGCGTTCACCTACAAGGCGTTCCACGCCCGCGCCATCTTCCTGAACGTGATTCTGCGCCCAGACGAAGAGCCCCCCGTCGGGCAGCCCCTGTCCCAGGCCCTCGACCGATTCCTGGACGCGTTCTTGCTGCGATACCCCATCGACCAAGCCGATGTACTCGAAGAGGGCGACAAGATCTGCCAAGAGAATATCGAGCTAGCAGAGGAAGTGGTTAACGTCAACAAGCCCCTATACAACAAGTACTTCCCATACCACCTAACCCATCACGAGGGTCAGGGTGACGGGACAGACAAACTCGTACTCGATACCGAAGAGATCCGGAGAGACGCGTGGGAAACTGGCGCCGCCATCGCGGACCGCTTCAAAGAAATAGCCCTGTCAAAGGTCCCGGACGAAGAGCTCTTTTTCTACGACACGGAATGCCGAAACAGCCACCGTGACGCTTTTCTGGACGAGATCGTTCGCGAGCGAAGCGGACATTCGAATAGCCGGGACTCTACAGAGGGGATGGGAGTCGTGCGAAAGTATGACTCCTTCAAGGAATACAGAGAGCCGGCCCCTGAGGAAGGAGAGGAGGAAGGAGAGAAGGATGTTGCCCTACCTGAAGGACAGCAGGGTGACGAGGATAATGACGATGTGATGAGAGAGGCAGACATGGATGACGAGCTGCCTGAGTCCAAGAGGCTCAAGAAGCTGAAATTGGAGTAAGAGAACTGAGGAGAGGGGGATAATTGTACCGAATTTGGTTTCGATTGGTTCATGCTACCCCCTTTCTCCCTTTTCTCTTCGTTTACCTTTTTCTCGGCTACGTATGTTGTTTGTAGCTATGTCATGAATATTGAATACTATGAATGCACCCTAGTAAGAAGAGTAATTACCTACTTTCCTAAATCAATCCGCCTCCTTTACCGAGTCAAGTGCTACGAAAAGAAGCGATTATAATTGCATGGATTTGGAAACCGTACCTAAAGGGCTGGCAGCGATCGTCGAATGACACCAATCATTACCTACGTTGTTATGGATTTCCTATCTAACGGTAAACTTCTCCGAACCATCGACCCTCTCGGAACCTCCTCTGCCATAAGGTATCCTCCCGGATACGGATTCACCCAACCCCTATTTCCACCTGATGGGACCCACTTGGAACGAAAAGGGGTTAAAACTCAAGCGGAACAGCTGGTGCCACCCGACTGTATCTAGCACCAGCTGGCAAAGTATCGGTGACGCCCAGTGAACAACACATCGCACAAATTTTATTTCCGCTCGCAATTCTTCACTACAACTTCATTAAACGAATAAACGAAAAATCTGATATTTCCACCATCCGCAGCACATCCATAATTAGTCATGTCGTTCTCAAATGCCAAAGTTCTGTCTGTAGAACCGCTTGTGAGTGTCCTGTTCCCGCCTAACCGAATTGGGCGTGTACCTATGTGATCTTCTAACAATCGGGGTAGAAGAACAGCGACGCTGAGTGGGCCAAACTGGTGAAGTAGGCAGCGATGAAACGTTCGCTAGTGAGCTTCAGTTCATTATACTGACAGCGTGCCCCTAGGCTGACTTACACTGATTCGAAGAGTCAGACGCGTACTTGGGAGTCGGCTGAGCGTACTACGAGGCCGAAGAACTGCGACATCGACGGCGTGGGAATTGTAGCCATCTTAGAGAAGCCCACTGGTCCTGAGATTGTGCTTCAGAAACAGGTCAGTAATAGGCACCAATTTACCTTCCTAGGTAGTTATGTCAATCTGTGCCAGATTTGCTTTAGGGCAGCGCGGTACTAGGCTTGCAAATCCAACCCCTATTTCTCCTGCTTTTCTGCGGCCTGTGAATGCCGTCCGAGCTACAGATACTGAATGCTTAATATATATATATTAGTACCGTGCGCCTATCGATAAAGTCACCATCGAGGTCCCGGCAGGCCTCATTGATGAAGGCGAAACTGTTGAGGAAGCTGCCATTCGAGAGCTGAAGGAAGAAACTGGCTATGTAGCCAAGCCTTCTGAGACATCACCCATGATGTTCAATGGTAAATAGTTCCCTCTTATTCCTTTCACCTAATTCACCAAAGCTTCGGGTAGCTACGGGCAGTCGAGAGAAAAACCATTCAGTCATCCCAGAGGGGCCCCAACAAGACACAGAAAGATATCATGTTTAGGCCCCCTCGGATTTTTTATACTTCCTATTCTCATCCAAATTTCCATTGATCTTGCTGACTAAGTCATAGACCCGGGCTTCTGCAACACCAATCTGCGAATGGTCCACGTTACCGTTGACATGAGCCTGCCTGAGAATCAAAATCTCCAGCCAGAGTTAGAAGAGGACGAGTTCATCGAGGTCTTCCTCGTCCCGCTTACCAAGCTATACGAAGAATGCAAGAGGTTCGAAGCAGAGGGTTACGCAATAGACGCGCGAGTGGGCACATTTGCAGAAGGGATAGAATGTGCTAAGCAGTTCAAGCTATGGGTTTAGTAAATCCTTGATTTATAAGCCTTTAGGTGGACCCAGTGCCGAAGGCAGAGGTGTGACGTCGGAACGTTTAACCATTACCGTATTGTTCACATAGATTTCCTGCTGTTCAATACCCATTTCGTAGATTGTACTTATTCGAGGACTATACCTCTAGAGCTAGAAGATGCGGTATCCTGTTTTAGATAGATCTCTTATGTTCACGATCATTGCCGTGGCGAACTAGATAGATTGATAACTAGTCCAATGCATATACTTGAGCCTCAATTATGTTGAATATGACTAATCTACAGTATGTTGATATCTATCTGGGTATGTCAGTAGTGAAAGTTTAGATCAAGAAAGCTTTTCTGAGGTTACATACCTAGGTACTTAGATACTATTCGTTTCGAGAGTATTGATCACTAAACTAATAGATAAAAAATAAATGAGTTCATATACAAGTATCATCAGTAGCTCCCTAGACAGTTATGAAAATAATATTGAAGAAATAAAATGGGTCAGAAACTCAAACGTAAAATATTCACATGTAGGTAGCAATTACATGACAGATCAATGTCGAGAGGCATCTCCAATCTTATTTGCCGCAGTTGATTGTAGCTACTAGGTACAATGAAAATGTTTAGTGATCAAGAAGCTCACCGCTGTTATAATGGTAACCCACCTGAGTATAAGTAATCAATTATCGAGTTAGGGTATAAGCGAACTAATCCTTCTAGCGTCACTAGGTACATGAAGCTGCACGATAAACGAAACTGACAATCCCCTTACACGGTAATTGCTAAGTAACTTAACTAGCTTCATCAATAGTAAGCCTTGTGAAATCAATTTTCCATCGGACGTTGGGAGATGTAATTACTGATGGTGGTGGCACATTGATAGAATAATCAGAAAATACTCCTGAGGCCACATCACAATTCGACTCAATCTCGATATATTCCGTTAGTAATGCAGGTATCCCACGTATCAAGGCATGATAATTCTAATTGAATGACGGTCTAAAAGATATAAGAATAACGACGGGTCAAGAACTAAGAGAAGAAATGGAAGCACTAAACAACATCAACCAATTTAGATCACATAGTCTTATAGCAACATTACATCTACACATTACCAAATAACCATGTCTGCACCTCGCCTTATTGCAGTAGTCGGTGCCACCGGAGCGCAGGGTATCCCGGTCGTACGAGACCTCGTCCAATCCGGGTCCTACAGAGTTCGGGCGCTTACACGGGATGCCTCTAGCGCCCGGTTCCGGGAATTGCAATCCTTCGGGCCCGTGGAGCCCGTCGTCGGCACCTTCGCTTCGGAGGCGGACCTGCGCGCCACCTTCCGCGGCGCCTGGGGCGCGTTCGTTAACATCGACGGCTTCAACTCTGGCGAGAAGGCCGAGATCTTCTGGACCATCCGCGCGTACGAGCTAGCGATCGAGGAGGGCGTGAAGTTTTTCGTACTAGGGAATCTTGATTATATCTACAAGAAGAGCGGTTACAGGCCTGAATTTCAGTAAGCTTTCCTAGGCGCACGAGAGCAATGATCTCTTATGCAATTCCCCCTATTCCCACCTTCAAGCTTCAATCATGCCTTCTTCCCCTCTTTTTCAACTACTTTCAAACGCGCACTAATCACCTACCTAACTCAAAACAGCGCCGGCCACTACGACGGCAAAGGCCGCATCGGGGAATGGATCCTGCAGCAGAACCGGGACAACCAAGCGCGCATGCAAGCGGCGCTCCTCACGACGGGGCCGTACATGGAGATGGCGATCTCGGCGCACACGCCGATGGCGGTCTCGGTCGAAGACGGCGTCGCGGCGACGTGGCGGCTGCCGCTGGGGCACGGCGCCGTGCCCTTCGTCGCCCTCGACGACTGCGGGTACTACGTCAAGTGGCTGTTCGACCACCCGTCGCGGGCCAACGGGCTCGACCTCGAGGTCGCGATCGCGCACGTCTCGCGCGCGGAGCTCGCGCGCGCCTTCGAGCAGGTCACGGGGCACCCGGCGCGCGCCCTGGACGTCGGCTTCGACGAGTATTTCGGCGAGGTGTGGAGCCAGGAGCCCGAGCGCGCCGCGGCGTATAATGCGGATTTGAGCGACCCGGCTACGATGACGGTGCGGGAGAACTTCTCTGCGTTTTGGACTGCGTTCCAGCACTCGGGAGGGAATCAGGGGGTTATAAAGAGGGATTACGGGTTGCTGGATGAGATCCATCCTAACCGTATCAAGAGCGCGGAGGAGTTCTTCAGACGCGAGGAGGAGAAGGGGGTTAAGAAGGGGTTGGGGACGCTTTGGGAGAGGGTACAGCCTGAGAAGATTGGGCACATTTTGAAGATAACGGAGGATAACAGGACGGGGAGATTGTGAGGGTGAATCATGATTACGATGATGTGAACAGGATACTTGAGATTGTTTCGTTAGTTACTAGGTCGCCTTGGAACGAATAGAATTTCTTTTGTAGTTGGAAGTGCTTCTGTCTTTCGACGAATAGGGGTAATTTGTCCTAATCCCTTAAATTTTCGATATTTTATGGGGTTTCGAATCCTAGCGCTGGAACTTGGCGAGATAAGCATAAGTTTTATTCATCAACGGTTTGAATTGATTTTATGGAGTCGATATAAAGTTCGCTTTGTTAAAGTCGGCTTGACGCCGCCTTGAACGAACCCTTTACCGTCGAGACTAGGCGTACGCTAGGATATCCACCAGATAGTAATACATTTCAACTTATTTCAATCTGATGATATCATCTCTCAAGAACTGTGCCTGCTCATATATGTCATATCTGCGATTAGGTGGAATCGTTTGGTATAACGTTACTGGTAACTACCCCTATTTGGCGGGCTAATGAAGGCCGAGAACATCATGAATCATATCATGTGGATGTTAGGCACAGGCCTCCGATAAGTATTGGCTTAGGAGGTGTAGATAGAAATAAACATATATGACCATCTATGCTAATCAATTTTGATTTCACTCTTATAAACAATTTTACAGATTATCATGATGATGGACAACAGAAGGCGTTCTCAAGGAAGCCGAAACCCACTCGAAGACACCGAGCACTTACAACGTCTAAGAGCTCGCAGATTAAGCATACACAAAAGAGAAGAACCGAAGCCTCCCCCTCCTCCCTCTCCCCGAAGGGTTCCTTACACTGCCGCCGAGATTGCAGTGAACCGACATGCGAACTTGGGTCCGGGAAGAAGGCCGCCAACCGCGACTAGGGTAGACAACAATATCCAGAACAATTCTGTTCCAACAAGAACAAGTAGAAAGTCCTTGCCGGAGAACATATATTCGAATCAAAACACGCACGGAACTGGTCAATTTAGGACGAATATTTTGCCCTTGCCCGAGAAGTCGGAGAGGAGGCTGTCGCAACCCTTGGACTTGAGTCAAACCATTCCGGAGCCATTGCGAGACCAGCCAGAAAATGTGGTTATTGGAAATTGGGCAATAACAACTTATGAGCCGACGTACATCTTACGGAGAAATGCCGAGTATTTTGATGTTGACCAAGACGGCACCATATGGCCCGAGGATACATATATGGGTTGTAGAAAACTAGGTTCGTCCCAAATGACTACCTAGTAGCATGAAAATAAAAGCTGAACAATACCCTAGGATGGGGCATCATGTCCTCCTCTCTTACCATGTTCGCACTCCATTTAATACTCTCCTATCCAACCTGTTCGGGGCCCATACCTGATCTACACTCCCGAATCCACCACGACAATACGCAACACCGTAGAAACGGTAGCTTAAAGGTGCTGTACGACGAAAAGGGACGTCCGAGGCGTAACCGAGCGTGTGAGAGTATCCTGGCAAAGTACGATAAAAGCAATAAAGGCGGTCTCACTTTCCGAGATCTCCTGCACTTCTTCAATGAGCAGAGAGCTGAGTATAACGTTTATGGCTGGAATATCGCTGTCTTCGAATGTGAGTTGAACGTTGCCGTTATTGGATCCCTAGTACTTAACACATGATACTGACTCCGATCAAGGGCTGGTTTTGTACATATTCCTCTGGCCCCGTAACGGTATCATGCGGAGCGAAGATATCCGCGCGGCCTTCAATGGCACTATTCTTTACATGAAAGCAGAAGAGCACCATCACAAGGTTGAAATACATCGCAAGAAACCTGGCAATGGGGACGGTTTTAGAACTAGGAGGCGATTTAACCCCGTGAAACTTGCTGTGGCAATCATAACCGGAATCGTCATTACGATTTGGGCTTTGCGAAATAGAAACCCGAATACATCGGATTGGACGATGCGTTGGTGGAAGAAATACAATATCTTAAAGGGGGCGAGTGCGACGGATCCCGGCCTATTCGATAGCTGGTGAATTGCCCGTTCTATCAAGGCCAAGGCGTGGTTATATATCTAATGATTAATAGAGAAAATGGTGTGTACTAGGATCCTTGGGTGGCGGGTTGGCCCATTGAGATATGATGATGTGCCTTGGTGGCATTCGCACCTCACAGGTTACGAGAAATCTAGAGATTCCCATTCGAAGAGCGCAGACGCTTGTTCTGAATAGTTCATCGTCTCATATGCAATGTTATTCATGAGGTATCATGTGCCTATCTACCTAGAATGCGTCGTAGTGACTGTTAGCAAAAAATACGATTGCACAACACACTAACGATCCAAGGAGCTCAGGGTATCGACCCAATCTCCGTGGTGGAACTAGGCATATAGTGTAGGCGTATGGTGTGTCAGCGATAGCCGTGGATCACCATAGATACCTGGCCATCAACTTCCCAAACACTCCTTCAGAGCGCCAAAGTAATGAAGTTTTCCTCAAACTACCAATACTAGGCGAAATGACCCTTAGAACCACCCTTCTTGCCCTTAACACCTCTCTGGCGGCTACTTTCCGCAACAAACATGGGTGGCAATGTCGCATCATCCGTCTGTGCGTGGTCGGCAAGCTTATAACCATCACCGTCCTTAAACATGGTAGCGTACAATCCAGCTAAGGCTCCAGCCCAAGATTCCATAGCCTGCACACGCTCGGCGTCACCATCCGATTCGATCTCGAGTATGCCAGTTTGCTGGTCAATCTTGCCTTTGATCTTGCCATCGACGATTAGGAATCCTAGAATATCCTGCACCTCCGTCTCGGATATCTTCAGCTGGCGTGCAATCCATTCAAGCTTCATGCGCGTGTATGGTGCGATTAGCTTCACTATAGCCTTCGTACGCATGTTGCGCGTCACCTCGTCAATATTCTCCGCGATGAAGGGGTCGGCCAAGATGTCTTGGTTTTTCTGGAGCACACTGACGTAGGTGTGCATGTCGTCTCGCTGGTAAGCATCCACCAGTTCGGTCATCGCGGCAATGCGAGGATCATTACGATACGGCTTTGTCTCTTGAGAGTCGAACGGGTTGATATCCGACTTCATGAGCATCGTGGTAAGGAGAAGGTATTTGAGAACCTGGATTCGCTGTAGAGATCCCGCCTCGTCGTAGTTACGGAACGATTCGAAGAAGTCGCTTTGCGCATCTTTCCAGTTCTCTTCACTCATGTGCATCTTGCCTCCACACTCGCGAATGATACCCATGATCTTCGGGTGTGGTACAGCAGAGCGTACCTTCAGCGCTCTTTGATACAGGACCTTTAGCTGTTTGTTGTTGCGCGTCTCGGCGTACATCTGAATCTCCAAGGCGTAAATTTCTAGGGAATAGGTACCCTTGCTGGGGTCATCGGTGCCGTCTTCCTTTTGACATGCCTTCTGTAACTCTCGCAATTTCTTAGTGACCGATAGGTATTCCTTTCGATCAAGTAGAAGCTTGGCTAGCTTGATGTTCGTCTTAAGCCATAGACGCTCGTTGTTCGTACTCTGAAAGCAGTTCAGTGTCAATGAGTAGAACTGTTCCATAGCCTTACGGGCTCCCTCGTTTTCCGACTCCTTCTCGATGTAGTCTAACATATTGTTGATGGATTTCTCGGAGTAGTTACGAGTGACGGCGGATTTGACGTAGGTCAGGAGTTCGGTGTAATGTTCTACGGCCTTCATTGATAGTTAGCGATACGTTGGAACAAACGGTTCCTGGATCGACTGGAATCTAACCTGTTCCCATCTTCCAAGTCGAAACTCCAACTTTATTGCTTGTTTTAATCCTTTGAATCCCCAATCTCCCTTCTCTTGTTCGAGGGCTGGAATTCCCAGGAACTCGTCTATGGCTTCTTCTGGGTCGCTAGACTTCATCTGCTTGGCATTATAATATTTGTTCTCGATATCGACATCACCAGAATCGTCGCCATCGTCATCTTCGTATTCGAAGTCATATCTGATAGAAATTAGTAACTAGAATGCCGTGAGAAAGTAGGGTTTGGATCATACTGCTCGTCATCCGACTCTTGCATGAAATCGTCGTCAGACATCTTGACGATATTCCGGGGAACTGATAGTGTGTCTGCGAAGTAGAATATGAAGTTGATGAAGGGTGGTAGGATGTGGTTAGAAAGAATGATAACGTGAGAAATGTGAGAAACGCGGAATATGTGAAAATTCAAATGGAATTATCACTTTCCTCTGCACTTCACGTGGTATTTGACCAGAAAGTTGTAGCTTCCGTCGTTTGTCGTAACGAGAGTTAAATATTACAAGGCTACGACTGCACCAGTGGGATGCAGCATTGTCGCGGCAGGTACCTGTATCCTTATCTTATCGGAGCTTTACTAGGTGAATTGATCGTGGGGCTGTACGGGTCTAAGAGGTACGTACCTTTTAAGCTCCCCGCAAGCGTGCCTACCGTGCATCCATACCCCTGCAATTTAGATGTGGCTGGTAATCCGGTGGCAACTAAAATATTTGGGTCTAAACATCCAACTAGAAGTTATCACATTTATCCATTTCAACTTCTCTATCCACAATTCCCATCAACCATACCTGCGACAATCCTTCGTCAATCAAGTCGCCAACATGTTACAACTGAAGAAGTCCTACCATCCCGCGCTGCTGAAGAATCAGCGGCGTGTTTACGAAGAGGAACAAAAGGCGTTGGAAGAGCGCAAGAAGACCGAGGCTCGCATCCAAGAAATCAAGGAAGAACGCGCCAAGGAAGAACTTCAAAAGCAACTTGCCATCTCCGGAGGCCGCAAAGTCGTTGACCGTGTCGAATGGATGTACCAGGGTCCCAGCGATGGCCAGACCGGCACCACAGAAGAGCTCGAGGGTTACTTACTGGGAAAGCGGCGTATCGATAATATTTTGACCAAAGGACCTGAGCAAGATAATCTCAAGAAGTCGGCCGGGCAAGAGAGTTTCATGGCCCTACAGAATGCCAACACGGAGAGAGATACGGCGATGAAGATTCGAGAAGACCCCCTTCTGGCTATCAAGAAGCAAGAGCAAGCCGCCTACGAAGCAATGATGAATGACCCTATCAAGAGAAGACAACTCCTTGCATCGATGGGCCAAGAAGACGATAAATCTTCGCGAAAGAGGGAGGAAAGACACTCGAGACGTCATAGACACAGGTCACAATCAAGAGAACACCGTCATCGCCGACATCGTCGAACCGATTCTAGGGAGAGAGATGGGTCAAGAGAACGTCGATACAGGCACCGCCGATCTGATTCGAGAGAGAGGTCTGAAAGCGCGGAACGGTATAGCTCTAGAAAGGAGCGTCGCTCCGAGCGCTCCGAGCGAAAACGTTCGATATCTAGAGATGACCCTAGAGACAACAATAGACTGCGCAGAGATCGATCGCAGAGTCCACGTCGTAACGATGCAAGAGACGAGGGATATCGTCAACGTCGTGATTATTCCAAAGAACCTCCACGAGGACGACGACGTTACCCAGATGACCAGGACGACAGACGAGATTATCGCGATCGACGCTCATACAAAGACAGGCCTAGTAACGGCCGTGACAACAAGGCTAGCGGTTCTGGCGATTCTGCCGAATCAGCCGCCGATGAGCGAGCGAGAAAACTCGCAGCTATGCAAGAGGCGGCCTCCGAACTCGACCAAGACCGAGAAAAGCGATTGGCCGCAATAGCCGAAAAGGAACGTGCGGAACGAGAGGCGGATGAGAAGGCTCGAGAGCGTTCAGGCAAGTACGGTGACCGGGAATTCGTGAATGGGTTAAGGAGGAAAGTCATTGGTTGAGAGTGAGAGTGAGTTACTGATGGAAGGAACGGCATCTTGAGACGGCACCCACAAATCATGTACTTAGGAGATTCTCGGGGCTTATGGTCCATCTATGGTCGTTAATGACTGGAACATTCTATTACGAAATCTTTCCGAATCGAACACAGAGCTGGGGACACGAGAGTCTATTATTGGTAAGAGTTGCTTGGTTATTAGCATGGGAATGCATGCTAATGAGGAAGGCGTTCGCAATACGTTGATCATAGGCTGGCGAGGGTTGAGCACAACGCTCTTTAAGCCGCCACGGAGTTCTGGCACAGGCATCTGATCAACGCATAAAATAGAACGATGGGTAACCCCAATAAAAGAAGCATTTACCTGCGATTTTTGGTATGATTTTCAGCCAGTTTCACTAGCTTTGTATACGTAAATGTCTCAAACACTAAGAAGCCCTTGGCCTAAACTAAGATAGATACCTATATGTAAAAGTCAGAATGTGATTCTATATCTAGCCTATCTATGAGTTCTATATTAGATGTCATTGGAGATTCAAAACTGGATAAAGACAACCGTATAGAAATATGTCAATCGACCGCTAGGACAACCTTAAGTTTATATCCATGGATGATTTCCGTTACAAACCTAATATCGCCGGTGACCCCCCTAACCTCTAATGTTGCGCGTATATACCGTCTATAGTATGGATATTCGTCCATCCCATTCTAATCCCAAATCAGGACTCCGCGTCGCGTTATCTTTACAGCCTACTCTTACTTAAGATCGCGGGGTCCAACGCCTAAATGCTCTACCCTCACCGAGCGTGAAACGCTTCACCGAAAGTCTTCCTCGGTCTAGCGAACACGCAACTAACCAACGTCGTCCACTCCAGCGAAACCTCGCATTTCGTCCGATCGACCTCGAGCCCAATCGCGCGCGCCCCTTTCCCCCGCGCCCTGCGCCCACCACTATCACCTCTCCCATCACTCCCCCACTCATCCGCGTCCTCGTCCTCGAACGTGATATTCCGGCTCTCCACGACGAACCCGTCGCTGCCGATGACATGGTGCTTCCAATGCGTCCACGCGCAATCCGGGCCGATGGTCAGCCGTAGCCGGCCCTCCGTCGGGCCGGCGCCGGGGGGCGGGACGCCGCGCGCGGAGCGCAGCCACTCGGCGACGACGGTGTTGTCGCTGCACTCGGCGAAGCGCGGGCTGATCTTGAGGGAGGGGTCGTTGCGGTGCAGCAGCGAGACGAAGTAGGCGCGGCGCCGGTCCGGCGAGAAGCGCGAGAGCACGAGCTGCAGCGGCACGATGCGCTTCGCTGTGCCCGCGCCCGCTTGGCTGCTGTTCCACGGCCGCCGCGCGTCCGTCTGCGGGTCCCCGACGTACAGCCACCCGCGCAGCCGCGTCAGGTGCTCGTCCACGAACGCCGTCTCGAGCGCCGCCTTGAGCGTGTGCGATAGGAGGCGCAGACCCATCCAGAGCTCGGGAAGGTCCTCGCTGTGCACGAGCGTTCGCATGATCTGCGTCCAGATCTCGAGGGGTAGCGGCGGGCACCGCGAGGGCGTCGTCGTCGTCGTCGCGCGAGGAGCCGCGGGGACGGCGGCGGCGGCGACGGGGATCGGGCGCCGCGGCGCGTTCATGCGCTTCAGCATGGTGGTGGTGGTGGCGAGGCTTCGTTTGCTTTGCTTCGGATGTTTAAATTAAAAAGCCCGGTGCTGGGTGCTACGTAAGGCCTGTTTGCGAAAACTGGTCTTGCTTGTCTGGCACGCACGCGATCACGGGTTTTGGGGCTGGGCGTTACCGACAGATAGGACAAAGACGTCAGGTTCCGGATTCCCCGAATTGGTTCAGCTGAGCTGAGGAGCTCGTTCGGGATGGCCCCTCTTTAATTGGGCTTTTTTTCTCTTTGATAATAATGGAATACCCTGTTTGCGATTTATTAGGGTTTGGTCGTGTATACTTCACATACGCATGGAGGTGAGCTTATGACGAGTGTATGATATGCGAGATCCGGCCGGCCGACGTGCTGTGAGCTGTGAGCTACTTTCCGGGAGCTTATCGCGCAATCAAGCAGTGCTAGGTATGATATCTATCTATGAGCTCCCTATCAATTCGAGAGTAACTTGGAAGTGGGGAGGATCCGTCCCGACTTTGCTTACATTATACCTACCTGCGTATGGACATATCGTATGTCCGAAACTTGGTGCTATGCGGAGAATCTCGCATGTAGTTCCAGTGGGATTCGACAGATGAACTGTGGCTTGCCTTGTCGAGTTCCAAGGTTCTAGACAGAACTACGCTGCTCCGTATCTTGAACAATGATGAATATCATATACATAAGTGTATGCCTAGGTGTTCATGCTGTACTTTTGCGACAATGCCACAATGACACAGCTGATGAATGAAATACGTGTCCTCGGCTATTCTCTTCAAAGCCTATTAAGACTTTCAGTGTTGTAGCTGACTGTGCTGGCGCAAGAATAGCTGACGATCCAATGAGGCATTAGTGGTGTCGTACCTAGTGGAGGATCTGCTCTGCAGACGTTCTAGCGGCTGCTTGCATGCGTTCAGTACCCCAGGTCCGTCATTTTCATTGGAGTGGATTCACAAACTTCCAAGTTTTCAGAAGTTATCGGTCTCCGAGTCTTAGATGACGCTTCATCTAAAGACTCCAGACGCATAGCGGTCAAGTAGTGTTCAGCCACAGTTTTTATTCGACAAGTTGTAAAGGAGTGAGGCGAGTTGACAGGTAATTAATTGAAATCTTAGGGGATGTAACTATAGACCCAGTTAGCCGCGAGCTTCTGTTGCGTTGCAGCCAATTAGCAGAAGTGCCGGGTGCCTTATGAAGATCCTCATGACAATCCGATTCCTCAGCTATCGCCACAAATTGGCCCGCGACCTCGGGGCTGCGCTGTAAAGGAGTTTCGCGACATGGGTCTCTGTTGTTAAGGCATAATAGAGCGATATGTTCGTTCGACAATGAATTTGCAAAGAATTATCCCATTGTTGAACTAGATTTGAAGCAATTAAGGTATTTCGAATTGGGCGACAAATACCCATTAGTGGAGTATCCCTCAGCCCTTAAGGTTAATTGCAGGCAGTTCCCTGTTAGAAGGACTGTGCTACCTTGTACGTAACACGTATGTAGTCAAGTACCTACTCATACCTCGGCCATGCCTTTAAAGCAATCCATACATTGTCGACCTTAAATAACAATAAACACTTTATGGAGTAAGAATATAAAGATCATAAAGCAGCTATGTAAGAATAAGACATTCATAAATACATCTTACGCGTTTATCAAACATGTGATTAACTCTTATGTAAGTCCATACCAAGGCGCGTTGTCCAAGTAGGCATTCAAGTTACACATACACAAAGTACACCTAAGTATCTACGTAGGTATCATGGGTATAAATCTCTAAATATAGCGCTAATATGGCGCCGAGGGACCTCTGGGTGGTCCGTGACCTCGGCTAATCCACAGACGCCACAGACTCTTATGGACCCATCGATTACCGCTAAACCCCCTTCGACAGTTGGTGAGGCTTGTGATTACTTGTAGATTAGGTAGTTACAATTGCTAGTTGCGATCATTGCCCTTTTCACGTTTCCTCTTCCGCATTCCATCTCCAAATACGCCATCTTAGACATAATACATTCTTCAACTTCAACCTACGAGGCCGTTTTGGCCTTTTTTTTACTTCTTTCGAGTTTCGTCGCTCCCCAATTAGTCTTTTCAGCGGGATTGAGCCGGCCCTCGAATCGACCGATATCACCCCTTGCCTGCACTGCAACGTTCCAGTCGCATCGCCGAGCCCATCTATTCGATCAGCCTTTGAATCCGCCCCCTTAGTGTTTGCCTAAAGTCTACAATTTTCCCCCACGCCTATACTCTGTTGACAGTCTAGCGGCGAAGAAAAAATGCCGTCGCTCTGTGGATTGGGAGGGTCCAAGACCGTTCAACGAAAGCTAGTACTTCTGTAAGTGCTACCAATTTCACGCTCAGTTGTCGCGTGTTGATTCGCGCCTAAATCATGTTACCATGCTAATCTGAGGCCATTGTGCAGAGGAGATGGTGCTTGCGGAAAGACATCGTTACTGAACGTCTTCACGAGAGGATACTTCCCGACAGTTTATGAGCCTACGGTCTTCGAAAACTACGTTCACGGTATGTACCAAGTTTGAGAGAATACGCGGTGATCAACGATGGATTTGACCTCACCTATGTGATACGATGGTGGAATCGAGATAACTTAATCGTGGATTTGAAACTTACTAGGTTTTAGATATCTTTGTGGACAGTGTGCACATCGAGCTGTCATTATGGGATACTGCAGGTCAAGAAGAGTTTGACCGTTTGCGAAGTCTTTCCTACGATAATACCGACGTCGTCGTACTCTGCTTCAGCGTAGACAGCAAAGATTCGCTAGAGAATGTGGAAAGCAAGTGGGTTGGTGAGATCCAGGAGAATTGCCCCGGCGTCAAGTTAGTTTTGGTGGCCCTGAAGTGCGATCTGCGGGAGAACGGTGAAGAAGATGAAGAAGGGGGTGCTAGCGGAACGGACGGTCCTCAACGAGAAAAGAAGCCGATGATCGACTACAACCAAGGCTTGGATGTCGCGCGACGTATCAAAGCAATGAGGTACCTCGAGTGTTCGGCGATGAGAAATCGCGGCGTGAACGAAGCCTTTACTGAAGCTGCCCGAGTAGCTCTCAGCGTCAAACCAAGCGGCGAGGGTGATTCCAAATGTATTGTCATGTAATATCGAGACGGATCCATACCCGCAAACTCGACACGAATTTCCTTCTTTACCGGCCGTGGACAAGCGCAGGAGTCTGGGACCATGAGAATATTCCCCCTTTCTTTTTTCAGCCGTACTCAAACACAGTATGCCAGATTGCGTTTGACGAATCCTATTTTGTACCATCTGAGGAGCCCCCTTTTTCATGTACATATATTTATTCCCTTCGCTTCTGCGCACATAAGTCGGTATTTGGACTTGTTATCTGTTTTTATAATTACAAGGGACGGTATACTGCTGATGAGAGAATAGGACTCGGACAAGAGCCTGTTTGTTATTTCACTAGTATGGGTAGACGAGTGAAGCTACAACGAGAATGGCCTTGCGATGGCGGTAGTTAAGCCGCTCCGTCGGCTCTCGTTTTTCCTTTGTCATGGACCGGGGAACGACCGGTCGAGTTGGTACGGACTAAGAGGAGTCAGAGACATAGTCAAAAAGAACTAATTGAATTCATTTTGTTCAGTTCAGGTGCTCCGGGTTTGACCGTTGCGTTAACCCCTTTTCGCCACGCATGACATAATACATCAGTACAGTACCTCTACCTACAGATAATGATTCAGACAGCACCTTATATCCACCAGGCATATCCCAAAAATTGTGACTTCATCCGTCATCGAACTCCACTGTCTTTTCCCCATTTTATATTTGACTATATCTTAGCGTTCCTTGCTAAATAGTCAGATCTTTCTCATCTATAACAGTCTAACCTTGGTTTTTAGTATTTAACGCACATTAACCCCTGCAGATCCTGGTGTCTAGCCTAGTCTTCGAATAAGTACCTCCTTGAGTCAGTAGTGTGATGAAACTACCAGATACCTAGTCGGTCAGGAGAAAGTTCGCAGGCGGTAATTCTCCACCCTATTCCAACTTGGCTCTTAGTCCCGGATGAAGATTATGAGGCTATCAATATACGTATCTATCTTTACATGTGCTTGGTCAAGAGTTTAACAACGGCCAAATAAAGATATCGGAGAAAGATTATGTAATCGAGAGAAAAGGGGTAAAAGATGAAGATACCTTGGATACTTCATGAAGAGAAATGGTACATATGTACCTCTTGACGTATAATTATACTCTACGATATATTCCACTCATGATTAATCGCGTCAAAATCAAACCTTAACTTCCAAGAATCGAGATCGAGCCCATCCATATCGTCAAAATTCATAGTTTCAAGACTCGCAGATCCAGGGGTACGAGTACCATTTACTACAGTTGGTTGGGTCGGTGTCGAATTCGGGCTCTCATTCGGACCCGATGCCCCATCTAGAGGCATCGCTGGAACCGGCACTACGGACCCTTCCAAGACTAGACCAAGCTTATGTGAAATACCTAATCTTCGCAGTTTGAATACAAAATTCTTATGTGGTTTCTGTCAGGGGATAATGTGACCCACTCCCGATTAGGTATAGTGTGGACCAGGATAGCTTATATATAGGGCGCGAAGCGCCTTCGAAGGTACTTCGAGGGGCAAGCGTTATTAGTTCTCTACTACAATACTACCTAGCATTCACTCTATGCGTGACTACCCCTAGGAGCACTATCCTCTCTGACAGTTTCCTTGGGACTAGCTATGCTATTGAGCTAAGATACCAACACTGAAAGATGTTGTATGAGACGAGAACGATTTACTTCAGGTGGTAAGCTAATTAGTGGACATCGATTTTATCCTGTAGCGCTGTAATAAGTACCATGGCGCTGGGCAAACCATAAGAAAGCACCTTATAACTAGTCGTCAGTAGAAGGGCCCAGAATAAGAATAGGCCGGGTTCCTACCTACCAATATGGGAAGATCCCAAGGAAAGAAATGGCCTTACTACGAGCTTTGGCCATCCGTATAAGTGTCTCGAGCATACTTGCGGAGATTTAAACCAGATCTGGTTGAGGAATTATGTCTCCCTGTCCGAGTAGCCGGTAAATCTGGAACTGGATGTGAAGTTACGAAAGATATATTCTCCTGAATATATGGCAAATTGCTGACGAAAGATTTGAGATCCAGCAATTCAGATCCTATCGAAGACGACGGGGAAGCGCCTTCCAAGCTCGCGGGATCTGGTCAATGAATACCTGGGGCATGTTTTTATACGCGTCTTACAGGTACCAAGAAGAGCAGTCTTACTTTAGCTCTTTAGGATCAATAGACTGCACTGATTGAAATGGATACTCGATGGCTTCTTCTCGAAACTCGACCAAGATATAGCGTGTTCGTGCCCATGTCGTGGTTCTGTAACCCCCATCTATACCTTAATCATCCGGTGATAGCTTATTTCGCGCCAGCTCTAGTATCTTAGGTGATGTTACGAAGAGATCACTTTCGGATAGGCCGAGAGGCAGTTTGCAGTCTACATATCAAGCTGGATTTTGCAAGGCTCAATTTAAGATGACTTCTCGTGATATGCTGTAGTAAGTGTTTAGTAAGTTGCAACTTATCGTGAGCTAGCCATATAATAAAGTCAGTCGTCTGTGCCAGAAGAACGCGAGCGAATTGTAAACTTGAGTTACTACACTGTGTCATATCCCGAATAAAGAATTCGCGTTTCCTTTCATCTTAGATCATGCCGCGTAGATAGGAGCGCGCAGCACAGGAGACCTAGTGTTTTGACACCAGATTCTATCCGGGGAACAATGCGCAGAGACCGTCGGCATCTAACGAAAACGTAATGACAACTTCGGATGAAGAGGAGCATACTACGTTCTTGGCAAGTTGCGAAGGAGTATGAACACCTTCTACCACCTCTTCGGGACTGTGACCCAGTTCAGGAGGCTATTACGAATCGTCCTTGATGAGCCTTCTCGTTGAGAGATTCGTATACCAGAATACGCGGTGCTGTGCCGTTAGAATGGTCCAAGGCGGTAGGCCACGTTAGGAAATTTGAGAGTGGCGTGGCTGTGTCATTCTCTATGATATCGTAGTCAATCTCACGCTGATCAATGCTCTTAGCTTGAGTGGGAGTTGATGGGGTTGGTTTCCGGGATCTTGCTGTTTGGTGAGGGGTGCTAGATGATACCAGCATTGAGACTCAAGACCCCGGCGCCGACACGGGCCACAAATAGGCTTTGAGTGATCTAGCGGATCATCACTTTCCGACAGCGTTCGCAAGAAACTTGAGAACCGTTATGGCGACGACTTGTAGTTGATATACCTGGATCAGTTGACGTAGCATAGTTTCGATAGATACATATGAAATGTAGAAAAGAACTCCGTCTGTCCAGCGTAGTCTGACATGATATGATGTTGGCGTCGAACAAGCCGGACTAATCGAACTGCTAAATTTATGTCTCAACGGAAGTACCATTACGGAGTTTTAACCCCACCTCCATGCAAGCCAAATTAATATAATGAGAACCTGTGTCATGATATTAGAAATTGGGAAGTGGTCCGCATATTTGGCGTCATCTATCTCAGGAAGCGAATGGTGTTCTAACTTGAAGTCATTGTGGGCTAACTGTCCTTGATACCTAGTGTAAATGGCTATCCAGTAATACGAAATGACGACCTTTTCATTTTTCCTATGGAAACAAGTTTGCATTCAAATATGTGTACTACAGCTATATACATATCGGCGAGACCTCCCAAATAGATCTTATCACAGGCAGGTGCACCCGAGACCCCGGAGCGGCTCAAGGTGGCAGGCCAATCAACGTAGACCAATCCTCCCAAAAGGGAAACCCCACTGAATTTTGCTAACGATAGAAACTTCGGAGAAGGCTCAACTGATCTTAGGTATGAACCTCCTTATCTAATCCAGTTTAAGTATAGACCTAGGTATTATGGCGATAATTTTAACCAAAACATTTTCAGTATAACGTTTATTCCGTGCGTAAAATAAGGCTCACGCTGAAGAAGTAGAAGGACGTTCTTGCCACGGGCTTCCGGTATTTAGTACATAGTATATATCAAGGCTCCGGCTGGAAAACGTCGTTCCTATACAAACATCTTATAGTAATACCCAGGCTATTAAAAATACGTAATAAGTTATTACTTGTTGGCTCTGCTTCTTATTATAGTTTTATGTAAAGTTGTCTCCAAAGGTCTTAGCCAGAAATTCGTTCGCGGGCGGAAACCGTGTCCTTTGTAACATCCGTGCACTGTGAGATCCTTTTTCCAGTGGCTAAGCGCCCTCAGCTACAGCGGCTATCAACCAGACATTAGCGGGGCAATCACTGCGAGCTTTAAGCTTTAGCTCAAGGCTAAATACAGTGTTCATGCGTGTCAATTTATTGACAGAACCTTCGTAAATAACCCCTTATATTAGACACTTTCAACAACAATATAATGGCGATAAGCTATCAATATGCATTACATAATCCTTCAGGTTACCCTCTTTTATGGTTACAGTTTCCTAAAGACGAGCACCGTCAAGGTATATGCGAATTGATAGTCTAAACTAGGTACCTTTGTGACAAACCAGAAATCGCGCGAATTTCTGTGAGAGGTATGATAACCCCTGAAATAATGCTTTCTTGACTTACGATGCGTATCGGATAATCATAAGATGCCTTTTCGACTTGGTGTGTACATCTCCACATCCTCAAGAGTCAGATGGTGTCCATTGGAACTTTGCGTGTGGAATTCGTGGAAATCAGCACCCGACCCACGCTTAGTTGTGCAAGATAATGCTATCATAATAGTTAGCCAACGCTTCTCCTTGTTCGGGAATCTTCTTTATATCAATGGGTAAGATGAAGGAATTTGTGAGAAACACAAGGTGTGCTCCGGAACAAAGACATATGAGATTTTTATTTACTACCAATATAAAAGAGTGCGGGTAGAGGACAAGAAATAAACTCTTATCATACGAGAGACAAATTGCCTTTACAATCTACATATTCTTATTGTAGACTTGTACTATTCTCCAGAGACAAGCTTCCAAGATGCCAGCTTTTGGGTGCGGCCACGAGCTGCGAAAATCACGCATCGGGGTGAATCTCTCTTATCTCCCTCAGGTAAACACCAGACGCTGTCCAGAATGCCAAACTAAAACAGCGGAAGGCATACTTGGACTACTTAAAAGTATGCAGAAATCTCATGATGCAGGCGAATCACGGGATCCCGGGATTAACCAACATCTCATAACCTACCTTTTCGACCGATTCACTACACAGCGAAAAGGTGCAGGTTTCCAGTTGGTTTTCAAAGAATTCTTCTGTGTATTTGGTGAAGTGTCTTACCACGTGCTTGACCGAAAGCAACTTTCAAGTTTCTTTACCACGGTGCGAGGTCGATGGGGTAGTGACATTGCCAAACAAGCCTTACGTGCTCTAGCTACAGCGGCACTGAGGTCTAACGGTATCTATGAACTTGTCGAGCCAGCGAGCGCTGACATTTTGAGTGCATTGAACCGTATGATTATCCTATCTAGGGAAAGAGCCGCAGCCGTCGAAACGTTCCAGCAACTTCAAATCATTTTAGATAGTACTGGAACATTGCGAATGTTACGAGACGACGTCACATTCGCGGTAACGCAACTAGATGAAGGTTATGCCAAGTGGGATATCTCTGCCCGTAAGTAGTTCGTCTCAATACCTGCTTCATACCTGACTTACTTTGATTTAGATATTTAATTAGGAATATTTTATATACCTAGACAGGGATAAAATTACAGAACGAAATTCTTTTCCATATTATAATTAGATATTGATGATATGTAAATTCAATGGTTTATTTTGTGCGAGTATGCTTCTTTTGAAACCTTTGATGGTCGGTCACCCAGGCATTTAAAACATGGGTATCCTCCTTGTTTGATATTGCCATACACAGAAGTGTTGCCAGACCTTTGTCTGTGGGTAGAGGTTAGGCCTTTGATGAGAATGTTTACACGAGATCATAAATATTGATAATCTAGTCAAAAAGTTTGATAAGGAAATTATGTACGAGTTATTTTGGTCTTTTCCATGTTTGCCCAATTAAACAGAATTCTACATGTGCCTAATCTAGAATTAAGTAAGGTGGATAGGCATTATCACGTACATGCTAAACTTAAGTGGGGTTTCGAATATTCGTATCTGGACATTACTTTCAATCCACTAGTGTGTAACAGTAATTCTTACTGTATCACCACAATAAGAGTATTAAGCGGTGAACTTTCGACTATCGCATGAGCATCTGCTTTATGTTAATAGCTTGTGTAACATATAGTTGGTAAGATACTGTGATACTCATGGTGTTAATAAATGTCTGATAAAATCTTTTATAATATACGTAAGTACCATTTGTGCCCTCAAGTTAAGCCCTAACGCTATATTTATAGGTATGTAAGGATTTAAAGTGATTATAGGAGCATCAGCGCTACAATACATAAAACTGGAACACAATTTAGGGGATTGGTTGCCTCGTACTACTCTATTAAGAGCTGTAAGAGACAGCATGCACTTATTCTTCCTAAGTACCTGCTTGTAAGAATTTAACGATTCTTCAATAATTAGGTATGTACTTAGGTACAATGAGATTTTATTTATCTTTAAATGTCGTATCATAGCCCATGTTTCCAAGTTATATCATTGCTTAAGTAGATATGGATGCCGGCTTACGACGACTCATTGTCCTTTCAACATTCCGTTGTGATTCAAAACGGGAATAATAGTACTTTGTGCCACATAATTATTCCTAGATAAACGTAAATAAATTTGACTTAAACATAGGTATATAATGTTAAAACTAGATTATTATTATTATTTCAACCAGTACTGTGCTGGTTAACATCTTGACGATTGTATCTTGATAGTATTTACCGTCCCAGCCCTTAGTCAAAGTATAGTACCGAAGGCACTAAAAGTCGTTACAAGTCAGCCATAACACCCTTGTGAAATGTAGAGGACCATCGAGGATCTGAATCCTCCCAATGAAGGAACGTTCTATTACTCTACAAGTAGACTTTTGTACAAATCATATTTTAGGGCTTGCATGATTAGAACTTGGAAGTGTTGGAGTGGAAACAAGTACGTGTGATGCTAAAGCAACATGGATATTCCTAGGGATTTACATTCCTAGATTGCACAAGATACGCTCATATTATGACGTGAGTGGCAGGGAGGGCAGGGATGCCTCCCACATGAGACCCGAGTATCCTCTTGTGTGAATATTTATATTTAAGAGCGTGGGATATCTTGGCTATTTTCCTGGGTGCTTCACGACAACTTCATGTTAATATCCTTTCGTCTGTCATTATGGATCCTAAATTCAAGGCTATCATCTTCGACCTTGGTGGTGTTCTGCTTGATTGGGACCGTCAAGCTGTCACCAATCTGCCAAGGAGCCAGATGCAAACGATGATGAATTCGACTCTCTGGTTTGACTTAGAAAGAGGGAGACTTACACTGCAAGAGGCATCTGAGGTAAATAGGAGTCCAATAACTTTTATTCCTTGAATCACCGCTGATTAAGTCAAGCATTTTGGCAAGACTATGGGTATTGATGCTCGAACTATTCAACATAGTTTTGAGGAAGCCCAGCAGTCCCTCAAAGTCAATACCCAACTGTCACAGGTAGTGAAGGAACTAAAAGCATCGGACGAAGACCTACAACTTATTGTCATGTCGAACATATCTCAGGTGTGTCACTATGGAAACATGCTATATTATAGTACAGAGCTTACAGATTGATAGGAACATTTTCGATCTATACAACGTTTGGATCTGCCTTGGTCACTATTTGACTTCACCTTTGCATCAGGAGCTGTTGGGATGAGGAAACCCGATCTGTGCTTCTTTCGACATGTAATCGATACCATTGGCATCCCTCCCAGCCAAGTAGTTATGGTCGATGATCGGGTCGAAAACATTTGTGCCGCTCGATCGGTCGGCATTCATGGCGTTTTGACTGGCGGTGGCTCCTCTATTGAAGTCGGCCAGATTCTCAGGAATATGTTTTTCGATCCCATATCTCGGGCTGACGTGTACATGAAGAAGAACGCCGGTAACCACCTTAGCGCCGTCGAAGGCAAAGACATTGTTATCAGGGAGAATTTCTCGCAACTCCTTATCTGGGAGCTGACCGGTGATGCTGAGATCATCTACCTAAAATGGCCGTCTGGAAAGGCCCACGCTGCTGACACTAACATGCGTATCCATCTCAACGGCAACGTTGAAGATGGCCTCTGGAATTTTTGGTATGATGAGCCAGTTCTCACAACTTCAGAATTCCCCCCTGATGCGGATACGACGTCCACGGCTTATCTGTCCATTCCCGCGAGTCATTTCTCTAAAATGGCTGACGTTCAACTAGTCATTGAAAAAATGGCTACAAACATTGACTCTGATGGGATCATGCAGACTTATTTTCAAAAGGACAGGCCAAGGACGAGCCTAGAAGTCTGTTGTAATATCCTACGGGTCTTCTACCGCTTCGGTCATGGGCAGGATTCTGATCCACGCATAACGCAGACCCAGGAATGGGTAGTCCAATGCCTAAGAAACAAATCATACGTCTATGGGACTAGGTATTATTCTGTACCCGAAGCCTTCCTCTATTTTGCGACCCGGCTCTACGTTGAGTGCAATCACGAGGCTCTCAAGAGAGAGTTGGGATCTATCAAGGAGGCATTGCTTGAGCGGATCAATGTCCCGACAAATGCATTGGCGCTAGCTCTACGTATTTCATCTTGCCAATTGCTTAGAATTGGCCGGCATTGTTATAAGAATGACCTTGACGTCCTTAGGTCCTTGCAGCAAGAAGATGGCGGTTGGCCGACAGGGCATATTTACCGCTATGGAAAAATAGGGGCCTATATCGGAAACCGAGGATTGGCTACGGTTTTAGCTGCTAAGGTCATCCGCTATGAAATTGAGCTAGACTCCAAGTAGTTAATCTACGACAGGCGATTAACTACTATAAGTCTACTACGCTCTTGCCTTCCGAATTTGGCCCTGACTAAGTATGATCGACAGATAGCACGTTTAAACAAGGTTATTCGAATTTTTCAAGCAAGCTTGCAGGGCTTGGTACCTACCTATTATTTGCGTACTTCCCCATTGGCTTGATTCCTACGAGATGAAGATTCCTTGAGGCGGATCCCTGTGCAAAATACCAATTTAGTGCGTGATAGCTTGGTGAGCAGAAAAATGCTACAAATCATGCATCTTATTATCTGCTTCCTAGGTAGTCTTGAGATTCATTCTCTTTCTACGAAATTTCGTATTAAGAGTTTTATGGAGTCCCTTGCCTAATGCGTGATTATACCTCAAGTGTGGAAGTCTTCCAGATGGAGTCAAAAAAGTGTCCCATATGCTAATGCTACTACTGTATTGTGCTATAACTTAAACTATCCTTTACTTTTCTAATATGAGTTACTTATGCATGTTATAATACCTAGGAAGCTTGTGATCAGTGCCGATTATGTAACCCAGGGGATAGATTGAGCTATAGTGTAATACAGTAGATCTGTCCACCAATTTTAGTGGATAACCGCTATGGTTTAGGGGGCTCGGTTGCTAAGGAAATGCGCCACATGGTGCTAGCATATGGATATGGACCAGGTCACGATTTTTTAGGAGGTACGTGGTCTTGACTTATGAGCAAATCAATCTCTGGCAGATAACCTAGTGCTTTATGTAATCAGCGTCTGGATCGGCCTGGATCCACTAGCATTTTGCTGGTTGGGTCACAGCTTGCTAAGTCATCCACTGTTTCCCTTTGACTTGCCCATATGACCCACTTTCCTAATTCCGTAATAACTATTTTTTTCAACCTTACTGGCTGAAACCTCTTGGATTATCTTATAGAAGTAATTAACCTATCCTGGGTCTATTCTGATTGGACCTCTCGTATTTTAGCACAGTTTATATACGAGCATAGCAGCATAGTAAACACCTCCTTTGCGGGATGAACGTCGGATTTTCGGACTTTACCTACGTACAAACTGCATCAGATGGAAATAGCTCTAATCTCCAGCAACGCATCTGGCACGTATTGAATAATGGAAAGCTGTACTATTGTTGCCGTGAAACAGGAATTGATGAATGCTACAAGCGTCATATCGGGAAAGATCGAAATACTTCTTTGGCCTTAGCTGTACCCTTTCGCTTCCAATAGACTCGTGACGATGAATATAAAACCAGGAGTGAGTCCCTTTGCTCCAGGAGACAAAATATGCCAGTAAAATACAACTTTCTTCCACATCAGCGGCCTCGATAAAAATGGATGCCTCAAACTCAAAGCCGTACAATCTTCCGTCAGATGCAGTGTGGTTCAGTAAGTACCCGTCTCATTTATAAATCAGTATAGGTGCTAAGTGCATATCTAGTCACTGGCTGTTCATCCGGCATTGGCAAATCATTGGCGGGGCTCATTGCGCAGTCTTCGAACCGTATCGTAGCTACAGCTCGAAACCCAGCGTCTCTGTCATATATCCCAGATGGACCCGGCACTCTCAAGCTTGCACTAGATGTTACATCGAAGCCAGCTATCGAGTCAGCCATCAGTAAGGCGCTCACCAAGTTCGGTCGTATCGATGTACTAGTGAATAATGCTGGATATGAGCTCTTTGGTGATACAGAAGCATCCACAGATGAAGAAGCCCATTTAGAAATGGACACCAATTTCTGGGGTACTATTAACGCCGCCAAGGCGGTATTGGGCATCATGAGGGACGAAAACCCTAAGAACGGTGGGCAGCAAGGTGGCGTTATCATCAATGTCACTTCTATGGGAGGTTTTATGGGCTTTCCCGGGGGCGCTTTTTACCACGCCAGCAAATTTGCGGTCGAAGGTTGGACGGAATCAGTAGCGAAGGAACTCCCTGTGGAGTGGAACAGTGAGTCTCGCTTTTCAATACCTTATTCCCTCTTCAATCATTAACTCCGTGTATTGACGGCTTGCTAATTTTGATAACCATTGGCACAGTCCATCTTTGCATCCTCGAACCTGGTGGTACGGAAACGAACTTTGCGACATCATCTCTGAGGGAGATATCGAAGAAACATCCAGCCTATGCTAATCCGAGCTATCCAACCAATGCCTTGCTTGCATTTATACGAAATGCGGAGAACCGTAAGCTTTGGGCCAGCCCTGATGCTATAGCAGCTGCTGCATATAAGCTTGTAAGCGGCGGAAAGCGGATTCCAATTCGAGTCCCCTTGGGCGCCGATGCATTTGGTATGGCGACACAGGAGTTGGAGAATATTAAGAAAGATATGGAGGAGTTCAAGGAGATAAGTCTCGGCGTGGGAGATCCGAAGCAGTTCGAATCAATCACATTCTTGAAGAAAGCATAGGCATCTACCAAGTAACCTTATCGTGTACTACCTATTATTAGTGTTCGGAAAAATTAGTATAATGTAGTAGCACTACTATCCCTTTGATTGGCACAAGACTATGGATTCTACACAAGCAGTAACTGTACATTGGCGAAGTAAGCATTGAGGCTCTTACAGCAATCTTCGAAGGAGTTTAACCAACCAGAAGTAAGCTTTCGTGGGTTCCAGTGGAGCCTAGGGAGCTGCTGGCTTAACTCTATACGGTTACGACGTGACTGTGTAGAGCTGTAGTCTTATGCCAGTTAAAGGGATACCTTATAGTTGCATTATCCCTTTAGTAAATGGCAGCTGGTTACAACCAGTGTTAAAAGAGAAGATATACCTAGTATCTACGCAAGCTAATTTCGGGTTCAGGGCGCTGTTAATACAAATGCCTGGGTTTTTTTTTCTAATTTTTACTCAGGCTGTCAGGTTTCAGTCAGTGACTATGCCTACCTAGGTAGGTATTTAAGGCTAGTCGCTCTTGGTGTGCTTCACGGTTTGTGCTTCCTTTCGTCACGACAACTTCAATATCACTCATTCTACTTGAAGTTCTAGGCGGCATACTGGGGCCGGAGGATCTCCAGTTCGGCCAAACTCAGGGTTATTGTACCACCAAGAGAGGCCTCCAGTATTCATTTAAGGTCCCAAAACTATAGCAATTACCGTGCGTCATCCCTATGACGTCCTCCCTGGCTATATTGCACTTCCCAGATATTCTCAACCTTTATAGAATTCGGAACTTGTGTTCTAACAGCTTCCAAGTTTGATAAAGGAATACCTACAAGTTTCCCGGCTTGCTGTAACTCCCGTGTGGAACCCTGACGAGAGGACTCTTCTATACAGACATTCATGGTTGAGAATGGACGGGTGTCTTCCTCATCTGTTCCGGATTTGAGGATAGATGTTCCCCACAGGTGTCGTATCCGCTTCTGCGGCTGACTTCTAATGATGGCTTGGCCCGATGATGGCTTTGATGTTATATCAATGAAGCGCTTCTGTCGGACGACTAGCCAGACAGGTCTCATGGTTGGAAGGCATGCTATGAATGGTAAGTATATCACTTTGTATATTAGAACGGTTTGGTGGTAGGTATTGTGAAGTCATACCGGAAATAATAGCAAAGTAGGCTTCAACACTAGCCCATATACTTTGGTTGATGATATTCCATGTTATATCCTCGTTAGACGGCTGAGTTACAACCGCAACGAGTCGCATAATTGAAGCAATACAAACGCTATATGGTCAGCACACTATATCTTGATGACACGCAAGGTTTAGGTAAAATTCATACAATCCACCCAAAAGAAAGAGTGAAATAATGATTCTTTTCTGACTCCGGGAGAGATTAAGTTTGGTCACATATGGAATGGGTAGTGCAAGAAGCGTGATATCGATGGCAATGTTTGGAATGGAGATAGCGAAGAGAAACTTTGCACTATCTACATCGCAAGATGCTTCTATAGACTTGTCCCAAAAGCCGCGAGTTGGGATGCATTGCAAAAGAGTTAAGAAAAACTGTTAATATCAGCATGAGTCTGCAGGCTATATCTTGGGATCTTACAACCGCAGTACCCCACATCAGAACTGCTGAGGCTATGATGCCAATAGGGACTTTTATGCTAGTATTTTGGAAGAGCCGCCAGTACAAGGCGAGAACCGAAAATTTGACAAAAATGATAGTACCAGTATAAGTCAATTCGGCTATGAATAGTCCGATATAGAAATATTCGACGACATTGGGACCAAAGGACCACACGTGTCTTCCGAGGCCACGGGGCATCCCTATCTCCTCTAAGTATTTAAACAATACTCTTACATCGTCATGAGTTGTCTTACACCATAATTCGTTGACCATCAAACCAAAACTGCAGCCCTATAATAGCAACTGGTTAGCTTAGAAGTATACATTAGAGGTCGATACGTACAAGGGCGACGAGAATAAGCCAGTCATCGAGCCAAAGGCCCGACCCCTTAACTCGGCGGCACCAGAACCGAAGCATCACGCAGACAAGTGCAAAGAAGAAACAAATAGTGATAGAAGCATAAATGTTAGGCTGACGGCTCTCTGAGAGATCCACCGAACGCAACAAAATTAATTCCATCTCCCTCCTGAAAAAAGGCACGACGATAAAAATGGTTGGACCAAAATTTTTGGAGGTCTGGAAGATCTGACAAGTGAATTATGGAGGTTAGATTGGGAAAAGTAGAAGGCAAGGAACTCTCGATCTCTCTACTCTCGCAAAGAGGAAATATTCTACGATGAGTCGGAATATCATTTTAATAATGTCCATCATAGATATTAAATTAGTAGTATGTATCGGTACATGGCAGTCGGGACCGCCTCTGTCTCATGCTGGTCCAAGTTTGACCAATTCAATGGATTAATCTGCAGGCAGAGCTATAGGAACTCCAAGTTCCGCAGAGACTGGTGAGACAATGCCGTCAAATATAAATTACTAGGATTCAGCCACCAGACTTTTGGGAGTGCTGATGGTTGAACAAAGATGGTTTACATGTGAGAAGCCATCGACAGAAAACGGGTTGACCGATTGCTGATCACAGCCTCGACATCCTCCTAGGACTAATACCCCGCTCCATGCGGGCGCCATCGCCAACATTCAAGTAAGAAGGCATACGTAAGTTACACGGGCTCTTTAGACGTTACCGATAGGTGATACATGTAGGCTGAGGCCAACGTCACCGAGCAAATAAGCAATTAATTAATCTGCCAGGGCCTTATTCCAACTCCGGGAAGAGTTCTATTTAAAAGTGTGCTCGTGAAGCCCTATAGTCCGCATGTTGTATTCATCTTATTCCGCCATCCGAAGATTTTCATTTTCTCGGCATGTCCTCTGCCAATTCACCAGTGATTGTCTTAGTTCCCGGGGCGTTCGGTACTCCCGCGGGTTTCGACAAACTTCTACCGTACCTGAAAGCAGCCGGCCTTTCAACCCACCCAGGACCATACCCTAGCTGTAATCCTTCTGATCCAACTACAGCCACCTGTTCGAATGACATCGTCGCACTTCGTGATGACGTCCTTCTCCCTCTCTTAAGACAAGGAAAAGATGTCATCATCCTCGCGCACTCATATGGTGGTGTCGTGGCTGGCGGTGCGGCCAAGGACCTTGACAAACAGACCCGAGGAGCCCAGGGCCAGACAAGTAGCGTCATTGGCCTTATTTACGTTGCTGGCAACATCACGCTGGAAAACGAGTCTCTGTTCGAAGCAGTGGGTGGATCGTATCCTCCGTTTATAAAAGTTGATAAGGTACGCATACTCCAATTCTAGCTCTTTGCAATATACCGTTGCTGAGTGATTGCTTCAGCCAAGCAAGGGCTTTGCCCTAATTGAGCCTGCAATGGATGTTCTATACAATGACTGCGATCGTGCACTTGCTCCGGAACTAGAGAAACATATGAATCCCCATGCGCTCATGGCCTTCGAGACCAAGGCTGGTGCGCCCGCTTGGGCGGACGCAGGCTTTGACGGAAGGAGGGCGTATGTGCGTACCATAGTCGACTGCTGCAATCCAGTAGGGATTCAGGATTCGTGGATTGGGAAAAGTAAGGTGAAGTGGGATGTTGTAGACTTCAAAACGGGACATATGCCGTTCATTAGCCAGCCTCAGACCCTAGCTACGCAGATTGTGAAATTTGTTGACAGCTTCACAGCAATTTAGTGTACTTAAATCACATTGACTTACCTAGGTAGCTAGTGGGCTTAGAAGAATCTACTTTATTTGTCGATTTGAAGATGGAACGGTTCAATTGACACGATTCTAGATCGAGTTGATGTGCTATGTTAGCTTTTAGGTATGCTTGTGATAACTAGGTAGACTACATAGCTGCATCACTACGTTGATCCAACAACCAAAGCCTCCCGTGTCTGACGCGTCGTATTGACGCAAAAGCTAACAGGATTAACTAGGAGATCGGGATATAAAAACTTGCAATACGTAAAATAGGTATGAAAATACCTAGTCAAGCCAACCGCCTACTCTTTCCTTGTAACCCACACCAATTTGGGCGTCATAATTGCTGCCCCGTTTCTTGCTTCCTCCATTCCTTTACGCTCTAGGTCTTCCGACATTCGAGGCGTCTTAAGAACATTGTTCGCAAACTCTTTCCATGTGCTGACGTAACTGTTGCGTGTTAACCACTTTCTGGAGTGCATGAAGATGCCATAAAACGGAAACGCGTAGGGTGGTAGGTATGCTCACATGTCATTCCAGAGCCGTGCCAGACCATGTCCATACTCGTATGTGTACAACAGCGATCCAGTAAACCCATTCTCGTCCAGGATTTCCGTTAGGCGATATTTCCAGCTAAAGTGGCAGTCAGTAGTATGTACTCTGGACTTTTCGATTAGAGTAACCCACGTATCATCCCGCGTATTATTCCCCTTGAGCTGAGAATAGAGTTTATTGAGACTGCTTCCTGATACACCCGGGACAGTCTTAATTGAGCTACTGATGGTATCTACCTCATCCCATTGGAGATATCCACCGGGCTCTGTGATAATAAGAGTTAGCTCTCTACTGGAACAAAAGTACAAGGCACTATGTAATTACTCAATAGCTTTGCCAGATTAGCAAGCACGGGCTGGGGGTCATTGTTCTTGACTACAACGGTGATGAGTCGGACATGAACAATGTCGAAGTATCCTATGAACTGTGGAGGCGGCTCATCGAAAATGTTCCAGATGTGCATCCGTATGTTCGCCGGCAACCAGGCCTTAGGTCCAACCTGGTCCAAGCTGATATCGAAACCATGGAGCTCCGCCGACGTTGACTTACTACGAGAGACATCGTGGAGCCAAATGCTGTAGATAGTCAATCAACCTGCTATCTCGGGAGGTCTCGACCACTATACCCATTGCCTGTAGCAACGTCGGCGATTTTCAAATCGTCAAATCCAGTGGGAATGTCAGGGTGGATAAGGTATCCAAGTAAGTCTTTCCAAAGGTAGTGCTGAGCTGTTAGTCTGCAGGGATGACATTAGGTATTATCCAAAATAATTCCAGAGTAGAACTCACCGAGTGCTCGCATTGCAATCTCGCATCAGTACGTAAGAATCTTTTTTGCTCGTGAGCTCAACGCTCCGACCATTCACGTCGTCTTCGTTCAGACGTAGTTCAACAGATTCGATTTTATCACCAGTAGCGTGTGTGTTCGCACACTTATCTTCTGGAACTATTCCAGTTGTACCTTTCATATCATCCATGGTGAAAGATTTGCGAAGAGTAGAAACAGGTTTCGTTAGGTACCTGGTAGTCATGTAACTCCTGACAAAATATCACTCGTTTTAAAAATGGCTGGGTTGGAATCCTGGATAAGTATATATATAATAGCACAACGCCAATTGTAAGAAGAGCATAGGTACTTGAAGCAGATACCCGGATTTCCATGGCTGCTAATGAAGACAGGACTATTACTATAAATAGGTGCCGTAACAGATTGACATGGGGTACTTGAATTATACCATCCATACGTAGGTATGTACGTAAGCCTTGGGCGAGACTGAAGTCGTTGAATGGTTCAGATACAGAAAATTGTCTGCACCAGCGGTTGCTTGCCGATGCGTACTGATGGTTGAAGCCCCATTCGCTATACGATATTTCTTGGCTGCATAACTGTTGCAGTATCTAGGTAGGTTACCTTAGACATTTCTCGTACCTTGTAGATATACTTCTCTACAGAGATAAATGATCCACATCTGAGCAAAGCAGGTTGACTTATTTCTTTACTCCTTTTTATTATATTGAACCACTGCACAATGTCCCGTGTCTTTTATTCCCACATATACCAGCACTGGCTTGTAACGCCTCCCCATGCCTTCGGCACCACGCTTTAATGAGGGAAACGAGCAGCAATTAAGACATACCGATGGTTAGCCAATATAATGATTTTTAATGGAATATTTATCTTTTGAAGATTATTACTTTTTTTTAGGTATACTTATCAAGGAGATACGTAGTAATATATGAGGTTTTTTTTACATAAAAGAAGTATTGTCTTAATCCCTGCTCGTTTCCCTAATTAAAGCGCAGTTCCGAAGGCACTCGGAGGCGTCACAAGCCAGTGCCAGTATTATTACCTAGGTAGGTATCTATAACTCATGTTGATTTCTTCGCAACACAACCAACTTTCCTGACTTTTGATCTCGTTGATCAAAGTCAGATATCCTTTCGCTTATATCCCAGACATCGGTTTTCAAAACCATCAAGATCCTCAGCTGGTTTGTTGCCCCTTTCACTATGGCAAACATCTCCTTTACAAGTAACCACATATCACCGCGGTTCCCGCGCCGACAGGTCTCCGGTCGGTCAATTATAATGTAAACTGGAGAGTGGCACCGATTGACCACTGTCAACAGAGCTTTAGCAGCCCCTTTGATCAGACCATGACCAACATTCTCTTTGATGTTCTGCACGTCACTTCCCCTGCGAAGAATTTGTCGGTCTAGATCAGTAATTTCCGAGATGATATCCTTCAGGACGTCTTCTAGAGTGAGTTCTGGGACACACTTCGGATATGCGACTATGTAGCCATTGCCTGACGCCCGAAGATGGTCAACCAGGTCGAGAGCACAGGGTGAAAGCCATGATTGTGAGTATTTCTGCTCAAGGCCGACCCCGTTTCGGCCGTGAAGAATAAACAAAGAAGATTCAGTTTGCTGCCATAGCTGATACTTCACCGTCTGCATGATATCCTGGAGGGTCATCGTCGAGAAGTCCTCTTTCACCTCGTCAAATAGGTTGGAGAGGAAGTTGCGGTTGTTGATTAGGCGAGTTGCGCGAACACTTTTACTGTCAGAGACTTCTCGCCCTAGAAACCTGTTCAATGCTTTCGCTGAATCATCATCCTTTCTCGCATGGAGGCCTATATAGTATGAGAATTAGAAGACGAAAAGGCAAGAGGAAAAGACCTTACGAGGTTACTTACCTTGGATCTCTACCTTTGCCTCCTTTAGCTCGCTTTTCACCTCGTTCAACTCATTGAGGAGATCTATCCTGTATCAGCGCTATCCTGAGAAAACCACCGGCTCAGTTGGTTTACCAGCATTCGTTTCGGCCAGAGAAGCTACTCGCTGTGCCAGTAGAGTATCACACTTGACTCTAATTCTCCTAAAGTTTACCAACATCTGATCTTGCAGTCCCTGGAATCTTAGAGGTTTGGCTAAACTAACAATAACTCTCACTACAAAGTAGTTCAGAATAGTTAGCAAGTCAGTTAATTTAAGGACTTAGGGGACACTCACTAGCTCCGTGAGATTGTAAATAGATAGTCGCTTCTCGAGCGAATACAATGACATCCGTAAATGCGGTGGCAAGCATGACTGCCAGCTCGTTGTCGGCGTAGATTCGTTGGTATATATTGAAATCGGGAAGGCGGTCTGCAATTTGCCCCATGGCAGATTGGATGGATTGATCATTCGCGGATTTCAGTTTTGCAGTCTAGGCATAGGTTAATATCAAGGCTCGACCCGTGTTCTCTATGGAAACATACTGCAAACAGTATCGTCAGTGCCGCGGTAGCAGCGCCCCCATAAACATTGTCTGCTAATTGCGCAACTTCCACCACCCCAGAATACCCCTTCAGAAACCTCTCGAAGGTCTCCGCAAAAGACTGAAACTCGGTAGTGATACGTTTCAAGCCTTTCCGCCTCTTTTCCTTCCATGCTGCCTCTTCTTGTTCGAGATTTGCTTTCTCCTGGGCGACATATGCTTGAAGTTCTGTTAAGCTCAACTGTTCCAATCCTTGGCGAAGCTCTTTCTCGTTCGCAGCGATATTGCACTTAGTTATGCGAATTAGTTCCCGAGTGACATCTTTGTCAACAACGGGAATATCAATTTGCTCGCTTTCTTTAAATTTTCTTTTTGCTTCTTGAGATGAGTCACCCTTGAACCACTCATCCCAGTCGTGCCATCCAACTTTCGTAACACCCAATACAGCCATAATGAAAAGAGACGAGAGTTCACTGGTCCTCCAGTGCGAGTATTTGAGAGTCGCCTATCAGGTTAAATATGGATGAGTTACGACCCAGATCTTTCATATACTTGGGTACCTAGGTAGGCAAAGTACCTTCCCAGGCAAGTTTCAAATGTAATATAATAGGGTCTATTCATGGGAAATTCTATTCACACAATACCTAGAGACACATGTAATTTCGGCCCCCAAGGCCGACCCTTGCCACGCCGCTTTTAAGGGGTGTCATATTTGGCCCCCAAACCAGAAATATATCTGCTCACAATTATCTTCACCCTTGAACTTACAAGCAGGCATCTAACCAATCATAGTCCATGTTAACGATATGGGAATATTGTCACCTTGAAAATGGCGTGAATATTCTTCTGACAGCCTGCATGTTCGAGCTGAACTGAACCTTTTAGGTTTCAGCTGATAATTATTGAGCTTACGCATGGATTTGTCACAGGGGGGTCTCCTCGGAATGTAGTAATATTGTCATGCACCTTGAATGCTTATAGCAGCGATGAGAAGCGGTCACATTGCTATCTGTGGTGCCCCAGAGCCTCATCGCACATATGATTTAGAGGGATTTTATCTAAATAATGTGAAACCCGGACTTTTATACATACTATGAATATTTTCCATCCTCAAGTTCTACGCATACTTCGTCAAACTTGCTGAATACTATAATAGAAGTCTCAGGCACTTCTCCCAGTCGTAAAATTCAACATCCATAATTCATGCCATTATGGCACCAGATGTGAAACTCCCATTCAAACGACGAAAGAATAACTGGCTGATAATGTAATAGAAAGACTTACAGGCGCAGCTTTCGTCTCTCGAGAGAAAGTATGTTCAGCTACTCGAGCGGCGTGTTGCTGAACTAGAAGGCCGGAGTGTTTCCTCTGTATCTCCTGATCTAAAGTCCCAAATAAAGGTATCTCCCCTCCGAGACCTACTAGCTTCCTATAACCGGTCAACATAGGTCAATAACTAAAGTGCTGAAGGCATCTACCGACGACACAGAAACAGAAAAGAATGCAAATGTCTGTAAGATACTAAATCCTGAGTAGACGCCTTTGAGTTAGTTCCTTTGGGGTATATGCTAAATGAAGTATTGTGAGAAAAGGATAAGAAATCACCTACGAAGGCTCCCGAGGATGATGATTCCAAGGAATCAGCCGAAGGAGACGGCGACGAAAAGACGCGATACCGAGTTGTTCTTAACCAGCTCAATCCCGAGACCGGAGAGTACGAAGACAAACCTAGTATAATCACGCCGAAGAGCCAGACCGATAACTCGGAGAAGACCCGTGCATTTACATTTCGGAAATTCCTGAAAGACCAGACGGTTAGGGGCGATACCGTTATGAAGGCGAAGGGATCTGAGATCGACATCGACTTCCAGCCACTACAGTCTCTCGTGGGGGAGATAACTTTCAAGTTTTGGGGAAGTAAGAAAGTCACAACCATGGGGTCTCCCTACTCTGCCCTGATCCACTGTTGGACAAAAGCAGAGGAGGAAGCAGAGAAATATGCGAATGACAGTGACCCTACAAAGAAGCAGACTGGAGAAGATCTGAAAGAGATTCTCAGACTGCTCTCAAGCGGATCTGGTGATGAAACCTTGGATCGGTATTTCAAATCAAGAGATAAGCTCAAGGAGGGCGAGATGATAACATTTGATTGTCTATGGGTGCTCTTCCCAAAGGGAACTGAGATACTTGCCAAGCCCTTCCTCAACGAACACCAAATATTCTTCATCCAATCTGTTACTATGCCTGACCTCGATGATGCCGAGCCGGTATTTTCCGTGGTCGCGTACAGCTACGACTGGGATGGCTCGCGCTTCAATAGGGTGCCATATTCAATGGAGATCCCTTACTTCCAGGACATGAAGAAGATCAGTGAGCTCACATTTTATCCTCTGAAATATCATGTCGACACTGAGCCCAATGGTCGGAATGGTACGAAAAGCCTGAGAGAAAGGCTAATCGCAAGAGGGAAGCGATACTTCGAGTATTGCACGGCGACCCAGGGCAAGCAGACATTCCAGTACGACGGTTATGCGTACTACCACCGGAACAGTGGTCTTTTCCGCTCATCTGACAAAGTCGACGATGAATCAGACTCGTTCACGACTGATATTTATTCGAGTAAAGAGTCAGCGAACGGAAACTCGCCTTCTAAGTCACACGTAAGACCCACAACTTGGACTCTCGCTATCCCATCGTTACTAACGTGTAATATAGATCAAAGGTGTCGTTGTGGTTGATTTTAAATCGTACTTCCAATACCAGTCTCCCTCTGCAGCCACGTTAGGTGACCTCTCTCGAGGGGTACAGCTCGAATGTTCATGCAGCGAGTGCAAGAAGAAGTACGAAGAAATTTATCGATATTCTTGGGATAAACGCGAACCTAAGAAAGAACTTTTCAAGGACGAGCACTACATGCTTTTCCCTCCTAGGGTGCTTGGATATTCATTAGACCAGAAGCAATGGGTGCAAGTGCAGGTCAACAGTCTCCGATCTCCTGGAAAAGCTAATCAGGTGAACTTCCATGAGAAGCTCCAGCTCAAACAGGAATATAAGGACATCATATCTAAATCGGTCATCGCCCACGGCGAAAACAATATCATGGATCACATCCCCGGCAAGGGGAAGGGCCTGGTCATTTTACTGTGGGGCGTTCCTGGAGTTGGCAAGACGCTCACGGCTGAGAGTGTAGCCTCATTGGCCGGGAAACCTTTGTTCAGCGTGGGAGTGTCGGACATTGGCCTGGAGGGCAGTAAAGTCGAAACTAATCTCCAAAAGGTCTTTGACCTGGCTGGATTATGGAAGGCTGTACTTCTCTTGTGTGTTTCTCCCAAGTTTATTGCCGAGTGGGCTATTCTAATATTGGGAATTATAGCGACGAAGCCGATGTGTTCCTAGAAGCTCGAGATACCCACCGCGCTGACATCCAACGCAATACCATCGTTTCGGGTAGGGCTAGCAAGACTTCTTCTTGTAGCTATTGCTAATCATGAATTCCAGTTCTCCTTAGATCCCTCGAGTACTATGACGGGATCTTGATCCTGACGACTAATCGCCTAAAGTCGTTTGACTTGGCCGTCCAAAGTCGCATCCGTAAGTTTCTATACACCTAACTCGACAGTCAAAACCCGATAGCAAGCCTAACCAGACAACTATAGATATCGCTGTCGAGTATAACGACCTTAACCAGGATCAGAAACAACAAATATTCATGGAGTTCCTAAATCAGCTCAAAGTCAAGGATTTGATCGATCCAACTAAGTGGGACAGCATCCAGACTTGGGTTGAGGAAGAAGGTCGCAGTAAGGCGTTTAACGGTAGACAGATTCGCAACATTGTGTCTACAGCCATGGGCCTTGCGCACGCGGATGGGAGAAAATTGGAAAGAAAATACCTCTCCTTGGTTGCTATGAACACGTCGGCGTTCAAAGACGCGCTGGCGGCGCAGGAAGCGGTGTACAGGAACAACCAGATCAGAACCTACAACAATTAGATATTTCCGAGTCATAGTGAAGAAGTCATCTGCGCAGCAGCCCATTCACCTGAAAGCCCCTCCATTTCAGGATCGGCTACCCCTGAAGGTGGAGAAACAGGGATTTTTAGGCAGATGGATTTAGCGCTGAAAAGGCCGATTTAAGGAGATTAGACATTTCCCTTTAGGGCATATCAGCCCCTGTTAAGTCCGAGGCTTTGCTTATTTGCGGGATGGCGCACTGAAAGGCAGTTATCTGATCCTTATATATTCTCGCGATTAAGTATTCTATTCCGGACGCGAAGATGGGATTCTCCCCCATGATTCAAGTTATCAGATCCAAGATCTGTCCAATACTACCTAGGTGTGTAAGCATCCAGGTTAAAATGAGGTGGCCGAACCATGTTCGAACATCCGTCTGCTGGAGCTCGCCTTCGTACTTGTCTTAATTCCGTTACCATGACGTATCGGTTCTTAGAATTTGTTAGCCTATACTTTGATCGCTCTCACTTAGGGTTGCATCGTATACCGAGGTGAATAATCATGGAATAATGCTGCTTCCTCGATTGGCGGTTGCGATGCTGGTGAATAGTAGGAAAGGGACCTGAGTGAAGAGATATATATGTCGCGACTGCCCCGGATCCCATGTCAGACAATCACAACAGCACATATCTCGTCTTCTCTAATCACTTGACGGACCATGCCTTCTACTACTGTTCTGATTAGCGGTGCCAACAGGGGCCTGGGTAAAGGACTCCTCGAACGCTATGCTGCCAAAGAGAACCATACCATCATCGCCGCCAACCGTGATCCAAAACACCCAACATCTAAATGCCTTCATAACATATCAACCGGTCCGGGAAGTCGTATTATCGTCGTCAAGCTTGATGCGTCGATTGAGTCAGATGCCGACGCAGCTGTTGAGGAACTCTCTTCTACCCACGGGATCGATCACCTAGACCTCGTTATTGCCAATGCCGGAATTGCCAACGTATATCCCACTGTCTCGCAGCTCAAGGCTTCTGACTTACTAAGCCACATGACCACAAATGTGTTGGGGCTCGTTTGGCTGTTCCAGGCTACCACGCCATTGTTGCGAAAATCTACGAACCCTAAGTGGGTGACTATGGGTTCCGGCGCGGCATTGCTCGAGGTAAGTTGTCGGTATACCATTTATAATTCAGCTCTAACTAACTTCGCCTTCCTAGTAAGGAGACTCCTACCCCTAATGCTGCCATGGAGCCATGAAACACCCTACAGCGACACTAACACCTTTCACAGGAACATGGTTCCCATTTCGAACGCTGCGTACGCGCCGACTAAAACCATGGCACATTGGATGACCAAAAAGATAGATCAAGAAGAGGAATGGCTGTTGGCATTGATCGCCCTTCCCGGGTGAGTATTCCCTCTTGTCATTTCCGACGCCGTCTTGTCTAACTTTCGAGCGTAGCTGGGTGCAGACCGACTTGGGCAACGCCAGCGCCCGCTTCCAAGGCATTGACCAGGCTCCCGTCACAGTCGACCAGTCCTGCGATGGTGTCGTACAGGTGATCGACATTGCCACAAAGAAGACTCATGGAGGGAGGATGTGGAACTATGATGGAAAGCAGCAGTCTTGGTAGGAGCGTTGAGGCCATCGTGTTCCCATGGCTTCCACTCTGTGTATCATTAGTTATGCCCCTTTTGCTGACTCCACCCCAGCACCAAAGTATATGGAAGTAAATACAATGAAGGACATTCATTATGCTGACGCCAACCGTCTGCAAGTCCGATTCGTTCAGTGGGGGCTGCGCCACCCCCTTTCTGACCCAACGCCACTTTTTATGCAATATGTGAACGAAACAAATGAACAGTCCATCCTCCATGTATCCGACATTAGACGTAACCAACCCATTCCTAATCCGATTATCATTCCGTGGAGCTGTAGATAACGCCAATTCCTCATTATTATGTACCTAGAAATCTCCCCTTCCTCTTTTCATTCTCTCCACTGGGTAGGTAGGTACGCTAGCCCACCTCACAAACCACTATCGATCTGATCTAGCGCGACGTTCTTCGTGAACCTAGCCCAGTCCTTGCACGTCTCGCGGACGTCGTGCGGGATATTGAACGCCGGCTTCTGCAAGAGGTCGGGCCGGAACAACATCTGCGAGAAGAAGCCGGCGGAGGCGTGCCAAGTAACGTGGCAGTGGAAGGGCCAGGCGCCCGGGTTGCGCGACGCGTCGAGCTGCACGACGATGAAGCCGTTGGCGACGACCATCTGGACGTCGCGCCGCATGGGGTTGTGCGTGTTGAGGACGGTCGTCTCGGCCGAGTAGTTGCCGGTCCCGGCGGCGAGGACGAACATGTTCATGCCGTGGATGTGCATGGGGTGGGGTCTGTAGATGGGTGGTTAGTGGAATGACTCGATTAAACGTTCGACGTGATACCGAGAGAAAACTTACGAAGGCCCGGGGTTGTTGACTATGATCCGGATGGACGAGTTGGTGCCGTAGTTGACCACATTATACTTCGGATCGAATTGGGCGTGGGCTTTGCCGGCTCGCAGGAGAGGGGGGTCGTTGTAATCGACGTGTGCGGCGACGCCCTATGGTTTATTTTGTGAGAATACTGTATTATACGTGTAGATCCATCGGGTTTTACTTACACCGAACTCCCAGAGAAAATTACCGCTGGCATTGGTCGTGGTGCTAATGTCCATATGTTGAGTAAATGATGGTTCGGGAAGCGCCATGGAATAGTACGGCTTAGTGAGAGATAGGTCGTCATTTGCACAATTACCTGGATCCGGCACATCCCACGGCGTACTCGCCGGCATGGAATTTTCGTCGGCACCATCGTAATAAATCGCAGCAAGGGCTAACGGCTGGTTGGTGTTAGAGCAAGACGTCATATTAGCACGCAGCCAAAAAGCAGATCCTGATTCGGCATGGGCGTGGACGAGGACGTCGACTCGTTGGCCTACACCAAGGGTGAGGACTTGAGTGTCATAGGGTTCGATGGTGACGAAGTCGTTTGCGATGATCGTCATGTTGTGCTGGTCAATGGAGATACGTTGTGTGCCTTCCGCGCCTGAGTTGATGAAGCGGAGACGATGAGTCTTGCCCGCCTGAAAGTTGAACTTAGACAGGCCGGCATCGTTCGTGCACGGAGTTTCATCACCTGCTTTGACAGTTGAGCAGTCAAAGTTCATCTTCCCATTGATTAGGTTGTTGTCCGAGAGGGTCTGGTCGTTACTTCCAGGGGTCATGACTTGCTTCACAACGGCGTAATAGTCAGTATGCCACCAGTCTATAACAGTATTAGCTAACAATCTATACCATTCGTATAGTTAATGCATACCACCGACCATTATCGGGCCAAGATCGACGTCGTAGTCCACGTTTCTCGGGCCATGTACGACGATGGGGCCTTGAAGACCACCAGCATACTGGGCCGAGTAGTGAGAGTGATACCACGACGATCCATACAGCTCCGCTCGAAACCTATACGTAAAGCTGCTCCCCGGGGGAATTGGACATTGGGATACTCCGGGCACACCGTCCATCCATGGGTTCCCAGTCTGCAAAAAACCGTGCCAGTGGATCGCGGTACCTTCCGGTGGATCGTCACTAATCGAGTTGGTGACTTTCACTTCGATCCAATCACCCCAGTTGGCTTCTATCAGCGGCCCGGGGAACTGGTCGTTAACGAGAAGCACCCGCTTTTCATATCCATCCGGTGCAATAACACCTCGACTAACGTTGAAGTCATATCTTCGGGTTATTCCCGTCTGGGGTGCATCAGTGTAAGGGTTGTTCGTCTTGGCCATCTTGCTGCCCCACGGGCAATCCTTATGTCCATCACCTCGGCCGCCATTGTTGAGTATCCACAGTGGGAGTGTTGGAGCTAAGAAAGTGCCCCAGAATGACTTTCTGGAGATAGTTGGTTAGATACAGTTACGGAACTTGGGCATGAACGCCGGCTGGATGGGAGCTTGTCTTACCCGTTCTGCGCGCTTGACGAGAGCTCTCCGGCTAGGCTACAACAAGACTTGAGGAACCCCATTAGAAAATTAACGATCGGACGGCTTCAAAGAAGCCAAGAGTATTAGGGGGCAGTACAAGGCTGAACGAAAGGGTTACATCAAACAACAGGAGACTATATGAGCAGGTTCCTGCAAGATGAGAGGAGATCTATACCATTATATGATCTGAAGTGAGCCAAGAATCAGTCGTTTTGCAATGGCATGCCGTTCCGGGGGCGCTCATACGGAAGGTTGAGACACAGGCGCAATACCACAGGATGTATCCCTGACTAATGTTTACAACGTCTCTTAGCCCTTGGAGCATCGTGTTCATGTAGTCGTCATCATTATCCCAGATACCATCTACGCGGTGTACGTGAATTCCATCCTAGACATGTCAACGAAGGCTTCCGAGCGTCTAAAATGAAGGATACCTACATACATGGTGGTTATTATTAGCCAAATTCTACTGGAGAAAATGAATCCGCTAATCGAATGTCGAGCGACTGACAATGCAAGGTGGACCGATGCTGTACATTGCAGCTTGGCCGAGTACTTGATGGTCATTGGCCAATCTTGAAAAGCCATCGGCCGCCCCCCGCGAGCTGGATGAGGACTGGTAATTGCCATGCCAGAGGCTGCCGATTACCTTGACGGTGATTTTTCGTAAACTATCGGGAAATTTTATCGATAGTCGCTCAGGGATGTCTTGGGCCTCGGTCCGTAATACATTTTAGACAGACTGTGTTTGAGACACACGCGCAGGTACACTGCATGTCGTTCCCCCAAGACTCGTGTTCATTTATTAAGGCGTGTTTCTAGGCCGTGATAATATAAATATTTTCAAGTAAACAGACCTGGCTTCAGGCCAAACAATATATATTCGGGCAACTTACTCGTCAGGTGAGGCCGAAATATTTGTAGAACCATGCAGGCTTGAGGTTGACTACATAAGCCACTCGTGCCATGAAGTAAACAGAGGACTATAATAAAGACAAGTGGGAGGAATAAAAAAAGCGGTAATCTGCGTAGAGGTTGAATAGGAGAGCTGCAGGGCTGTCTGTTCCTGATCATCTAGCCCTTCGAGAAGCCCCTTAACTTAATTCAGCTTCAAAGGTCTCACGCGTCCCTGACTAAACCTGAACGGGTGGCTCGATGTGGCGGCCCTTCGGAGATTCGATGGGGTAGACCATACTCAATTCATGATGAATGTCGCACCAAAGAAAAAACAAATTCGGTGAAATAGGGGAACATAAGGGGAGGGCGTTAATCGTGAGCCGCTTTCAGTACGATTTCCAGAAAAACGGTCGCCTTCTTAATACGACTCAGTTCCCTTGGTTCCCCTTGATAAGCCGATCGAAATTTCTATCCTCCTGAACTTCGATCAAGACCTCAACGCAGCGCCTAATTGCCGGTTCATCCTCAGGTTAAGTTGACACTTCACGTTGTCAGAATTGATTTATGATTCTCTTTTTTTATTTCTTTCTGAATATGCGGTGTAGTTGACAGCTGTGTGCTTCGGCGCCGCAGTGATTAGCTCATGTACAGATGGTCAGTATAGTACAACCTCCTAGTCAGTACAACACGTGTCGGCTGGTGCTGGATGCCCGATATAAGACAAGACCCATAGCACGCTCATCGAATCTGCCGTTGCTAACGGCGGAGATTCCCCATACGATATGTTAGCTGAATCTCAGCTACGAACGTCTGTCCAACGGACCATGAGGCACGATAAAAAGTTGAGATGGTCTCGATCATTGGTTACTTTCGTCTTCAATCCAATTCACCGCCTTTAAGGGGTGGGGAGATAGAAATTTATTGATTCCGTGATCGATAGGTGTACGGCCTTGGGGGCATAATGAAAGGCCGCCGTTGAGCTCGCGCAAACGCTTCAACGGCTATAGGCGATGCGTCTGTTCTTATAACGCTTCCGATGGACATGAAAAAGCTGTCCAGAATGATCAGCTCAAATATAGGTTAATAGTGACACTGCCATAGAACAACACATACCCGAATGTAGCGCCAGATCCTAGCATATACTGACCAAGGGTTCGGAATATACCATTCGGACCAGGGCCGTATCTGAAGATGTTGACAGTCCCTACCAACCAATCGTCAGTCACGATATCATGAAGAACACTAGATGAGGATAAAACCAACCGAAGATGAAGCCAATAATAACACCAACGGCTACAGTGAGGATCAGTAAGGATATGTCCCCAAAGTTGCTAGAATCACATACTGCCGCCCATCATGGCTCCCATCTTTACTGTTGTAATAACAATGTTAGAGACATCCACCCTTAGACCATCCAAGATATGGGGAAGACGAACGCTTGTCGACGGTAGAGGGGCCCTGGGGACCACGGTTCGCTGGCATAGGCGGCATCTTGCGCTGGCTTGAATCTTTCGACGCTGCAACCGAAGTTTCTGAAGTTGCGTAGTAGCCTCGTAGCCTCGTAGCCTTGAATACCTGGACTGGAGGTATAGTGTCGCAACGAGTTGAGAAGAGAAATTCCGACCGGATAGTGGGACCACTCTGCTTCTAGATTTTTGCGATAGTCGTCTGGTCTGGCCTGGTATCGTCTCGTCTTGTTCCGAGGCTTTCTAAGAAATGATTTCATAAATCAGCCGTTGTAAAGCCGGGATCTATGGATGTTTACCTAAGAGTGGGGTATCAGAAATTGTTTTATCGATAACAAAAAGAATACGTAGCTTGAATGTGACATCCATGATCTTAGGAAGAAACTAGGGAGGTCCGAGCGTTTAAGCGTCCTGTTGGTTTGAAGATCAATCACGTGATATGGGGTAGTACTGTAACTTCACCCTCGTTGAAAGTACATCGCGTCGCATGTGCATTCCTCTGCAGCAAAAGTACCTACCTATTTGGGTACAAAATGAACCCTCAGTAATCCAGTGGTGTCGGTATGTACTTGCCTAGCCTTGAAGTAGATACCTTACTAGGCATGTAGGTATGTAAGCGTTGTCAACGGAACCATCCAATGATGTAGAAAAAAATAAAGATGGATAAAGTTGGATCTCCAGGATAATGTATATATATGTATGTACGATGAGTTTATGTATTACTATAATACGATATCTTATATCAAGGAAGGTGCGAAATAAGAAATAACATTAGGTTGCGGCTGGCGGCTCTCTTCGGTGTTCTACCTAGTAGTAGTACCTTAGTAGGCCTTCAATACGTTCATTGTTGCCACATTAAAAATCTGAACTAAGGACGTAAAGCGCTTAGCGAAGTAACTTTGTAGTCGTACATACCTGTAACGTTAGCCAGCACAACGACCCGTCCTAACCTCGAACCTCCAAATCTTTACCTTTCCTCATATCGCCCAAAAGTCCAAAAGGATTCACCGTTATTTTCCACCACACGTCGACGTTGTTGTTGCCGGATGCTTCTTCTTACGTTTTGATGAATCGCATGGTATGTTGTCCAAATTTCTTTTTCTTTTATCGCGCACAAATCAGATTTCGACTCAGCTTTTCGCCCCGGTGTACCCGTAAAAACATCAATCAGCAATCAGCTTTACCCGTCTCGTCTTCCTTCAGCTTTGCCATCCCCTTAAACTAACCAATTTTTATTCTTATCTGGGCCACAGACAACAATATCAATCTATCCCTTCCTTTCGCCAGTACGTCTGAATATTTTCGATCGCTTTTTTCCGACCGTGGGCATATTCTGTACGTGAGGTGATTCGAGTCGCGTGCATGATCAACAGAAGGGGTCCGCTAAACCCCCCGACTCGACTCCTTCACCCTCCGCTTCCTCATCCACACACTTCTATTCCATCTCGCAATCTTCTGCCATAGTCTTCCTCATGACGGCTGTCGCGAGCCCGCCAACTTTTACTCAGCATAATCGGCCGGCATGGAGTATTAACGGCGGACACGCCGGTCAGATCAATCCCATGAATCCCGACGAGTTGAATCGAATGTTTATGCCCCGAAAGAATTTGCAGCGGAATAATTCGTCATCCTCTATTTCCTCCACATCATCAGTCTCTTCGACCTCGACTCTCGCCACCACCGGCTCCCAAACTAATGGAAACTCGTTGCCAACTTCAGGTGATATGGGCGCATGGAGTAATGGTGCCGGAACTCGAAAACGCCCCCAACCAAAGGCCCCTTGGCCGTCTCCTAAACCAGACGCCCAGTCAGATTTTGTGAGGATGTCCGCCGGGCGTCCGCAGTTAGTTGCTGGCATTAACGGTTCAGCACCCATGCATTCGCCTTCGCCGGTATTACCCTCTCAGGGCCTTATCGGAGCGCAACAGGCCATGCCGAGACCTATCACCGATTCCATGCCCGCTGGGAACCAGCCCGTACTTTATCTTTTGTCGCTAAACGGAACCTTCGAGCGCAAGACAATTTCTGTGCCCTTCTCCCCTGAGACCCTTAGGATCGGTCGTCAGACGAATGCCAAAACAGTTCCCACGCCGGTGAATGGCTTTTTCGATTCCAAGGTTCTCTCGCGTCAACATGCGGAAATTTGGGCTGATCGCCAGGGAAAGATCTGGATTCGCGATGTCAAGTCCTCAAACGGTACTTTTGTCAATGGCACGCGACTATCGCAGGAGAATCGGGAATCCGAACCGCACGAGTTGCAGACTTCGGACCATTTAGAGTTGGGTATCGATATTGTGAGCGAGGATCAAAAGACGGTCGTTCACCACAAGGTGGCAGCAAAGGTTGAGCATGCGGGTTTCCTAAACCCTTCGAATAGTCTGCTTGATATGAACTTTGGCGATCTTGATCCTGCTAATGGCTCGATGATGATGATGGGACAGCAAGGCGGTGTTCCTGTTCGACCACGAAATGGGAGTCAAGCGTCTATGGCGAGCAATGGACGGATTGTTCAGAACGGGGGCATGATGGGATCACAGACAAACGTCATGAGTCATCAGCGAGGTCTCTTCTTTTCGCCGATCAGCACCGAGCAGATCGTAAAGCGACTTCAGGTAAGTCACGAGCGCTCTATCCGTAGGAGCCATATCTGACCTCTCTTCTAGCATGAAATGCGAACACAGCGGCTTCAGTCGCAAGACCTAGGCCGAACAAACCAATTTCTCCAGGGGCTCCTAAGTAAAGACGACATTAAAGATAGCGAAAAACCTGAATCGATTGAGCAACCAAAATCTCAAATAATTAATGGCAATGGGATCAATGGTAACGGAATATCGTTCAGATCGGACAACAAAACTAGGTTCTCTGATCCGCCTGCACCTCCGCCACAGCAGCCATTACCTGAAAAGCCAGATGTTCCGTCCCTAAAACGGGGCATCACCGAACGCCCTAAACAATCTAACAACCAGAATATGTCACCAATCCGCCAAGACGGCAACACAAGCCAAATCCTACAGTTGACGGAGGCTTTAAACAGTGCGAAGCGAGAGATAGAATCTCAGAGTTCCCGTATGCGGGACCTCGAGGAAACTCTACAGAAAGAACGCCAGGCTCGGGAACTTGCCGAAGAGTTGGCCAGGAGACTAGAGGAATCTGCCGCAGCGAAAACGAACGGTGTTCCCATAAAGCCAGAAACCCAGGAGACTGCTCTTGAAGCAGCTTTTGAGCCACCTGTAGATGAAACATCGACACCGACTACCAACGGCACGACAGGCGAAAATATGAAGGCAGCACCTCAGGCAGAGGCTATTGAAGCTTCCGCAACACACCTACATGCTCAGATCGAATCGATGGTGTTGGAAATGAAAGATCTACGACATCAGCTAGAAACCTTCAAACAGCGAGCGGAGACGGCTGAAGCAGAGAGAGATGCGGACCGCAAGAGCCTTGCTGAAATGGCGTTGCAAATCAGAAGAGACGCTGAAGCCAGAGAAACCGTCGCAAGAGAGAAGGCTCTAATAGATTCCCGAGCTATCGAGGATTCCGAGAAACCGAATACGACGTCGAAGAAATCGCCCACCGCAGTTAGAAAGTCCTCTACGGACTCGGCGCCGGACCAAGCAAGCCCTGGTGAACTTACTGACCAGCCAACGCTTTCGAGAGCCAATACAATAACACCACAATCAGCGGCACCTGGCCTTCTATCACAGAACCAGGCACTGACAGACAGCATACCTTATGCGTCCATGATGGGGGTGGTCATTATCGGTATGGGCTTGATGGCCTATATTAATGGCTGGCAACCACAACCAAGACTTGAACGATAGGCCGACTATGCGCCATGGATCCGTAGAGAACTGCACCTTAGTGTCACTATCAGGATTGGCAAGATAATACGACTCACCCTCTACACCTCAACGAATCCCAATTCCCTTTGTACCTACTCTATAATAAGTTCTTTTGACGACATATCTTTAGATATTCGTCCTCTTGTAACATGGCATTGGTTTCGGAACAGGCGTTGGGGTAGCGGCAAGCGGTTACGTCAAGAAAGTCAAGAGTCTATGGGATCTTGCTTCTGATTTTTCTTCTTCTTTCTTTCCTGTGTCTACGGTACAAAGCATCAGGCGATTATTACGTGGTCGACCCCTTGGCCTCCCAAAGTTTTTAAGGGTTCATTTGTGATAGGATAGGGGGGAAAACGAAATATGTCTATTCGAGATTGCCCTATTACAACATAGCGGCTAGCAAAAAATGCAGTCTTTGCGCATTTCGAAACTGTAAACTTGTTTCTACTATTAGGTAACCGGGTCCAGTGAAAGTAAAGAAACGGGAGGTAATGGGGGGGCATATCATCACCATAAAACCCCCCCTTTAGAGGTAGCATATGCGGCTTGTATATTGTATGGACAATGAAATACTTTTTTTATCCCAGGACACGTCTTTAATGTGATACGTGAGACGATGTGCGGTCCATTTATTGAGAATTGCATCTAGGATGGTTCTTCAATCCATTTATCACTATACATGCTACTTGGAGAACTTAAAGTGGGGAAAGGGGTGAGAAACAATGCACGTCATGATCACTGAAAGAATAAAGCTCCGTCTTAGCAGGAATTCAGTGGAGCATTGCTTATGAAGTCTACCTAGAGTGTGGCCTAGAGTCTTGCTCCTGCCTTCGGCATTTTTGCAAATGACCCCTGTTCCTTCCCGCCGTTAATTAGGCCTGCTGCCATTTCCACCGCCCCTTCCTGGTCGAGAACATCCACGAATTGGGAAGTTCTTGCCTCCCATCCTCGGGCAGGAGCACCGTTCCTCACCTGGAAAGAACTGTCTCCTTATCCTTTAAAGCAACGTCTCCCGTCTCCCGCCTCCGTCCATGGAAACCGCAATCTTGTTCTTATAACATACACAGTCGGCGATAGCTTAGATAACCACCGACCTAGGGTCAAATATCTCATATGTGAGCTCTCGTGATATTTTCCTTCATAGCTACGTTTTAATTCCGCCGATGCGCAACTATTGCGACTCTCGTGTGAATAAATCTTTGATGACTCGGGTCCTTGATGACTGACTATCGCCGACAGTTAGCATCTGATGTGAATCGTAAAGAGGTCCATGTTCTTTGATTAGAACGGCGGTGGTGAAGTACTTACCTCAGAGAGTCCGGCGTCATCTTCATGACTCGTACATATCAAGTAGGCCCGTCCTGTGGAGCAGAAGCGCGTCTAGCCTCTTCCGTTAAAAACTTCTTTAGGAACGTTGCTGTATGCTTGAGCTGCTCGCCAATGGGCGATAACTTGGCACCGCCGTCCTCCGAGTCATCCTTCTTTTTAGCCTTACGACTGGCCATGTCGTAGAAAATTGAGGCCGCATGATTCTCGAGTACTATCATAAGGGCCATTTCGGCAGGAACAAAGGACTTCCGTGGTGTGTCAGAGTCGGATACCTCATAGTCAATCCCTAGATGGGCAATAAGCTCTAGTCTTAACGATGCCAGAAGTCGGTTGCAGGTACGCGTGAGGTTAAGATAGTCGAATTGAATGTCGGGAAGTACGGCGTCAAGATAATCTTCGACGCGTTGTAGAGCCTTTGTCAACGTTACTTGCCGTTGGTCCTTTTTTGTGGAGCCTGGTGTCGGCGATGACCCTTGTGATGCTCGGCTAGATTGTTTGTGGCCCTTACTCGCTTCATATTCAGCGGCCTTCTCCTGGAGTTGATGGACCATCCTTGGAAGAGTACTTTTGCCATTGAAATACTCTCGTAGTATGGCTGATGTAGGTGTAGGCTGTAGGTTCCACGGTCGAGGTCCAGATCCTAGTAGGGTGCGATGGATTTTCTTCAGAGCGGACAGCCCTGTTCGGTACAGAAACCGTCTTGACACCTCTTTTGATGTCGTTGGGATGTCGTTCGCGAAAATAGAATCCTTCTGGAGTTCTATTACTCGGTCCATCTCAGGCCAGGATATATCCAGCCCAGCAAGTTGTCTAGCGGCATTGTAGATATGGGCCACAGAGAAGATAGAAAAGTTGTAGTCTGCGATTCTAATTTCAGCCATCTCTGATATTGTGATCATGTCCAATACCGCAGTCCCGCCATACAACACATTTCTGTCCAGTAGAAACGTGCTAGAACTGTGAAGCCAGACCCCATAACGAACTTCTGCGCACTCCTTATCGCACTCTGCCATTTCTTGCCGTTTTGACATCAAACTTTCTCCCATTTTTCGTCGTGCTAATAGCCAGAGGGCATTGCCGTTCAAATCGTGGTCTATTCTCCTACGGACTTGAGTCACAAGGATCCGAACCTCTTCCTCATCAGGTATCTCGAGATCCCGTACCCACAAGTCCACAGCAACACCGGCCTTTTTAGGAAACCCATATCTGTCTGCATAAATTGTGACATCCTTCGGTGGTGTGTATGAATTATGTAGCGATGTGTCACAAATCTCGTGCATGTCAAGCATCACCCTGGCGGCGAAGGCGGCTTCGAAGCTGACCGTACCATGTTTCCATGTTGAGCGAAGGACGCTGTGGAAAAGGTCATAGAAGGGCAGGGCCGATTTTCTCATCCTTCTTTGAGATTCAGGCTTATCGAGGTCGCCATGGATAAAACCGTCGAAGAGACCTTCCTTAAGATCCTCTATGAATCTCATCTCGTAATAGAAGTGTTTGAGAAGACGATCTTCCGCTACGCCTCTTTGGATCCGACTATCATTAAGCATCTCCGGTACATCCTTATAGAACGTAGATATGGACATGAAAGGGTGGAAAAGGTCTGATAATCCTGCTGCAAGGGCTTCCGAACGCTCATTCATCTCTCTCAATGTCGCCCCAAGCGGCAGAAGAATGAATTCTTCATACGCGCTCCAAGATTCTAACGGAGCCGTTATCTCGCCCTCTTTTTGAAACAGCCGATCGTTTGTCAATTTGGCAGAAAAGGCAGGATAAGCGCCGCGCGAGAACCATCTTTCCTTGAACTCGGAAAACTCGTTGGACAGACCCATATCGACCAATTTCAGGGCTTCTTCCTCGGCTTTTCTAATCATGTCGAATGCCACAGCGATAGATAATGTTGCGTTCACAAGACTAATATTACCATCCATAAGTCTGTGGAATATGCGCTGCGCCTCTGCCCGCATACGATGTACGTCTTCGAAGAGTGAGAAGATGGCAAAGTCGAGTTCAGCATCCAGAGGTTCAATATCGAAAATATCGAGTTTCACTGATTCATCTGCTCCGGAAGATTCTGGCGAAACATCTCCATCTTCTAGAATATCTGGTTCATCCGGTTCAGATACGTCCTCTAGTTCAAGACACTCGAATATATTTCTATATCAAGTTAGTCATAAATAGTCATGAAAACAGAATCCCCAGTGTTACTCACGTGAACGTATCTTTCTGACTCATCTCGCTGGGTTGAGGCTTTTGCGGTTGGTTAAAACCATATTCTCCTTGGAATAAACACGTCGCTTTCTTCAAGATATTGATGAAATGATCGTGAGATTCTAGTTTGCTGCTAGAACAGGAGTTGGAGCTTTTGTACCAGCGAGCGAACCGCTCTCTTGCCTTGATGCAACGCTGGAGGGCCCTCCGTACACTGAACGGCATTGGTTCTGCCGTTCTTCTCGTGACTGCGCGACTAAGAATCTCGATCTGTTCAACGAGTTCGACCGTTGACACTGTACTCTTGGAAGAAACCTGTTCAAGGGTATCCGATGATTTCTTGGCCTCAGCTGCTGCTTCTGCTTGCTTCGCCTTTTTCCGTTCCTTGCCTTTGAGTCGTGGGGCCGGCTTCACAGTGGTCTTAATTCCAGGTATGATCTCTTTCTGTGCTCGTCGTGGTTTCCAGCCACACTTTTGAGACGATTGGTTCATCCAAGAGAGGAATACATTCGTATCGTGTTTGTACGCGAGGTACGCAGTTGCTGAAATATCGGCCATGTTTATGTTGTATCGTGAGCGGTAGGAAAAGGTAAGACGTGGTATATGATGTTGAGTAGAAAGTATTGATCAATAGATAAGGACTTTAGTTATTATCTGATGATTCTTTGAATTTCTGTAGTTGAGGAGATGATAAAAATGTTTCTAGAGAAGAGAAGGTGTGAGAGGGGAGTCCTATGGATATAAATACCATTACGGAACGAAATCGAGATATCCGTCACTGTATGACTGATCCTGCACCTACACATTCTGCGGACCAATCGCAAGTATTGCACTGTGATACTGTGATGACTAAAGAGACAGTATGTGGCTTAAGCTTTGAAGGTTTTTATCGAATTAAATTTTATATAGTCCTATTCGTGGAAGGAGCGCTTCTCTCGAAGCAACCTTCCATCTCAACTTAAAGTCACACAAGTATTATATAAGCAATATAGTTTAGTATAACCCCCTTTTATTAGTTTTCACTGTGGAACGATCACCTAGGTATCTTCCTAAAACGATGTGTACTGTATTACACTGTCTTATAGATAAAATCCCGAACAATGGCAAGTAATGATATTATCCTTCGTTTCTAAATTTCGGATGATTTATCAAGCATTATAAGGGTTGTTGGTTTCTGCGGTTCATATGGCATTGCTATAGGGAAACAGTCTTCATAGCATATCAAACTTACCTAGGTATATAATCGGGTTCGTAATGTCCTTCTTTCTTCGTCTCATTCACGAACAATTTCCTTGTAGAGGTATGAAGAGCAAGTAGCCATCATGATATGCTTGAGTGTATTCATCCGCAGTTTAAACTAGGTACCTAAGAATTTTACATAGTAGAAAACCAGTCGGATATGTATTCCGCGAATGGAAATATTTACTGGGCTTTCTGGGGTTAGTAAGGATGTGGATGGTACTCTACGGATATGGATTTGCTACTTGTGCTAAAATACCTAGGCACGCAAGGATAGAAAACTTGTACTTTACATTTCGCAATCATATGCACATCGTATTGGTTATACCTAATCTTGCACAAGTAGATCAGTAAATAATCTTGTTTCCCCAGTGAGCCATCCATGGTATGCTATTCCTATCAGTAACTCTTCAAGGAATGGGGGTGGTCGGTACTGTAAACCCCCACTTATTCGCGATTACACCGATATAAATCTTGCAAGATTCTCTACTCCCAGATATCTCATCCCGGCAGCAACTGATAAAGACTGACTAAACACTGTATTTAACTTGTGCCGTCCCGTCGCCGTATGCTAGGCTCACTTTCTGGTGCGAAAATTCGTACATTGAGTCACAGTCAGACACCTGTCGATACTTGCCGAAACACTGTGCGCGGATGTAAACGGTCATTTATCGTCCAAAGCTTCCCTTAACACTTTGTTCAATCATAAGACTAGAAATATCTCATTTTCCAAAATGAGGTCCTCCGCGTTGTTGACTGGCCTAGCCGTGGTCTCGGGAGCACTGGGTGGCAAGAAACGGCTCATTATCGACACGGACATGTTAAATTTTGACGATGACCCACTGGCAATCGGACTAGCGAATATACTGCAAAACTGGGGTGAAGTAGAGTTAATCGGTGTTATGTCAAGTGTGCAAATTCGGCAACCGCAACATTTCCATAATCGCTAACAGTATTATGAAGGTATTAATAGTCGTTACGCTTGTCCGGGCTTTGATGCTATAAACACCTACTTTGGGCATCCAGGTACCCTAACCCTCATCCATACTCAGTGACAATGGTTGAGCATGAGCTAAATGTGTGAAGATGTGCCAACAGCAATCCAGAAGCCTGTTGACAACTTAGTATGTTCTATGCGACATTGGATTCAGAACATGTGACCAGATTATGCTCATCGTACATCGCAGACACAATGGCCAGAATACCCTGAGTATGGAGACTACCTTACCGGTTTGACATACAATTTCACCGAAGACATCCGAGACGGGAGTAAAACCCCGGATCCGGGTATGTTGTTTTTATTTTCTTGCGAATTATTAATATTGTTTGGTGCTAGATAAGCGTTCAATCTAATATTCGGCTTCGCCGTTTTAGTGTCCTCATATCGATATCTCCTCTCAACATCGGCTGACAACTCCATCACGATCGCTGTGATCGGATTCTTCGACAATATGTTCCATCTCATGAACTCCGGCCCTGACCAAATATCACCATATACCGGCGCGGAGCTGCTCACCTCCAAGGTTCGCGAACTAGTCGTGCAAGCCAACGATGCAGGGTATTCATACAACACGGATACCCATAATGCGACGTTCGCCGAAGCTGTGCTGAACTGGTGGCCGGGAAAGTTAACATTCGCCTCGGACGACGTCGGTGAAAATACTATCATCGGCACCCGCATCACCACTGAATTAGACGTGACGAAGAATCCTATCGGCTACGCCTTGCGGACCAACATTGGGTACGGTCAGAAGCACTACGTCTGGGACGCCGTGGCTGTGTACTATGCGGTTTGCGGCCTGGACGATGTATTCAAATGGAAGTATCAGTCCGGACGAGTGAGTTTGAATGCCTCGGCCTACGCGACGTGGGAGGCCAATGCGACAAGCCAGCAAAATTCTATCGAGTTTAAGATATCCAACGCAACATTCGGAGCAAGGTTAGAGGACATATTATTATGGGAGCCAAACCACCCTGTGCCACGGAGGACGTATTGTAAAAATTAATCGCTGTTGACCTGAGTCTCATTATTACCTAGACAATGAACTGTTTTGAGACTTGAAGTTATTTTAGCGTATTGCGGGGTCCGTATTCTCGATCGATGAGGGGAATTATGCTGCTTTTCAAAGTAGGTCTTTTATCTATCAAGTTGTGTTGAGATACATACCTAGGTAGGTATATAACTAGAATGTTTCATTCATAGATCTCCAAGTAAGCCGATGAACTCAGCTACTAGCTGTTGTTGAGCTTGGGGGCCATATTTACGGCAGTGGTTCCATATCAGCTCCAGATACAGCGGGGCCCCGCTCTCTCTTGGCCTTCAATTTCTTTCGTATTGCTTTCGTTAATCCAAGACAGCCCAACTGGCTCAGCACATTTTCGATGAGCAAGTCGAGCGGTTGGGAGGCTTGGGAACAAGCACTCAAGGTGAAAGGGTGCCCTCCGTCTTGTTGGGTCCGGAACCTCTCGATACCCGATGAACCAGGGCATATCTTGCCCAATATTCAGGGAACCTTACCTTCAGTCGAGGAGAGGGTTCGAGAGGCGGCCGCTGCAAAGTTATACCGAAATATCAGACCATGGCAAACTCGAATTCTTCGTATCGATCCCGCGACTCATTTTGATGCGCCGGTCCTCTGCACCCTCTTAGTTGCAGATGTCATCGCCTATGAGGGTTTAGGCATAGTCGAGGAAGACGGCCCTAACGAGATTCCATATGAAGCACTTTCGTACACGTGGGGTGCGCCGGTTTTTTCGCTTCCGATTCAAATAAATGGTATCGAGTTCTTCATTACTGAAAATCTCGACTCTGCTCTGCGTCACCTACGTTTACCTGACTCTAGACGTTATCTGTGGGTCGATGCGCTATGTATCAATCAGTTTGACAATAGGGAGAAATCTGTACAAGTTGGACGGATGTTTTCAATCTACAAAAAGGCTGGAAGGGTAGTTGCATGGAATTCTGGATGGTCAGCAAATAAGAGTACCGTCTTGTCTACGGTTCTCGCAAACTTGTCGCACAGCCAAAAGCACAGCGACGACTGCCTCGCCCGTTTTAAGAGATTATATCTGTTCCTCTCTAAGGCGTGCGAGCCTCCTTTATTCAAGCGAACCTGGGTGAGACAGGAGGCCTTCGCCGCTAGAAATATCGTGATGCAATTTAGCGGTCTCCAGATATCGTGGGGAGATTATGAACGCATCAGGGACTTCATTGCGCTACTTAAACAGACGGCGGGCGTGAAACCTGAATCTTCCTTCCTGGATTTCACCGATGCCATCTATTTGAAATCCCCTTTCAACGCGATTATGACGTTGGTTCAACCAGACTACGAGAACGATCGCAAACAACGCAAGGAACATTACCGAGCTGCGGTGAATGCTCCCGTCTCACTTCTGGACGCGTTGGTATTTTCGTCGTCTTTCGGTGTGACCGACCCCCGTGATTTGGTCTATGGCATACTCGGTTTCACAACGGTCCCTGTATCGCACATAGGTATGGATATGAATCAACCCACACTAGAGGTTGACTATAACCGTTCTGTGTCCGAGGTATATCAAGACGTTGCCAAATATGAGATCACCCGAACGGAGTCATTGGACATCCTTGACTTCTCGGCGTCCCGTCCGGCTCCAACCGATATCCCTTCCTGGACTCCTGATTGGAGGGTCTATGATCCTAAACTTGCGCAGCATCGTGTATTGAATAAGACGAACTCCTGGAAGTACGGATTTATCGACGTTGATAGAATTGGTGCATCATGGAAACCAATACAACAGCCACCTGATGCTAATGGGATCTTATCGACGAAAGGCATTGTTCTCGGCATACTCCACGAGAACATTGACGAAGCTACAGCTTGGAAGCCATATATATCCCCAAGTTTTGATTCTGGATTTAAGGAGAGATTTGGAGGTAGAAGCTTCGACGACACGACACTCTTCCCAGGAGTAAGCCGAGATTATAAGGCAACGTTTGACGAAATGTTCAAAGATGGGAATCTACCCCTTTATGAAGGGAAAGTCGCTGGAGTGAGCATGACCAAAGCCGGGAAACGGCTTATGACTCTGGTTCAAAATGCAATGCTCGACAAAATCGAACATGACCTTCGAGATAGAGTGATCACGCCACCGGAACCTATTCGAGGGAACCATACTATAGGGTGTGCGTCATCAGATATCTCTCTAGCACCCAAGGGGTTTCAAGGAAACGACATCGTCGTCCTATTCCAGGGATCTCAGTGTCCCTTTGTCTTGAGGCGGTCCAGCCAGGGGAGACACACCTTAATAGGAAGAGCAATATTTCCTTTTTGGTTTGAGCATAAGTCGTCGTCTTTTGATGATCTTCGTTTTGAGGAATTGGCCTGGAGTAGCCCCAAGGACATCTTTACACAGACGTCTAACATATTGAAAAGCAGACTCAAATGGCCGGAGAAGATGAGTTCCGTTTGGAAACCCGTGCTGCAAGATGCCAAGTTCCTCAATTCGCTGGAGGACTTCCAGTTAGTTTGAACCTAGAATAACCGAGACTTCTTGACGGACACCTATTGGCTCCAGCGGGATAAGTCGAAGGCTAAGTGAATTGCATTAGTGTCAAGAGAAGTAACTAGTCCGGTATCGGTAATGTTTTGCTTCCAAGACTTTGGAGATCGGAGATCCTGCTGCGCTATTGCATAAAGAAGCGATAATAGGGAAGCTCGGGACTCGTCTCCACATTGATACGTAGCATACCTACGATATCACAACTGACTCAGACAACAGCGTACCTTCGCCTCTATCGGGAAACGAAGCCTAGAAATTGCTTAGTACGTCATGTTTAATTCAATGTAACTTCGGCTTCGGGCTCAGTTATTCAACACATGAAACTGTAGCCTTCATCGATTGATCCAGGAGACTCACATGCTGATATAGTTCGTTTTCCTAGCTAACAAAGCTAGATAATCTAGCAGCTGTCCATATCCACATATTGTAATATATCGGGTTCCTATTTCATCTCAGTATGGGTGCCTTCTTCGAAACTATCCCAACGTATGTAATATACCGAGAGTTCTTCTGTTTCCTTGGCTTTTGAAGGGGTCGGAACTTCTCAATTGAACGGGTGGAAAAACCACCACTCCTGTGACATAAATCACTAACTCCAATTGCTAGCTCTCTCATCAAGTGGATTCTTGATCAGAAGATCTTCTGGGTATCAACAGCACCGTTATCGGGGAAAGGTCACGTTAATGTCTCGCCAAAGGGCGGACAAGCCTTCGGTGTCCCCGACGAGAAGACGTTTTGGTATCTCGATATGACGGGCTCCGGAAACGAGACTATCTCGCATCTTCTGGAGCCGGGCAACGGCCGCGTCACTATTCTCTTTAACGCCTTCGAGGGCCCGCCGCGCATATTGAGGCTCTGGGGTAAAGGGCGGGTACTGGAAAGCGGGTCTCCCGAATTCGACGACATCGTGCAGCGGGAGGACATCGAGATAATCCCGGGCATACGCTCCGTCATCGTGGTCGATATCCACCAGGTTGGTACCTCCTGCGGATATAGCGTGCCCCTGTACGACTTCAAGGAGTTCCGCACGACGCTCTACGACTTCTTTAGGCGCAAGGAGGAGAAATATCTCGCCGGAAACGAGAAGGAGAGCATGGACCGTTACTGGGCCCAGAAGAACGCGTGGAGCATGGATGGCCTGCCGGGCATGCAGAGAGGGCTCGAAGCCGGGCGTCTTTACGCCATTAAACCGGTGAAGAAGATGGTTGGACCGCTAGCCCCTAAGAATGGGGCTAATTTAAGCCTTTGGCGGAGCGGCTTTCATGTGGAACATTTCGTTATCATCGTTCTAGCTCTCTTGCTTGCTATCGCGCTGGCTACACATCCTGCTCTTCAGCATCAGGCTCAGACACGAATATTCAAGGCGGTGCCAGGAGCACTTCCAAGTTCTGTCCGATTCCGAGATTGATACTGCTCACAGGTCTATCCCCCCATCGTTAGTAAGAATACTTGAGGGTTTATAGCGCAAGACAAGTGGCTTGTGTGATACCAGATTGGCCGCATAGACATATTCTAGGAATTCTGTTGGTCATTGAGATATTGGTATTGGTTGCGGTGAAGCTGATGCCCTATGACAGTCTTCAAAATGAGTCATTGGTTGTCTTACCTCTGAAGTACAGTCTAGTTAGTGGAAGAAATCCGATCAGCAGAGTATTGGTTAGGTACATCTCCCTATTCGTTTACCGACAATTCGGAAACTAAACATTCATTATTTCATGCTTTCTCATCAGGCTAGCTCAGGATATTTTGAAAAGACTAGGGTTTCTAATAAAAAGAAAAGTTTTATCATGATACGATATAATACGCAGTAACCGTAACCACACCTCAAAAATTCCGTAGAGACACCTCAAAATCCCATTTAGGTTTAGTGGATTATTGGTTTTTAAATTAGCTCAACACCACTTTGGACCAATTAGCTTACAAGCTTCAAACAGCTTTCTTGCAATATCAAAAGTTTTATATTTGAAAAATAAAGTATATACCATTAGATAGAGATTAGCGAGAGGATTCGATTGATCCAGGTTGCACTTGTATCAGACATATAATGGCAGAGATATCATGAAGAATCCAGTGGATGAGTAAGCAAGTGCGCTGGGGTTGAGGGGTGTCACGTGCCACCTAAATGTACCGCTCACTTACTTTAAAGAATATTGACACATGACAGAGGTGATGCAACTGAGTAAAATATATATCATTGGACTCCTTGAATTGAGGGCTTTGAAATGATATATTATTTATTCCTTGAGACCCTTTGAAGCAAGACCCAGTTCAGTTTCATTAAAATGTCAGTGACTTAGGCGCGGGGCGGTTATCTAGCTTATGTAATTTTGCTTAGGTAATTCGGGATTTGCGTTTTTCAGCCAATGAATGGTGAGTTAATGATGGGATAGCCAATAAAATCAATGTCATAGCTTTAAGCTAGTCTAAAAATGGATTTCTCTGTTTGTGGGATAAAAGCACTGTTAAATTAGTGTAGGTGGTGGAGTGGCGCTAAGCCCAATTAGGATTTTGAGGTGTCTCTACGGAATTTTTGAGGTGTGGTTACGGTTACTGATAATACGCGTATTATATGCGCAGAAAAGATAATGACTTACAATAGCTAGTTTTTCATGATAACTGTCCGTGCACACAGATATCGCTACCCCTATTAGTAGTACATAGGTACTGCGCTTATCGTAAGTTAGGGAGTCGGTTTGAATGAGATTCGACCAGACGAGGAGCAAATCCTTTGGAAGAGACCGATTAATAGTCAGATAATTTTTCAATTTGTCTTGAACTTAACCGAGCCTGCGTGAGTAAGACTTCAAGATGACAAGACCTTGTGTTCACATAACGGAGCCAAGAAAAAGACACGGACCCTTTTAATCACCTAACCCACTATTCTATCGGGCATGATCCGCAAAAACGTGGCGTCTCAATAATGACAAGATTGGTCAATGAAAAGGGAGTACGGCATCGTCAATGGCGCTTCTCGTGCGACTGCAACGGCGTCGAACTTTTCCCCGAGAGTAGGTTCCTAGTAAACATAATAATTTTGCTGTTCATGTTTGCTGAGAGGCATTTTACTGCGACCTCATGATGTTACAAACCTGCATGCTCGACACTATGCGGACATGTGTAGTGCAGCCGGAATCTATGCTAGGAAATTATTCCCGAAACCCGGCCTCTAGCTAGCCCCTAGCCGTAGATCCTCTACTAACTGCGCACCTCGTAAGGCCGTGCCTCGGTATTGAATCGCTTTGTCACTTCAGCTCCGGACTATTAGAACTTTTATAAACCGAGCAGTAGAAGAAATGTGTTGTACTTAACAACTTTTTAAACATCAACAAAGCCATGAGAGCAGGTATCAATGATAAATAAACCGCATTTCTAGCGCTAGATGGGCTATACTATGATTTAGTAAACTCCACCGAAGCTTGAAACATAGGTACCTGATAGGAGGATCGCATCCCATTCCCGAAATGGCATGTAAGTGGCGTATTTCCTTCATTTCATTCGCCCGCAGGGGAAACGCTGACCGAAAACCTCAGTAACGATAGCGGGAGCCGCCGCAGGCAGCGCCGCGCTTGCGGCATACCTGGACGCCCGGTTCCACATCCGCAACGACATCAAGGCGGGCAGCAACAAGCGGCGAGCGGCGCGGTGGCAAGCCGACATCGCGCGGCAGATCCGCGACGGCAAGACGCACGTCTACCACATCCTCGAGGAGCAGGCGCGGCGGGACCCGGGCCTCGTCTTCATCGTCTTCGAGGGCCGCGAGTACACGTACGCCGAGTTCTTCCAGGCCATCCAGCCCGTCGGCAACTGGCTCATGAAGGACCTGGGTATCAAGAAGGGCGAGATGGTCGCCCTGGACGGCGGCAACAGCCCCGAGTACGTGATGCTCTGGTTCGCGCTCGAGGCCATCGGCGCCTCCATCGCCTTCATAAACTGCAACCTGACGGCGCACCCGCTCGTGCACTCCGTCAAGGTCGCCGGCGCGCGGTACCTGCTCGCCGACTCCGACGTGCGGCACCTCGTGTCCCCCGTCGAGGAAGAGCTCAGTTCGGGCGGCACGCAGACGCTGTACTACGACCCAGCCTCGCTCGGCGCGCACGCGGACGCGGAGCCGCTGCCGGACGAGCGCCGTGCCGGCGCCAAGCCCACGGACGTCGCGTCGCTAATCTACACGTCGGGAACGACGGGCAAGCCTAAAGGCACGATCGTGACGCGCGCGCGCACGATGCTTTTGCGGGCGTCGAGCAACAAGATCGGCCTGCGGCGCGACGACAAGATGTACACGTGCCTACCGCTGTACCACGCCTCGGCGCAAGGGGTCTGCTGCCTGCCGATCCTCGCCACAGGCGCAACCATGGTTCTCGGGCGGAAATTCTCGCACCAGACCTTCTGGCCGGAGATCCACCGATCCGGAGCGACCATCATCCAATACGTCGGCGAGCTATGCCGGTACGTGCTGAACGCGCCCGCGTCGCCGCTAGACCGGGGCCACAAGGTGCGCATGGCGTGGGGCAACGGGATGCGGGCGGACGTGTGGGAGGCGTTCCGGCAGCGCTTCGGGATCGACGAGATCTACGAGTTCTACAGCAGCACGGACGGGATGGGCATCATCGCGAACGTGAACCGGGGGGACTTCTCGCGGGGCGCGATCGCCGTGCGCGGGCCCATCTGGCACCTGCTCAACGGCGCCGCCGAGGCCCGCGTCCGCGTCGACCCGGATACCGAGGACATGGTGCGCGGGCGCGACGGGTTCGCCGTGCGGTGCGGCGCCGACGAGCCGGGGGAGCTGGTGTACCGGCTCGACCCCAAAAGCACGCTCGGCGTGCCGAGGTACTACGGCGACGCCGCGGCGTCGGAGAAGCGGATGGTGCGCGACGTGTTCGCGAAGGGGGATTTGTGGCTGAGGATCGGGGACGTGATGAGGCTGGATAAGGACGGGCGGCTGTTCTTCGTGGATCGGCTGGGCGACACGTTCCGCTGGCACTCGGAGAACGTGTCGACGACGGAGGTGGGCGATGTGGTGGGTTTGCACCCGCAGATCGCGGAGGCGAACGTGTACGGTGTTGCGGTGCCTAATTCCGAGGGTCGGGCTGGATGCGCTGCTGTAGTTGCCGCGGAAGGGATTTCTAGTAATCCTGAAGACATAGCGAATGGGCGAGGTCTGGACCTAAAGGGGTTGGCGGAGCATTGTCTAGCAGAACTGCCACGATACGCAGTGCCCATATTCATCAGAGTTGTTAAGCAGCTCGAACACACGGGGACGATGAAGCTACAAAAGGGACCGTTGAGAGCTGAAGGAATCGACTTGGACGCTATCGAGAAGGCGGCGAAGGAAAAGGGGGGAGATCCAGATGCGATATACTGGCTGCCCCCCGGTGAGAAGAGATATGTTCCTTTTTCGAAAAAGGATCTCCAAGAACTTAAAGGGGGCAGGGTCCGTCTTTAATAATACGTGTGCATACATACCTGGGTCCTTAAATAACCACCTATTATATTGTAATGAAACCATACAATTCGGTTACCGTATTTTCCATACTATTTATCTTTCATGTATACCTATGTAGTCGGTCCTATAAAAACCCAAGTCGTTGACTTAATATTGCGGATTCAATATTCCCCTTGGAGAGGCTAGACTACCATCTACACTCGGTAGTGCACGTATTGGCCTAATAACATCTCTAATTATGATTCATCAACCATCTCAATTGGGTATAAAATCGCAAAGGATGAATTCGTTATACTAGGTATCCGTTGTGAACCGCAGAGGCTGCGGATGCCGACGAACGACTCTTTAAAAAGACCTACAACCGTACGCTGAGGCCTCCCACCATACGTACTCAGTAGACGCAATTAGAACGCCCAGTAAACCTTGACCTCAACCTTTTGGACGTTGTTCGTCCATCCTGGAAATCTGGCATGCCCCCAGACAGTAATCATGTCGCCAAGCTTCAAGTTCTTAAGGAATGCACCATTTCCAGTACCTGTGCCTCGACCAGCATCTTCCAACGTTTGCGCTGCTGCCGATTCTGGTTCTACATCGTCGTCCCAAGACCACTCGACATGATAATGCTGAAAGTTTCCTTCGGCGTGCTTGTTCAGTTGTATCAGGCGACCTTGGTTGGGTAATAATTCATGATGGTATCGCATAAGAGCACCACCAGCGTCGACTTCTTCTAGTGGAGGCCAAATTGGACGGATTGCACAAGTTGGAATGCTTGGAGTTTTCTCTGCGTCTTCCGACCCTAAATGATCTGGACATTCTGATACGCCTAAAGCACGGTCAGTACATCAACTATTCATAGGGATTCGCGTCGGGCTTCTTACAGTCGTTTTCTTGGTCGAAACGCTCCAACCCGACGTCAAACCAAGTCCACGAACCGGTGTACCGTCCGTGGTTTTCCCTATCGCCGCTCCAGCCTTGGTCGCAACTCACGATGTCAAAAACCACCTTGCGGAATGGATGCTCTAGCGAGGAGAAAGAACCATCTACGAGCTCTTGCAAGTCAGACTCTGCATATTCTTTCTTGAGCCGTTTAGGCGCAGACTCGACTCTCCAGAGATCTCGGTTAGACCGTGACCATTTGGTCAGTCCCAGAGGTTCAGTACGAAGCTATCGATTAATGTAAGTAATGTTGAAAGTATAGAACTAGATTTAAAACGAAGTTCTACTAACCAAGAATTGATCCTCAGCTGGGTATGCCCCAAGAATTGTGATCTTCCGTTGAGGATTGTTGCTGTAGTCGATGACGGTGGCAGCACAAGCCCAATACTCAGCGCGATCGAGTATCATATCGACCAGCTCCGGAGGCATGTTGCTAACTTTGGACAAAATGTCCTTCACCTCAATGATATCTTCAGGTCTAGGTTCGTAGAGGCTGCTAGGGGTAGACGGCTCTTGTTCGTCGTGTCGGCCCGGAGCCGGGGCTATAGGACCCCGTCTACGGGGGATGGTGACTCCTCCTCTGCGGTTGATCATGATGGGAATAGTTGAAGTGTTTGTAGTTCTCTCGTTAGTGCTAAAAATTCGAGGTATAAGTATTATTGCGACCAGAAAGAATAGGGCGATGTCGAAGAGATCGATCATGTTTTGGCGAAAGGTAAGTGGAACTACAGTCAGTTGATTAATTAGTTGGTGACTTTAATAGGCCAAGGTTAGGAGAAAATGTGTAGGCAGGCAAGGAATGTGCAGGATATGCGGGGGCAATTATGATGCTCTGGAAACTGTAAACATGGAAGTTACACAATTACTGGAGAATACCCAGATAGTACCTACTTCGTACGTCAGTTATTCTCAATGGGACGTTTCAGAGGCCAATAAACGCGGCTAAAGATGGCTGTGTCACCTATCAACGTCAGCTCCTCGTTTCCGCCTGCCGGCAACTACGTATGTAAAGGTGTGGCTAAGATGGCGGGATTGGCATAACCAGACGCCGATATATTATGCCGTTGGTCGTTTTTCAAATTCGGATGACTTTCTGCGCCGTACACGTCGAGCATTTTAGTTGTGACATCATCTGTTACCTTGGCAGCTTGGAACTTTGTACATTGGCACCAAACAAGTACCTACGTAGCTTGTTATCGATTGCATTTATGAACTGGCCCGGGATTTTGGGAACCGACAGCTTAAAATGCGGATCATATGGGGCGAAAAGGGTAGGTGGGGCGCTAGTGGGGTTATTCTCACTGGGAGCTAAAGAGCTAGCACGTGAGGTCGCACCATGCAAATCGCGCAAGTTCGCCTCTGTGCTACCCAGCTAAGTTAGAACCTTTCAAGGTTTAGTCTCACTAAATTTCTATCATGGGAATTACAAATCCAATATATCGAGGTTGGCATAGCTGTCCATTGAGGACTCCTACACCATCCAGCCAAAGAAAGTGTCACGATGAAGGTTAGGGGATATAGCGCAGCCGCTCTGCGACGCGTTTCTGCTTCTTTACAGCCAACTCACAATGCGCCGTCACCTACTTCACGACTCCGAACCCGGCCTGTAACATCCTCTCTGAAAACTCCTAATCAGCAATATGGAGTTCGACTGTTCCAATCCCAGCCTTCCAAGTGTAGCAGCGCCAGTCAAGGAGAGGCGTCAAACCCTGCTATGGCATTTCCCTGCCTCGATGCGATAGAAACCCGGTCCGCGAAGCTTGAAGCAAAGTCATTATCTACGGGACCCGAGCCCGCATATACCACCGGCGCCACAGAGACCTTTCGTTGTAAAGATCCTCTCTCGTTAGATTGGGGTGGCGTGCTACCAGAATTCGACATCGCGTACGAAACGTGGGGCAAGATGAACTCGGACAAATCCAATGTGATACTGTTGTATACGGGTCTTTCTGCTTCGTCACATGCCCATTCGACGGAGAGTAACCCGCAACCTGGATGGTGGGAGAAGTTTATCGGTCCAGGGGCCTGTCTGGACACTGACAAATATTTTGTGATATGTACAAACGTCATCGGGGGTTGCTTTGGATCGACTGGACCGAGCAGCATTGATCCGGCCGATGGTCAGAGATATGCCACCCGATTCCCAATACTTACGATGGAGGATATGGTACGAGCGCAATTCCGGCTTTTGGACCATCTAGGTGTTGAGAAAATCTATGCAAGCGTTGGGTCTAGTATGGGAGGAATGCAATCTCTGGCAGCTGGTGTGCTATTTCCTTCGAGGGTTGGTCGCATAGTGTCCATCAGTGGCTGCGCTCGCAGTCACCCCTACAGTGTCGCAATGCGACACACGCAACGGCAAGTGCTTATGATGGACCCCAATTGGAACCGTGGGTTCTACTATGGCAAAGTGCCACCGCATGCTGGAATGAAGCTTGCAAGAGAAATCGCCACGGTAACGTATCGATCCGGGCCCGAGTGGGAGCAACGATTTGGCCGTAGGAGGGCGGATCCGACGAAACCCCCCGCTTTATGTCCTGACTTTCTCATTGAAACATATCTAGACCACGCGGGCGAGAAGTTTTGTTTAACATATGACCCAAACAGTCTCTTATACGTTAGCAAAGCTATGGACCTTTTTGATCTAGGTCTTGAAAATCAACAAGCAGCTGCGCAGCGACGAGCTGAGCGGGAGAAGCGAATCCAGTCTGGGTCCCCTCCGACGCCAAATGATCCGTCCTGCAGTCTAACATTACCGGAGTCGCCATATTCTGAACAGCCTGGAATCAGTGTCGATGATTCAAGCCCATCTGGACATGGGGATCTTGGTCCTCCCAAAGATTTGATTGCGGGGTTGTCATCTTTGAGGGATATCCCCACTCTTGTCATGGGCGTTGCGAGTGACATCTTGTTTCCTGCTTGGCAACAGCGAGAGGTCGCCAACGCAATACGACTCACAGGGAACAAAAATGTGACTCATGTTGAGTTGAGCGAAGAACAGAGCATGTTTGGCCATGACACATTCTTATTAGACCTGAAAAATGTTGGGGGAAATGTTAAGAACTTCCTAGGATAGGCCTTCAAACCTCTTCAACGACAATCATATTTATATTTGGCATTCATGGATGAACTGGTGTTGGGATCAGTCCCAGGCATATCATACGGAGGCGTATAGGTTTCCAAAACAATAGGATCAGTTCAACAATTAAAATTTTACTATTATATGTTGCGCGATGTCTTCTAGGACGTGTCTTTCACTTGAAGCTATCATAATGTGTAGGTATATATACATATATAAACTAAGATACCATTCCACACCATAATTTCAATGTTTTCATGGAAAGCTGAGAAGTCCTGCCTACCTGCCAACCTGCCAATACATATCGAAAGAGTCGCCCGGTGACCTATACTTGAGCAAGGAAACTTGAACTAAGAGGTGCCTAGTTCAGTCAGATAAAAAGCACCAACACTTAACGATTATTGGCTTGCTCACTCATATTAACCAGGTTAAGAAGGCACGAGCTCAGCACGTTCACACGCCGATTCCATCTATATGAGCATGTTACCACGCTCCTTCGATTTCCTTTCTCAAACTACGTCACTTTTATGAGTTTATATCGAAAATTTCAACTTTCGTAAACGTCTAATACCAAACTAGCAGTCGCGATGAACAGACATGGCAGCTCATTGGTTTCTATCGTCTCATGTTGACTATCGTTCCTACCTACTTGCCCACTCACCTACCTGTCTACATCTCAAGTTACTTATTCTAAAATAAGACTTACTTATCTCATAATCAACTCACCCTGCTTGCTCTGGAGACGCTTTTGTACTTTACCACCTACCTCTATTTCAACTCGAATAAACGATACCCTTAGTCGAACAAATCTTAACAAGTTCAACTTATGAAAACATTTACTCCGAAGCTTGAAGAGTAGGAAGATAATTATACTGCCAAGGCATATATCATTTGAAGGTAGTACTAGGCATTTATTCAGTGCTGAAAGATTCATCATGTCTCCGCAGTTTGAACTGAATGCAGACATTCGGCGAATGACTAGTATGCCCTTCGTTTTACACTGGAGATCTCAGCAAGTCCCCAATGCTCCTGGTGCAATTGAGCCATTAATGAATGGCTATGAAGGTGAGTTAGATGACCGAGGAACCAATAATATCACCGACGGAGCTAACACCCACGAAGCCAATGCTGATGAAGCTGTCGCCGATGCGACTGTCGCTAATGTCAGAAATCTACCAGAGGCAGTGGTAGATTCTACGTCCAACGAGGTACCAGTTGCTCAGGATGAGGCCATCTCGCCCATATTTAGAGAGGGCGGAATCCTGCATGGGATTATGGTCCTCCGTGGCGCCACAGGGCGCAAAACTTACCGCTTGGACCCTAACGTCCCTAAGAAACCATCAAAAATACATGGGCACAACAACATCGCAGTGGGCACCTGGTTCGCCAATAGACTGGTTGCACTTCAACGTGGCGCTCACGGATCAAGTATGGCGGGCATATGCGGCAACGTTGGTGCCGGTGCCTATTCTATCGTGGTCTCAGACAACTATGCAGACCTCGATGAGGATCAAGGAGACGTCCTCTTCTATTCCGGCTCAAATAGCCATAGCAACCTGGATCCAACGCGACCAGCACCATCCACCGCAAACACCAAAGCTCTGAAGGCATCGCTGAACACAAGACGTCCTGTGCGTGTGTTACGATCAGGTAAAGCGCGCTCGGGAAATCATTGGGCACCCGAGTGTGGTCTCCGGTATGATGGATTATACCGAATTGTCGCGTTGAGAGAACGCGTCAATAGTAAAGGTGAGTACCCCCTTTATCTACCGAAACCTTCCACATAAGAGACCTAGTCTTTAACGTAGTTATATATTGCGAAAGCAATATAACAGTTATGTTCCAATACTAATCCTTTGTATAGGTGGATTGTACGAACAGTTCGTCCTTCATCGAGAGCCGAATCAGACTCCCTTAGAGACACTACGCCGTACTTCACCAACGGCACAAGAGAAGCGGGACCTAGCGGAGTTCCAACGAGGATAGTGAAGTGAAGATGGGTCAATCGACTTTGTAGCGGAATTGTCGAGGCCGTCTATTTGTGAGAGCATGTCGCACGCGCTGCACACGTCGAGCTGAGGGCTAAATTCGCAAAAGCTTCAGGGTCAGAAAGGTCATACCTATATACCTACATTCATCTGAGAGAGGGCTTCCTGCGATGTATTAGCTCACTTCTAACCTGGGCCACTACAGATTTGTCAATGTAACAGATAGCTGTTAGTGTAGCATTCAAGGTCGCCGCAACGGCGGACCAAATTCATGATTAATAACCCAACCCGTTGATTTCCAATGCACTGTGCCACATTGGTAGTTCGAGTTTAGACCGGAATGCGAATCATACATCACCATAAAAGCTCAAAAAGGCAACTCCAGACCTCATCCCGGTTCTTATCACCGTTTCCGACAAGGCCCGTTAAGCCCGCCAACTCCGCGATCAGTGAAACCTTGATTATACTAAGAACACCACTATATCCAGGGTCTAGCCCGCGGGGTCGGGTGAACAGTATTGCACCTTCTAGTCACTGGTCGAAGACTTGCTCCAGTGAAGCACATAGTTCGTTTATTCCCTGCTGAATAATCATGTTTTGAGACTGTTGCTGCGTGATATGACAGAAAATTCGACCGTGTTGGAGGAGTTATCCGGACTTTGACGGGCAGAACAACTTTAAGCTTACATGAGATTTTGTGATGCATCTTGAGCTTAATCACATTGTTGTAGTTGGAGGGGAGGGGAGGAAACACGACCGTGTCTGGTGGCGGTAGATAGATAGAGCGCCTATCGGCAAGACGACATTAACGAGTGAACAGTGTCTTAGACAAGTCGATACTCACTGAAAACTCAATATCTTAGAAAATCCAAACTAAGTATTCCTATACTTACCAAAGCAACCACATTAACACCACTACGATGGCCAAGTTCAACAAGCTCGCTGGCAAGCACGTGCTCGTCATCGGAGGTTCGCAGGGCATCGGTCGCGGGGTCGCTGAAGGCGCGATCGAGTCTCAAGCCGTCGTGACCATCGTCGGTTCTTGTAAGTACTTACCTCTCAAGAATCCACCATACTCACCTACATACTCATACCTACTGTAAATCACGTAATAACCAATTCCAAACAGACAGACCCAACCTCCCACCCAAAATGCAAAGCGCCGACAAAACCGTCGCGCAGCTCAAAGCCTTGTACCCCTCCGCCTCCGTCATCGGTCTATCGTGCAACCTCGCCACGGACAACGTAGAAGCAGACCTCGACAACATCTTCACGCAAGCGAAAGCAGCGCACGGCAAGGCCGTCGACCACGTCGTGCTGACGGCAGGCGACCCGGTGCTCGCGCTCGCGCCTCAAGACATCACGCTCGAGAAGATCCGACACGCGGCGCGCATGCGGCTCGAGCTGCCCGCGCTCCTGGGGAAGGTGGCGCAGCGGCACCTGGCGCGGACGACGGCGTCGAGCGTGACGCTGAGCACGGGCGGGGTGGCGGAGAAGCCGAACCCGGGGTGGAGCGTGACGGCGTTCATGGCGGCGGGCCTCAATGGGCTCGCGCGAAACCTCGCCCTTGACCTCAAGCCCATCCGCGTTAATTCCGTCGAGCCGGGGCCTGTGGACACCGGGTTCTGGGAGACGGGCGGCATGACGGCGGAGCAGAAGGCTGCTGCTTTTAAGGCGTGGGATGAGAAGCTGCCGACGGGTGCGGTGGGAGCCGTGGAGGATGTTGCGGAGGCGTATTTGTACTTGATGCGGGACCGCAATGCGACGGGAGAGGTGGTGAAGACTAGGAGTGGTGCGAATTTGCTTTGAGGGGGCTATGCAGTGCTACGTACCTACGTATATGTTCTTGAAGGTTGGGAATAAATAGTGAGATAGGGGATGATAGGAATGATTATCTTGTCAAAAAAGTAACTATCACGAAAGGGGTTTTCCGACGTATAGGAATTGTTCAAATGCGTACCTGTAATACGCGCATATTTCTAGATAGTCCTTACATGTAGAGTCTTGAATAAGGGGTAGTTCAGAGTAGGAAGTTTGAGAACGAAATGGCAAGAGCTCTCAAGTAAAAGAACGAAACCTTAACTTGAAATTGTCAAAATAACAGAACTAAATCAGAGAAAAAGAGTAATACAATGAGAGGAAACCGTTAGATGGGCCAAAAAATGCAAAAGATAACTCCGATACGGGGAATCGAACCCCGAGCTCCTCGGTGAAAACGAGGTATGTTAGCCGTTACACTATATCGGATCACTGATGTATTTTGACTCGGAAATATGTCTTATATAGTGGGTTTGTGGCAGAGTAAACGGGCCAAGAAAAATCAATCCCTTGGTTGGCTTATTTAGGAAGCTTACACGCGTGTTGACCTCGGATTAGGTAATGAAGGGATAGCTAAGTCGGCGAAATTACGGTAGAATTCGGGAAGAATTTAGTACGTGATCATTCCTTTGGATTGAAGTCTTTTAGGCAAAGATGAATCCTCATTGACGTAACAAACTCCAGATTATCAGCGCCAGAGAAAAGGAAAGAAGATTGCCGATTTCCATTGAAACCCCGTATGTATTAAGAAGTAGAAGATGCACATGAGTTTTTTTTCTCTTCCGTGCATGTACGTTAGTAGATCTAGCATAATCATTTGAGTGCTGGGAGAATACGCTGAGAATATATCCAAAACAAACGTCGTTGCACTTATAAGTATGGGAGATGTTATTTTCAAGGTTGCTATTTTGGGTCTCTAGATGTCTTATTAGACACGTAAAGATACACAGATTGTTCAATTCGTAATCTCATTTCTTAGCAAGAAAGAGGGCGCGCTGCGAAGTGTCTTGCTACGCTAGCGCTGTAGGTAGACCGAGACTTGGCTATGAGGAATATATTACCAGTAGTTCCAGGAGTAACCTCGGGGACCCATTTAATTCCTTAAGTGTTATACTTTAGAAGTTGGAATTGAAACCAACAGAGATTTTGAGGATACGCAGTAGCAGAATCGAATTATCTGTATTTCTCGTACTTCGCAGTATCTTTAAGCAGCTCCTCGACCTTCTCTACTGTAGCCAAGTCGTACACTTCTTCTGGTGTCTTGTCTCCTCGGAGTATCTCTTTATCATGTCGTATAGCCTCTTCCTTGGTTATACAGACGAGATCCGAAAGTCTAATGTTAGACGACTTCTGCTCATCGGAGCCCTCTCCGATCCTTACTAGAATGGAACTCGTCGGCTTCCGCCATCTTACCAGAGTCAATCGCGTGGTGAGTCCGGTGATGGCGCTGCGACCTTTGAAGATATCTTCGACAAGGAATGCAGTATCCGCACTCGTGATAGGCACTTTCAGACCCAGTGTAACGCTTGCGTCGCCACCTGTCATGTGTCGGAGTACCTTCTCCTCTCCTCCCTGAACCGCGGCGAGGAGGCTTTCATACATCTTCTCCCGGCCCTTCGCCGGGAGGTAGTCGTGAGGATATCCTATATTAGAATTAGTCAATAGCTAAAAATACGGAAGTAAAAGGGGCCTCTACCAGTGACAGAGAGTATGACGTGGTTTGCTACGGTATATCCAAATACTGCCGGCATTGTTCCCAAGACCGGTAGTATCCGCACTCGGAAATCTGGCAGGACTCCTAGATCACCCACTTTACCCTTCTGGAATTCGTCCTCTGGAAGTGGAAGCAATTCGGCTTTGCCCTCGCCGGTCTTCTCCGTCGAGTATACGGTCGGTATTCCCTTGGTAACTCCCAGAAGCTTCAGACGTCGACGAGTAGATCTTGACAGTCCATCATCGGTACTAGATCCTATGTCGCCGACCATAATTCGAGTAGGATCACTCTTACATCCTGCGCCCATGGATGATATTACCGGCAAGTTGTGGTCGTGGCAGTATTTCAGCAACGCGACTTTAGTGTCGATATTGTCGATAGCGTCCACGACGTAATCAGGTCTCTGTCCGTTCTCGCCCCACGACTCTAATAGCCTACCCGCTGCTTGGTCCCAAAACTTCTCCTGTCGCAGATCAAAACGTACCCATGGAGTGATAGCCAACAACCGTCGCTGAAGGCATTGCACCTTCGGACTACCCACATCGGCCAACGTAGCGACTGCATGTCGATTGAGGGAGCTCAGCGTGACCTGGTCAAAGTCTATCAAGCGGATTTTGGAGACTCCCGATCGTGCTAATGCGGCCGTGCAATGCGATCCCACGCCTCCACATCCGACGACGATCACGAACGCATTGCGCAATTTGTCGAGTCCGTCCGGTGTCAGAAAGACGCGGTTACGTGCGAGCTGTTCGAGTATCAATTCGTCATCGTAATCGCCAGCCTGCGCGCGCCGTGCCAGTAACTCGTTTCGGAGGTCTTCCTTATCGGCCTTTGCACCACCAAAGCTGTTAAGCTGCCTCTAATCAGCAATTGTTCCAGAGACCAATCGAGTAGTAGTATACCATAAGGTTACTCACCCTTCGTATAGCTTCGCCTTCGTCTAGTAATGAAGGTATCGAGCCTTTCAGCTGATTGGCCCGCTCTTCCCTCTGCAGGCGTTGGTATCCTAAAATTGCGCCTGCGACGACAGCGCCGGATGCGAGAGCAGTAGCGGCAAGCTGTATTTTTGAGTTCGATAATGAAGCCATTGCTATGCGTATCCTAGCATTATATAGCTATTTGGAAAGGTTAAGAGAAAGAAATACCTGGTTTATATATGGGCAGACAGGTGCCTCCCTAGGAAACTAAGAAACACCTGCCGGCAGTCTACACAATAATCTACAATTTTTAACAAGAACAGCACGTCATATGCAAATTATTTTGCCAGGCACGATGGGAATCCCCCCTCGCTAACGAAATTTTAGTGGGGTATACGCCGCACTAATCGCAATTATGGTTCAATAGTGGACCTCAGTGTGCACAGGCTCGAGCTGAGAAGCAGCCAAGCGCTACCAAGACAGTTTATCCGCAGAATATCGAGGCAAGATATCTTGGTTTGAGCTTAACATAACATCAAATCAACTTACCGGTAACATTATCTCTCATCTCGTTCCGTTTCTCTTAGAGAAGGAGGAATCCATTTTCATATTTATGAACCATACGAAAATACTTATTAAAATACAAGAATAGTTATCCAAACCAAGGAAGATGACTAGCATTCTCCGTCTCTTCTCATCTCTCATTCAATTAAATTCCTCATATTCCCATATGCGCATATTTCGGAACCAACAGCGCTATTAATGGGAAGGGAAGCTTATCTAACATGCGTGGGCTTCAAACTGAGAGACTCTTAAGTAGAGACCAGTCCAAGTCCAGTTCACGTCTCGGTTGTCTAGTCTCAGTCTCAGTTTCGCCGGACCTAATGGTAGTTGACAACGTCTGCTTTATTGGGTTCTCGTACGTCGTGCCACCCGTCGTCTATGTGCAGCGGTAGTATTTGCTGCTTGCCCTGTTGCTGGAGCTCCTGCAGCCGCTCCGCTAAAGGCGAGTGCAAGGACGTTCTCGTCACCAAGGGCGTTTTGAGGGAAACGAGAGTTAAACCCAATGACATCTCGCGCCGCCTGGAATGTAGCTCGGGATAACATAAGCTTTTCGGTTGACACAGACCATGCGACACCCTCAGAGCAGGGAGGTGTCGTGAGAGAGCCGGCGTATCTCTGAAAGCTTCCCGTCTTCAATGTATCGACCAATTCTGACATAACCAATGGCTTGGTCGTTGTGCTAGTACCGGGAGTGGCGATTTCCCCAACGGAACCAAAAATCGTTTCGAGTAAGGTCGACGGCGTTTGTCGACGTGTTAGGCGGGCCTCAGACACATTCTGGGGGCTGTCTACCAAATCAACATAGACGCCGATGACCGCTATGTTGCCGGTTTCCGAGCTGAATACTAGATGCATTTCCACTAAGCATGTTAGCGGTGGCGTGGATGAAACAAGACAACGTTCACTTACTCGGAAGGCTGACGCCATTGTCGATGTGCTCGCTAGGGTGATGGACTATATCATCTGGAGTTAGCATTTTCTCCTATTGATACGTCCGGCGAATACTTAGGGGCTTGAGCTTGGATCTTGAGAGTTAAACTCTTTTCGACCAAAGATAAGGCTTTCGATGACACTCACAGTGAAATTGTTGCAACGTGAAGTTATTATTTTCCAAAACGAAAGTCCCACCCAAGCCTTTCATAACTACCTCGACTGTGGAACCGAGATTTTCGAACGTGGCGCCCTCAGGAACATCTGGAATAGTCAACTCGGTGTCAGATGCCGGGATAAGTTGGAATTGCCCCTCCACCATGTCAATAGGCGATTGGTTGGAGCCGGTGGAGCAAAGCCCATTGGCGGTGGTGTTTAACTGAGTCCATAGAACGGGACCTATTGCGCCAGTATAACCAAACGTGGAGATCGGTACCTCTTCTCCTTCAGCTCTTGGAAAGAGGTGCGTTAATGAACCGCAAGATGCCATCGCCGACGTCACAGACGTGGCTAGGAGAAAGAGGCGAGAAAAGGCCGAAGACATCTTTACTAAACACAACAGATAGAGACATCAACAAGCACGCAAATGTCGAGAACGTGAAGCGAAGGAGAAAATGAAAGAATTTAAATATAGCGATGGGGTAGCCGGCTCCCAGGAGCGTACGACGAGGATCTATACCAAAGAAACGAAAGAAAACAAGTATTATAAAGAGCACCAAGACACAAATTCCTAGCTCAGCCACTTGTCTAAGACAGATGATGAGCAGCGCCGGCATTATATACGATTCCTGTGCCAGATGTCGTGGAACCAAGATTGCGTAGCTCTTCTTGGCCAAAACTTCAAGCCTCGAAGGGGTAAGCAGTATTGGCATTGCGACCTCATAAGCTACGGGCGCAAAATAACACACGTGGGCATCGAAGTCACGGAGATCTATCCAATCTCCTAGTTTAAGGCGCTTTGGGGTTACCTACCACGTGAAGTTAGGTTTCTTCAGGCCAAGGAAAACACTATCAAGATCCCAGTAGGAAAAAACGAGGTTTCTTGGTGATATCGACCCTAGAGTACTCGCCTGCATCAACGACGACATGAAGTAGCCAAGTAGGCCAATGTGTCAATGAAGGATTAGGCGGTTTTACTTCAGCAAATCTGTCACACGGGTAATAAGGAGATGTCGCCAAGTGAAGCTTCTCGATACTTATTCCTCTTGGAGAGGAGAAGCGAAAGTGATGGTTGGTGCCCGTCTCTCTTGGCCGATGTTTCGATACAGGTTATCGAATGACTGCAGAGCAAGAGATACGTACATTGACACAGGCAAATTCTTCGGGGGTCCCAGTCACGTAAGCACTGGCGCATGAAGGTCCTCGGATGCGTACCTGGCTAAATTTGAAGGGAACACCCGGTATTAGGTACCTACTGCTAAAAATTAGCGTCGAAAAAGTCCGTTTCCTGGGAGTGCCTAGCAAAGAGGCTATCGGGGCATTAAATCTTAGAATGCTCGGAGCATCCCGGAATTGTGACTGGAACACATCGAGCAGAAAGAGCAGTAGCCGTTGCTCCCCGTATTTTCTCTATTGGAAGAGTTAGAGCCAACTGCAACAGATAGCTACGCTCGAATTATCAATCCAACATTAGCATTGTCCTCATTCCAAATAAGAAGGGTCAGATGCATTGTCCGACGCTTGACTACTACTACCATATAGTAAGTTGCAGCCGAACAGGAAGCTTGATTCGCAATACCTTTTCTGGCAGACTTGTCAGCCCATTCTGCCCCCTTGGAGATGCTTGGTGTTCTTGGCTCATTAGTACGTCGTTTAGTTGGAGCATTAACGTCCAGGTATTTAGGTAAGTTAGGTGCCTGTATGTATATACATACCTACCTAAGTAAATTCCATCAAACAAAATGTATACAATATGGATCTCCGAAATTTCCCATAAAGCCGGAACATTTGAAGACTATGTCGAACTAACGCACTTATCACCAGCATCAATATCGACGACGGCTTTCTTTTCTTTCGTCTTTCATCATCAAATACCCATCAAAGTGGTTCGGCAGCACCCGTCCTTGGGAGCCAATGAAATATCCGCATTCTCTCCAGATTCGAGAAGCTGCCTGGTTCTAGACCCTTACAAGAACCCTCCCCCGGAGTGCTACAGGGATGCCCTAAGCAGGGTATCATTTGTTTAGCACGATCCAGGGCGCTTTTTTCGTCTCAACTCACGAACATCAAACGAACCGATAATTTTTACAGCATCTACACAACCCAGTATCAATCCAACTGACAATCCTTAAATTGAGGGATCAACGGCGGGATCAACGTTGGTAAACTCCAGCGCATTCGTCTGATGTATCAGTTTTGAACTCCGGCGGGCTCCATCAAAAAACTGCTAGATCGATGTTCTAGTAAACGTTACGACTCGTTAGCGAGATCTCGATGATCTGATCGATATTTATTACCTTCTTACTTACTGAGCTCGATATCATACGGACTTGCTTATCAAAATCGGCATGGCAGACTACCTAGTAGGTAAAGATCAATTCTGTATTCTGTGACTTAATCTTTCTTCTTTTCGTTTAGTTGTTCCTTCTTTCGTGTAGATTCATAACGGGGCCTTGGTACGTCCCCCCTTGACTCGATTCTATCACCGAAACGTCGGGACTAATTTAGATTGCCCATGTGTTGATCTTCGACTTCATCGTATTGCATACTCCCTTCTATTAGCGCCTATTCACACCGATACTAAGCCTTCTTATTGCTCAGCCTCGCTGTCAGCCAGCCAAGACCTTCGGCTTCAACTTAGCAGCTTAGCCTTAGGGGCTTTGAAGGATCACCAAGACCGTCACCGATGAATTCCAATGTGAAAATATATATTACACATTGTAATGTCAAGGTTTCTCCAACTCCGTATCACTATCTCGCTACCATAAGCAAGGAGCGTACCGATTGCATGGTATCTCAAGTGCAATACTGACACCGCGAAACTTCGATATGCTGCCCGGTTGTCATCGGAAAATCCCGTTTAGGAGTTTGCATCTCTTGGACTTATCTCGTTATAATAACAGATAAGGTGCGGCAACGTCGGGGTAGAAACCTATTGACCCATGACACTGGAATTTGCTCATGACAAGACAGACCGTTATCCACACCATTCGGCCGAGACAGTGCTAACGGACCCGCAAATACGGAGTTCTCCAACAGGCACGGAGTGACAGATACAGAGGCAGTCAGCCCGCCCAACTCGTTATTCTACGGAACTGTTCCAGTTTCAACTCTGTCGCTCGCTACCTAGGCCAATGGCAGATTGCAATCTAAGGTTATCCAGGTACATAGGTTCCTATGTTCTAAACTTGAAGTCAGCATACCATGTACCACGAAGAGCTCGTTGATTGTAAAGGGACTCGGCTAACCCGAGCAGTGAAACACGCTTCGCGTGAGGCCCCAGGGACATTCATTATCACACTATGGCTCTGAGATATTGTTGATACATGAACTCCGCTATTATACTAACGATGCCTCTTATTTCAACTTTTAAATCTGCAAGCAGGCATCCCTCCGATTCCCAGCGGCAAAAGTTCAACGCAACAGCCTAACGGCTCCAACAGCGGTTACTTCTTCAACCGCACCCAATCAATACCCTCTCGCAATCGATAATCACGCTCTCGGGTGGTTCTTGTTAAAGGTAATCATCGTTCCATTCGCCGTGGCTGCGATATCTCGATCAGCCAAAAACACGCAGTACTTTGCGACGTCTTTGAGTTGGACGGCTTGTCTCTCGGGCTCGAAGTTGGCCGAGATGCTCAGTGCGTATGCCTCCGTATTGAATCCGCCTAGCACCTTGAACCCGTCCTGTATGTTGGTGTCGATCATAGCACCGATACTAAGCCCTATGGAGTAGATGCCCTTTCCCTCGTAGAATCCTGCTGTGTTTTTTACGAGGGCGGCTACGCCATGCTTGCTAGCCTGGAAGATAGCTGTTGGTAACATGACTCGCTGGTTTCAAGGGTGAGGAGTATAACAACTCACTGTGTATGCTGCTCCTGCTGCCGTTCCGTGCCAACTGGCCGTCGACCCGATCTGGATAATGGTACCTCCGGACGGCGATTGTTTCTGCATGGCGTTCACGGCAGCCTTAAAGATCAGAAACGAACCCGTCAAGTTGAGATTGATAATCCTGTCCCAGTGTTCCTTGCTCAACGAACCCACGGGGTCGAATTTATCCGTCATGCCAGCATTGCTGACGACAATATCCAGGCGACCGAACTTAGTTACGGTGGTATCCACGAGTTTATTTACTGCAAATTCGTCCGTGATATCAGTGTTCACGGCAAGGAAGCGTCCTATCGATTCCAACTCCCCCCGAACCTGTTGCAATCTCTCTTCGTTGATATCACAGACGACTACGTTGGCGCCCTCGTTTAAATAAGCTAGCACCACGTAAGCCCTGTATTTTACGGCGCTTATGGTGCGTCCAGCACATACCTGTCGCTATCACCTTACCCAAACCGCCCGCTCCGCCGGTGACGAGGACGGTTGTTCCTTGCAGTTTGTCTGCCATGTTTCGTTCGAGCGTCTGGGTAAAGGCTGTAAGCTCACGTACAGTTTTTCGTGCTCGAGATAAGAATTAATAGTCGCCCCACAAACACTCGCTCAATTTTGAACTTGCAGATACTAAGAGACGAGATATAGGTAAGCTCTTCGACAGACTTTATATGCTAGTTATGTAGGTTGGGACGTTCGAGGCCAATTACGTATTCGTATTGCAATCCCTAGTTTTTTACCCACCCTTCCACCAACTCCTCCCTAGAATCGCATAACAAGCCCCAATACACTTTCGTATTCGTATTGAAACTGCGAGAGCTGCAATTGACCGCATACGCGTCCCATCACATCCCGACCCAGAGACCTGGTAACAAGGAAACGAAAGCAAGTTTCTAGACTCTTTGTTGCATCGCGAAACGTCACTGACGTTGGACTTCCACCAATTGTCGGTGACTCTGTAGAGTGAAGTTAACGGACAGATATATTGTCTACCTATATTCATGTTAGCAGATCATAGTCACCCTTGTCTAGAGCGATGCGGGCTAACAACACCTCTTTACCTGCGTGTCAATGATCATCATATTCGGCTCGGTCCGCATGAGGACTACGCTAAGCTTCCCTGAGAAGTTAACTGTGACAAGAGCTCTCGGGGTTTCGGGTTCACGTTCCCACTCGAATCAAGCCTCGACTTCGAAAGTGACGGACTGAATATGTGGTGATAGAGTCGGAAAAGTGAGACATTCGGATGACAGAGAGATATGGTCATACTCCACAATAGACATCATATATCACGGCAGCTTGAGAGTCCAGTAGGTCCTTCCACCATGGAACAATTATCATATTCCGTAGTTACGGCTCGTAACGTTCATCGTCATTGCCGAATCAGGTGTCTACTTACTTACCTACCTACCTACTCCATCACCTACTTCCAATCTCATTTGTATACAAAGCTAAGGGTCTTTGATAGGGGTTATGTCATGGATGAAAGCAATGACAAGCCTCCACACCAAATGGAACAAGCGAACGAGGTGGAACTGAGTCGGCCAGGCGTCCGGATGAGAGAGGATATCTCACGGGTCACCCAACTGTGAATCCAGTGACTCCTTCTCACCTTGAAGGGGAAAAGAGTTATCACAGTCCTTTATGTCCCATGACAGACATCGTCGCTGCTGATTCAAGTCTCTCGTACTGACCGCCTTTCGTCTTCCATCCCATACATAAGCCGAGATGATGCCTTCGTGATAGGAAGCATGTCATGGAAGTAGCGAGGGGGAATAAGTCGCACTATGAGATAGAAAATCGAGTCAGGAGTGAATCGATTCATCACGACAGTAAGATGTAGAAGGACAAAGAGCCGACTATGTCCGACCGCCATCGCAAATAGTCATGGTTTGGAGCTGTATACGGCAATGGTAAGGATTCCAAGCAAATGACACGCAAACCACATCCCGACATAACCACATATACATGACGATAGGTCGGTATGGAATCAGTGACTCTTCCTCTTCAGATCTTCTCTAGGAATTATTATAACACTGGAGGGCTGGAGGCCTCAATCTTTTTCCTTTTCTTCTTCTATCCTACAAACCACAAATGTGATAATTTCACTTTCAATTCTATTCAGAGGAACACATTCTACTTTATAAATTACACTATTTTTATTGATATATTTAAACTGAACATGAGATTCTCAGTCCTTATTTTAGGTCTATTACCTCTGCTGGCCTTTGCCGCAGATGATGGCGATGGCAAGGCACCTAGCAAGCCTGACACGCTGCCAGCGATTCAGCCTCCTTTCGATTTCAATGGTATCATCGAGAAGGGGTTGATGGATAACCTTCATCCTACCCCAAGTCATATAAAATATTTAACTGGGAACAAGATGCCTACAGATTGCATGGCTCATGCAAAAGAGAAAAATCACGGACCAGACGAATTTGAGGTCTTTGAGGTCTATTACGAAGATTGCCATGTTCCGTGGGTGATGTGCCGTCTCAAAGACACACATGTCAACGCTACCACCATGGCCGACGTAAGTAACCTATGCTCCTTTACATATCCAGAAATATGTAGCGACTGATGACACTCATAACACAGACATTCGGAAGGATGCCGCTTGGAATGCGAGAATTCGTCAAGCATGTAATTCTCTTCAAGCCAAAAGACCTTCCAGGAGCAGCTGCCTGGGACGCCGGAGACGTCATCGCGATCAGTGAAGATTCCTTTCGTCTTTACGTCCTCGCCCATGAGATGTCTCATTCGATAGACGCGCATATTGAAGTACCCGGAGTCACGCCCTCCGGAAAAGGCGGCCTTAGCTCGAGCAAGAGATGGGCGGAGCAATACGCTCTCGACAACGCGACGGTCAGCGACTATGCGCGGACCCTATGGGCGGAGAACTTGGCAGAGACGGGTATCATCGCCCTCTACAACATCGTCGTTCCTAACGGCGTGGCCAACCTCCAGCATAACTCACCTCGCCAAGTAAGTACCCAGCGAAGTGTTTCCCCTATCGACATACCATATACCATAACGCCATTACTAACGTCTTACCTCTTCTTACTCAACAGGTCTTCCACCAGTACGCCACATATACGACGTACTACCGCGATATCATCACCCCGGGAAAGAATCAAACCTGCAAACAGAGGGTGCCAGATTCCAAGATGGTGTACTGGCCTGATATCGCGTCGGACGGCGTACCGACGGAAACTCGCACGAAGAAGGTGGGCATCACACTGATGGAGCCAGGTGCATTCGACGAGAACGTGACGTTCGTACAGCCACCCGCACGTTGATATGCTTTAGAGGGTTCCTTATAGCCAATGAGGCCTACGACGGGTAGAGCTCAGGCAGAGATAAGTTGTTCGGGTACTGAGGAGGCTAGATGTGCTGAGTATCTGTCCCGTGGTGATTCACGGAGTATGGTCTACTCTAGAACCGACGCATTATGGGGAAATGATGTTATCTCTATTTGAGAAGTGGCCTGACTCCTAATTGTTCTTTTATTATGCATGAATCTACGGACCATACACTATGGTGGAGAGCTCCTGGAGAGCCGAAGTTACCTACTAGGGATATATTACGGGGTCTTGTCTGGTACATAGGATGCTACGTAAACGGGAGTGGGGGATATATTCTCTAAGTCAAGCGATACCCTACTTTGTTTCATTACCTGCGGGTACTCTATTCTACATATATGTAGGTATGAGATACAAAGTTAACACATTCATCATCTACATAGGTGCGTAGAAATGGTTTGGCTTAGTCATCAAGGCAGCCCCTGAAATAGGAATAACATCCTTTTCAACTACGAGTCAGTAAGCTTCCATGGAACTTCGAGATGTTCGATGTACTTAATAAAAGTAAATTTCATGTCTATCCAGTTAGTAACTGCTGGATATAAACTCATTATACTTCGAGTTTCCACTTTCTATTTCGGGAAAACGGTTATCCAGCAGTATAATGTTTGTCTCTTAAATTATAGGTGCGTCCCTGATGTGATTGGGGCAACTAATCGTTGCTTTGATGGAGGCCTTACAGTTGTCAGAATAACTGAAGAAGATATCGGGGAATAGGAGGCTTTCAGCAAGAGCAGTAATAGTAACCCCTTATAGCACCTCGGCCCCCTTTTTAGTCAAAAAATAGCATTCTACTCAACCATCCCTATATGCCTCCAATGAATTACCCGAGGTAGGCGTAGATAGGTAATTACAAAGCCCCTGTTCAATTAATTCAATATGGCTGATGTCATGCGGTTTAGGTAGGTAGGTAGCTGCAACGGAGTTTACTCGGAACAACTCCATCCATCACGACCCTCTCTAGCGGCATGTAGAGATCCACAAACCCAATTCATGTCAGGATTTGAAGTGAGCAACACACGTTATCCACAAGAAACGGCCCCGTAGCTTCAGAGTCAGGCACTTCGCAGATCAATTGTGGAATTAAGAAGAATTCCACTTCATTCACATCTCTTAGCAAGTAGGTACATTGCCCCGCATACAAATTTAGCTGCATACGAATGTACCACTCATGTGCGTACACATATTATACGCATCTTATACGCATGGGGTTTTCTACATTCCGGATCTCTTGGTAATATCTTGCGATCATATCTCCTAAAGCCTAAATGAATCCATTTGAGGGTGGGCTAGTAGCTACGGAGGGGCTCTGATGCTTGGCAGGTGGCATGTTCGTAGATATCGTAGATGTTGTCTTGAATAAGAGAACTCTGCGTATCATACCTATACAACATGTTTACCTAGGTTATTGATGTTAATGCCATTAATGGGGATTAGTCGCCATCGTGCCTCGAACTTCGCTTTGAGGGAATAGACTACAATCCATGTAGACTGGCCATCTACCGCCTTTTTTTGAAAATTTGAGATATTGTTGGGCCCATTTTTATTCCAAGCTAAGCCCATTATGGCACGCCTTACCGCTTATAGTTTAAGGCTCTACTATTCTAGTATCAAAATGATTTTTGAAATTATCCCTTACTTTACTTCTTTAAGTAACTTCCACATATTATAGCTAAAATTATAGAACACAAGGGATAACTCTGCCAGCAAAACAATATAATAACATTTATATATAAACTTTCTAAAAAGTTAATAATAGTTGTTTAAAAGTTATTATTAATATATTAAAGTTACAATTAAATAAATATTTTTTTAGATTTATTTTAAGTAAAGTTTAAGGAATTATCGTGGAAAATATCCTTAATATAGATCTTCTAAAATGGTTTAGCTTGGGAAAAAGTGGACCCAACAATATCTCAAATTTTCAAAAAAGGCGGTAGTTGTAAAACAGGGATGATACTAGAGCAAGGGTCTCATTCACACCAGGCTCGATACTACGAAAACAGGCTAGGTTTATGGTAGGCAGCATATTCACAGATCACGAGTACTATTAGAAACAAAAACAATAAAATTGCGAACACAACACCGTACGTGGGCATTCAAAAGGCTATGCTAAAACTCCTATGTACAAGAAACATATCACCAATCAGCTTAGCGCGCTCAAACATCCCCGGAGTATTGGGCACCGCGCAAACATGCAACGGACTCCTCCCCGCAAATTTTCCTTGTAAGTCGGTTTTTTCCCTAGCGTCTCCGACTCGTGCGAAGAGGAATCCCTTGATATGCTATGCGTTGCTCTCGTCTTGGAGACCCGAGTATCCCACGTGATGAGGTGGTGACTGCTTAGTTGGTAGGGTAGCCGCCGGTAGCGGGGGTAGAGCTGCCAGGGGTGGAGCTACCGGGGGTAGAGCCGTGAGGGCTGGAGCCACCGTTGTTGGGGCCGGCAGGGCTGGCAGGCGCAGCCGGGGCGGACGGGTAGCCACCAGCAGCGGGCTGAGTAGGGCCAGCAGGGGCCGGGTGAGACTCAACCGGGGCGGCAGGAGCCTGAGGGGTAACGGCGGGCACGCCGACTGAGGGAGCTGAGGGAGCAGATCCGCCAGGGGCAGTGGGGAAGGGGTGCGCCGACGAGGAGGCGGAAGGCGCAGAGCCACCGTTGTGGGGGACGGCAGGGACGGTCACATCACCACCGGTGGGGTAGCCACCAGCCGGCTGGGGAGCAGGCTTGGGGGTGGTCTCGGGGAGGGAGACGGAAGTCGTAACGGGAGACGGAGCAACCGGCTTAGAGATATGGGTCTCAACCGAGGGCTTAGACGGGGCGGTAGCTGAAGGGCTAGTCGCGTAGCCAGTCGGCACGACAGTCGGCCCGCCAGCCGGTGCGGTGCCTGCGTTTCCTGGAGTGCCCGGAGAGTTGTTGCCAGGGGCGCCGGGAGCGCTGCCTGGGCCAGCTGGGGAGCCCGGGACGCTGGCACCTGGGTAAGAGCCAGGAGCGGGAGCATTGCCACCGGGGCCGCTGGGGGAGCTGCCAGAGTTGCCAGGAGTGCCAGGGGCCGCACTGGGAACAGAGGGGACGGGCGAGAAGTTGGCAGTGCCGTAGTCCCTACGGTTCATGAAGGGGACCGCAGAGGCGGTAGTAGCAATGGTGAGGACTGCGAGGAAATGCATGTTGACGTTGTCTTGAGATTTGTATTAAACGAGTGAAATTTGTGCGATAGAACCTCAATGGTATAGAGCGACCGGACCGACTGGCAAGGAGTGACTTAAGTGAGAGTTAAACGATAGTGGTTGTGTTTGTGTTGGTATTTTTTCTCTCTCTGAAAGGGCGAGATGTCGATGTCTAATATAGTCTTCGAAGCACCCCTAATCCCCCTTGCCACGTGTTTCCCGCCTCGAATATTGCAGAAGCCTTTACCGCCATCGAAGCAATAATGTTGCTATTCTGGGCAATTTCGCATGCGTGTCGATCAACTACCGGAAGGTTGGAAGTTGATATGGGACCCTGGTCCCACCCTAGATTTAGTCCCTTGCCCCAAAATGCAGATCGACGTTAGTCCTGCTTAAGAGTTGAGGCTCACCAGGTTCTAGTAAATTGACTGCCGAACATGTGACGTCGTGCATTTATCCCTTAATCTTTAATGCTCGTATGAAATTTACAATTATCAGGAGTTCTCCTATGACTCCCTCGCTGCCCAGGTGGTTTGCCAATGATCGCATAGCGATGGCAAAATGGAAGGCGTTTAGTGATCGACGCGGAAATACACCAACAGAGCCTCTCCGCAGTAGAGAAGAAGACCTGCTATGCAGGAATGTTGGAACGAGCCCGGATTAAGGGCGAATTACTGTAAGCATAAACTCCACTGGGTTGGGGACGAACCGAGTTACAATTTTGGCTTTCTTGTTTAATAGGATATAAAGGCCAATCTAATTGCCTAAAGATTCTAGAAAAGGACGGGTTCGTCGGGTGCGCCACTGAGGATACGCGACTAGGAAGAGAGCCGGTGTGTTGGCTGGACCATCTCCATGAATTCCATGGTACCATAGAGGTTTGACGGGGCCACCCGTGCCAAGGCAAAACGGAGCCGGACCCCTTATTGGGGCTCAAAAAGAACTTGACCGCTGTCCACTGTAGACTTGACTTCAAGAACAATACTCTCGATGCATTTCAAAGCTACCTAGCTAGCTGTTGAAATACTGAGTCTCTAGCCGGTCTTTGATTTATTACCTGAGCGACCGGAAGTTAGACTCGAACTTGCTCGTTCCTCGCGGGACAGTTATGGTTTGGAAGGGCACACAAACAAGCGTGAGTAATCTTCAAGAACTTTGAGATCCCGTTATGAACGGGGATTTTCCATAATATTACCATTAGATTAGGTTCGTAATTTTAAGTAGCCAAGATGCTTAGATCAATCTCGGCGAATGGAGCCGCAAACATTTCTAAAGAGTTATGTGAGTAAAGACGGAGTGGAATTCTAGAGATCTCAACTCGTTCCACTCCATGTGAAACGGAGACTGTTTTGCAGATGGATGTACGCGAAGTAGGGGGCATGGAGATGTTTTCGTTCGTAGTTGTCGATGCATCAATCCAGGCGTCAGGGTTAGATTCCCGAGTCGAGGTCTTGATGGACAACTATCTCTTCCTAGACTGTCGACATCGAGAACGTTGTGTTTGTCGTTGGAAGTTGGAGCCATGTGATAGCTGTAGTCCAATAGAATTTACTCGCACTTCCCCGCCGGGATTAACGCGGGGATTGAGATGGGTATGTATCTGTACAGTAGGCAAGTGTTGGTTGCCAAATGCCTCCTGAGTCACTCGCCGCTACCCTTTTCCAAGGTTGCACAAAGTGGATTATGTAAGGTGCTTATATAAGCATTGCATCCTGATCAGTAGGTAGGTACCTATGTACCTACCTATATTCACCATGAGTTATGAGTTTTCATACCTATCGTAAATACATCAACTCGAATGCAAACACCATGAAGCCGGTTGAATCTGTCGACAATGCTCTGGGTCTCCAGACGCTTCCCAGGGAGATCTTATTGATGCTTCCCAAATTTCTAGATAACCTTGAGGACTACGTGAATTTATCCTCCACCAGGTGAGTTTCGACTCTAGCATATAGAATCTGTTCATTAATAAGTAATCCCCTATAGTCGCCTCCTTAGGTGCTGTATGGCCGCGGCAGATCCGCACACAATCCTGCACCTCGCCTGGGCATCAAGCCGAATTTTCTTCCGTCCCTCGCCGTTCTTCCTCTGCAGTGCCGTAGCGGCACAAATAGGTGTTTGGGCCCGGGAATCCGACGCCAATGAAGTAGAACTCGTGGCCGGGATGCCGCGTGGCCTAGATCACTTAATGGACTTGGCCCTGCGTCATAGACAGATCGGCCTGACTATGGAACGTATCCGTGAGCTGTATGCAATGCGATTCTCCGTGATAAACCCAATATCAGATCTCATCGACAAATGCGTCGGTAAGCAATGGTACAGTATCCCCAATTTCTGGTCTGGCGGCGCTTCCGATGCGGCCACGATCAGAACTAACGAAGAAATATTAATCTACGTCCTGGCCGCCTACGGGGAGCTGTTCGGGCCCGATTTTGAGCCCTTGTTTGATCCTGCTCTTTCCTCCAGGAAAAGGCTGAGAATCGAGACACGACTGGAGTTTGTCAAGTATTGCATTCCTGATATCCATACGGAGAGGTACCAACATGATCTCCAGCTCCCCGACGGATCCTACGATCCGCGTCGAACCATAGTCGTCGTCGAAGGCGGCCCCTATGACGATGGTAAAGACCAACCCCAGTACTATGCCGACGATCATGCTGTAGCATTACTCTGGGTAATGAGAAGTTCACGTTGGAGGCCGCATTGGATAAAGGCACGCCAAGATGCCGGGGCAAAGCCCGACTTTGCGAATAAGCTCGAGGAGCGTGACAACCCGGACAGAGATTGGAGGCAGGACTTGCTAGAAAATGTGATGCAGTGTCAGGGGATGGAAGCCTTGGGGATGATCAGGCCCGGTACCGAGATTGCGGAACGGTATAAACCGAAGATTAGGGAGTGGAGGGAGAAGATCGAACGTCTCGAGGTAGAACCTCCAAAGATCGAAGTATCTGGCTATGAGACGCACGAATATCCGGATCTCTATGGAGATTTGTCAGTATGCACTAGCGATTGGTGGTAATCTTAAAGATACAACGCCTACACAGACCTAAATTATCTTTGCGACCTATTGCTACTGAAGTCTCCTATCGTCAGCATTGCTGTCCGCTCCTCCTTTGACGGCCTTTCTCGACTTAGTTTTTGCTGGTGCCGTAAAAGGGTACACCACTTGTTTAAGGCTCTTTCCCTACATGCATAATAGCAATTTTAGTAGCTTCAACAGCATTCGGAAGGTTGCGAATAGCCTTATTTATCTAATGCCTGGGTACATAGCTATTCAATCCACTTAAGGTGACTGCCACATATTATGATATGGGATCTCTTTCTTTTGAATTCGTTGAAAGGTGGTCCCGACTAATTAGAAGCTACATACGTGATTGAATATGAATGGTCGATTCATCAGGTTCCCGGTTTTATGATTAAGGCAAGCCTTGAAGAAGACCGATGCTATATTTGAAGATGAAATATCTCAGCCAAGGATGGAAACCTGCTTGCCGAAGTGTGACATTAATACTTCCAACTACTCCGCGTGGAGACCAACACGCCTCACATCCCTAAATAGGGAGCTCGGTGATAGCTTCTTTGGCTACATTTCAGGCGTTACTACTACAACTAAGGTTAGCATAAGGGTATAAGAGCTCGTCTGAAAGTCTGTGACCTCTATGTCAACCTAGGTCGCTAAAATTGCTTTACCAGTACTAAAGACATGAGGCCTGCCGCCTCTAGTTTTTATACATACAGCCGCAACATCCACCAAGGAGACCTAACATAATCTCACAAATACGTTCGTAAGAGTATTCCTAGATAAACTACGTAAGACATCTAGGTTACCGAGTGCTGATATACTCTAAAAGGTACCTACCTACCTATTAAGCGTAATTCAGCCACCATCAGTTACGACCTCAACACTCGAGAGATCTTTACAAGTCTCCTATCCCCTATTTAACCCACCATCGATTCGTCTTTACATCTACATCTACGCCTACGCTCACGACTACCTCAACTTCTCGATTAGTTTTTACTTTGTCTTTATTTATTCTTTTTTTCATGCTTACTTCCGTTACCGTCTATTTGTGGGGTATGCCTGTCTTCGTTTGAGTCTTTGAGTACCTTACCCCTGGGACATAAATGAAAATTCCTCTGCCTTGCTCACTCGCCCGCAATCACTTGATTGGGCGGTTTTTGATCTGTAGATGTCCCCTAATCCCTAGCCTATTTCCATGTCTTTTCTGGATATCGAGGCGCCCCCACACACCTTGCAATGCTCTAGTATATATGACCTAGACTCCCATTGTTGACCCTTTGCTATCCGGCCCCTCCTGTGCAAATGTACAACCGAAGGAAATTGGTCCCAGAACTAGACTCCAGTCAATTCACTCCCTTTGTTCTACCCTACCGATGGTATCTCTGAAAGCGCGCCATGCTAGGCAGGATAGCCAAATGATAGCGCCACCTAGCCTAGCATCGCGTAATGGCATAAGCATCATCTCCTCCCACCTTCGTCCAGAGACATCCAATCCCAGTTCTCAGCCCGATACGAAACTCCAGTGACGATGATATCTCGTGTCAAATATGATATGACCTAATTAATTTGCGTATTAATGAGCTTATCCATCCTTGGCGAGTAGGCAGGTTACCGAAGGTTGAGAGGCCGTGCGACCTGACTGAAATGGTATCCACATGAGATAACCTGGACTGAGATCATGTCCAATTCAACGCCAGGCATCTCAAATCAGAGATTGACACCGAGACAAAATATGTCCACCGGCTCACTGCTCGGGTAGTATCCAAAGTGATACTCGCGATTCAGCCTCCTTTTCTGTCCGAGTCATTCTTAGGCAACTGCTCGCTCTGCGGGTAGACCTCGCTTCGTGGCTTCGCGTCGTTGCCCTTCTTCCTGCCCCTCGTCATCTTCTGCCATCCGTTACCGGTGTTGTCACTCTCGCTTTTCGCACCTCGAACGTGCCCGTTTTCTCTTGCCAAGCCATTAACTCTGGGGTTCGGAAGCGGGACGCCCTCCAACCTGGATGGCGGGGGCTCGATTGGTGACTTCTGTTTGCCCTTAGCTGACTCGGGTTTAAAATCCGGTGGGTTGTGTGCTGCAGCGTTTGGAAACACTGGTACCTGGTCGAAAGGTGGTTCTAATCTCCTACTAAAACTTGGAGATGGACTGTTGGTTTCGTACACCGGGGAAAGGTGCGAGTGTTCGGATGATTGCAAACGATGCTCCGTCGCAAGGTCTAATTGGGCAATGAGTGGGCTTGGCGTCGACCGAATGGGAAAACGCGGTAGGGCATTCGGGGCAACTGCGTTGCTATCAGACCCAGCCGGCAGCGGGGACATGTTCATAGCATGGAAATGATTGCCTGCCGGGTTCATAGTCATGTCATGAGGAAATTGGGATCCGGGCAGCGGACTAGTCGTCGACGTAGTGGCATTTGACGAGCCATTGACAACAACTGGTCGGTCTGATGGCGGAGAAGTTCCTTTTCGAGGTGCGGGAGGGACGGCAGGGTAGTTGAAAGGTGTTTCGGCGGCAAAGTTATTGACGTCAAGCCGCTGATTGATATGAAGGGGATTATCATAGCCAGCGTACTGAGCCGGGGTGAATTCACTCTGCGAAGGCTGTCGAGGTGAGCTACCGTTCGACAGCTTGGACATAGAGCCGTTGACAACTAAGGGGGTCGTGTCGCGGGATTGCGACCCTGCCGCCGCTGCAAATGGGACAGAAGCAAGAGGAGCCGAGTTTCGACCAACGGAGTAAGCTCTGTTATGACCAAGTGGCGAAGGGGAACGAGAGTTCTGCTTAATCCTGTCCAGGATCGACTGGGGAAGCTGATCCGAGGACAAGCGTCCTCGACTCTGATTAGGATTGGGGGCTTGTGTCCCAATATCTCCAAACGCAGGTATACTATTAGTCGCGGCGCTTGTTCGTTGTGGCGAGCTGGACGGGCCTAGGTGATGGCTTTGGCCTCTCTCATCCTCAGGTGGAGTGGCTGCTACCGATCCATCATGCTCATTGTCATGGCTCTCATCCGGGATAAAACTCGGCATTGGAATTCCGTTAATATGCCTAGCAGGAACGTTGGTAGCTCCGTTAGACAATTGACTAGGACCGGCCAAGTTCTGAGCAGTCGGAATTCCTGTCCGCGATGCGGGTTGTGATTGTGACCTCATCGCGCTCCCAGCTACCCCGTGGCTAGCCTCGCTAGCAACCGTTGATCTATGTGAACTTCGCCTAAATTCAGTACCATGACTAGCCGACGGTGAAGGCGGGTATGTCGGGTAGGCCTGTTGTGCGTAAAACGCTTGAGGGAATTGCATTGGATAGTAATACATCTCCGGGCGCAAAGGAGCACTTAGGGGTGGAGTATCAAAAGAATTGGTTCTAGACCGTTCCGTTGATGAAGGTTGTGTCTGGGACGCATTGCCCTGCATTTGGCCCATATGAAATGCGTGCGACTGCGCATACTGGAGGAACCTAAGGTTGTTCTCCTGCAACGTTAAAGCAGATATCGTTTGCGCCATCAAATCCGATGTAGGTTGCATGTACATCACGGCCTCCTGAGGCGTCATGGCTACCTGATATCCGGCCGGAATGAACATCGGACTTCCGTTGGTATCATAAGGGACACTTGAGGATGCCCTCCGACTATTGTTATTGTTGTTATTCCGATGCTGGCCTTGCTGTCGATTTCCACGAAACCCTCCCCCACGACCTCCACGGTTGGATTGTTGCTGAGAGGCGCTTCGCAACATCACAGGCCGTGAAACTGAAGGTGGTTTTTGGAAGATTTTCTCCTCTTCCTTCGGGTACACGTACTGCTCACAGCATTCGTCAAGTTTGCCGTCGGCGATAAGGTCAAAGGCGCGACGAAGTTCGAGATGTAGACCTCGAAATGCAGTATCGTCGGCTGTGTTTCCAAGATTACGGCCGATGTTGAATGGCTCCTCAACGCAGAGTTGGTTATTCTGGGCAAAGTGCCAGTTCTTCTCCTTCTTGCTTATCACCTTGCCCAGCCTCACGGATAGCACATCTGTGCTGTAATCAAACTCGTGGGCGTAGAATCGGAAGAACTCGAACAATAACTCTCCTAATGTAGACTTATTCTTGCTTCCAAATCCTTTTAGCTTATCGATATCATCGGCAAACGTTGCTATGTTATCGTCCTTCCGAGGAAGCTTTTGCTGAGGCCGTTGATGTAATGTAGGTAAAACGGGAGGTTGTCGCAGCTGCAAAAATGCAATGATCATGCATATCCATGTATATGAACTTAGAGTCCCGCCATAAGCTGCTACTGTTAGCGGACCATCCAAATACCTGGCAATGGGCCTCATATACTTACCAGCATCATTCACAATCCTCCGCCTTGTCCAGTACTTGATTATCATTGCCAAAGGCCTTACCCGATCGTCGATCTGGACGTAGGTCTTGATCATACGCGTATTCTCCAAAGCCAGCGTGTTGTTGACGTTCATGTCACAGGCCAATTCTAGCTCGGGATCCCAAATCTTCACAATTGGGACCTTGGCAGAAGACACACAGACGACTTTCTGCATTCCGCCTATAACATATATGTCAGCAAACATGGTACAAATCTAATAGGTCACTGATCCTTACGTTTAGCCAGCAAATCTGCGAGCATGCAGACCTCTTCAAGTTCCCTCCATGGAGTTACTATGCAAATGTCCACTATAAGGAAAGGGTCAGTTAATTGGGCTACAAACATTCCGGGGCGATGGATTACGAACCGTCAGAGTCATCTGAGCATAGCAGATTTCCTGAAGAGCCGAAAAGATGTACACGAATGTCATGACCTGGCCAAGCATCATTCAGAAGATTTTCCAGCTTCGTTACCAGCATGCCTCGTTTCACCTCAACTTTCTCGGTAGGTCGTAACCGGTCGTAGAGCTCGCGCATATCTGTGGTGAGCTTCCGCTCATCGTCTTCGGACAGCTTGCTCTTGACAGTCTGCAGGTCTACCCTCTCCAGCGTATCACTTCCAATACTGTAAGGTATTCTTCGGCGGAAGAATTTCAGGCCAGATTCGTACTTGCAGCCACCCTGCCGCGGCGGGAGAGGGCGCAAGGACGGAAGGGCTCCATTAGTCTCGGAATAAGCGGATCGAGGGGAGTGCGACTGGTTAGCATTTGGTGAGTGATCTCTAGACTCGAAGGAAAATTTGCGCGCATGTTGCTGAGGGGTCGAGGGAACGGAATTCGAAAGCGGAGGTAAATTCGAAGGGGAGGTAGACGGCTTGGGCCTCGCAGCAAGAGGATGTGAGAGATCTGAATTTTTGGGCGGCATCTTAGGCGGCGTGTCTCTGCCTGTTATAAGCGCGCGATCGGCTTTGTTGCTAGTACCGTGATTGCCTCTAGTAGCATGGCAATTCTGGGAGCTCTGCCTAGCGCGAGAATCCTTGTTCGACACTTTGGATGAGGAACGAGACCTGGGTCCGACGTGGACGCTATGAGTCGATAATAATGGAGGCAAGGGAGCAGTCTGAAGACCACCGCCTCGTCCCGGCGCAATGAGTTTGTTGTATTGAAGAAGTTGAGCCTGGTAAAGTGAGGACTGTTGCGGGAAAAATATTGGAATCCAGTCAACCTGGGTTGTAAGGTACTGGGAAGCAAGAACTTGGTCGGTATTTCCGTGGGCCAGTGTACTAAGCTTAGGGATCGATGGACTCGAGGTCGACCTAGTCCAAAGAGGTTGAGATGGATAATTATGTTTCGAGTCTGCCGTTATAGGCCGGCCTTCCATTAAAGATGGGCCCCGCACAAACAACCGAGAGGAACTTGGCTATGGATTGGTCAAACGAATGGCTAGTAACGCGACGACAACACAAGCGTATTCTCTCCTCCGTCGATCTTGAAAATCCGCGACAGCAACTTGTCGACGATCGTGAACGGTAAAGACTACAGGCTGTAGGACGTTGTTGACTTCTTTGTGGCTAGCCTACCGAGAGAGGCGGATTAGGACGGAAAGGATGGGAAATCGGAGGATCGGCAAGGCGAGGCCAAAAAAAGGAGCGAGAGTTGGATCGGCTTTTGAGATGACAGCTCACTAGTGTGTGCGCTCAAGTCAGGGCAAGGCCGAGCCCGTCTATCAATATCGAGGATTATGGAATGTCTTTACCGCTTAAAGGCTGTTGACGGAGGGTTCATGAGGCAGTTCTCGGAAGACGTCGAAAAAACATCAATAGATCGATTACCGGGCAGACTCGCATAAACTGGGAAGCATTTACGGGTTGACTTTTGGGATAGACCAGACGCGCTAAAAAAGAAAGGGACAATAGATTCAATTGAAGGAACGAGTGAAATAAGCAACACACGCACACGAATCGACGTGTGGGTTTATAAAAGGGGTATCTCCAGAAGTAGAAGAGGAAGAAAAAAAAGAAGTTTTGAGCTTGCAAGAGACAAAAAGAGTCAAAGTAGTAGTTTCAATGTTGTAATCGCCGCCGATGTACCCTTTTCCACTTCCACTTCTACGTCCACTTCCGCTTCTATTTTGATGTTGAAGGTAAAGGGGGGAAGAGAGGCGTATGGGGTATGTAGAACAGAGATCACAGAAGTTGTGACGAGCGTCGACTAACGTATATCATACAGTTGGAAGTAATGGTCGTGATCGTGGCCGTGGCAGTAGTAGTTGTAGTTGTAAAGTGCAGTGGTGTGGTGTGTGATATGATGGTGGTAGAAAGTGGTAAGGCAGTTCCAATGGCCAAGCACAAAAAAAGGGACTACAATGTTGTATGTAGAAGAGGTAGCAATGGGTAGGTGCAGTGGAGGCAGGCGTAGGTAAAGAGGTAAGTAAAGGCAAAGTTAATTAGACTGAGGCACCGGGGTGATGAAAGTGCAAGTGCATTGCAGAATGCATTACCCGTCTTCGTTATGCAGTTACCAGCTAGAAACTGTTAGAGGAAACCCTAGAGAGACCCTAGTGACCCAGAACAGGGCGATGGAAAGGGTTATCGGAGGTATATTGCGGGTCGTCCCAGAGTCTACAACCCCTGTCGGAGAGTGCCTGGTACCTTACCTTGCTCCTTACCCTCCTTTGCCCATTGCCCACTGCCCACTGCCCACCTACGCCTGTGCGTAATACGGTAAATAAGCCCTGTGTCGCTGCTGAGCCTGACTGGAGCGACTGGAGCGAGCAAGAAGCGCGAGCGCGTACTCTTTCCATGATCCACTCTCTAAACACCAACTATAGGAGGTTTAGCGTGCGGAGTGTGGCGCGTGCTCTGCCTTTACAGTGGCCTGGCGTTACCGAATTACCTGAAGCACGGGATTACGCTAGCACCTTCTACATTGTACTCCCATATGGTCTCCCCGTACATGTGTATGTAACTAACGGTATTGTGGCAATAACTGAAGGGCAGAGACGTACGTACCAACAATGAAGAAAGGGGGGGTCAACAGGGTGCTCGAGAAGAGATAGACGAAATGCACTTTCTGCAACGGCGTTAAAAACGCTGTAGCAGTCATGGTAAAATAATTTCATTTCATATTTGACCAGTCAGAACAGATGTAGGAAGCTGAGTTATTACAGTTATTAGAGTGACCCAGCCTGCCAACGCGTATATCCTTGAGATTAACTTGGAAGAGTCACAGAAGCATTAAATCGTTAGGTAAATGAATATGCATTTATGCGGATAAAAAGTAGGCTATTACCAACATATTTGACACTTATGAGGTAATCTTTTGAAGGAGATGTAGTAAGGGGAAAGAGGTGTAGGTACTCAAGTACTCTAGGTAAATTAATATTAGAGACATAAACTTAAGGTTCTTTCCTTCCTTTCGTTGGCATAGGGTCATAACACGAATAGGACTTTCTAGGTTTGTCCTTCCATATTTTATCAAGTCGAATGATTTTTTTGGTTTCTCCAACTGTGAAAATTTGACTCTGTTCTCTGGATAGGTAGTTGCTCTTAACCCTTTTATCACCTCTTATATCGCCCAACATCGTCTACATCTTACAAAGAATTGCTATTTTAGGTAGGTAGGTGAGGCGCCGAGTCCTCAATTATTGGTGCGAATGGGTCTAAGTATTTAAACCGACCACAATGAGCAATTCCTCGAGTCTACCTACCTACCTAGCTATCCTTGCCACCAACATACATGTCTGGATATTTCAATGTTATCAGAATGAGGTCTTTCTCGATCCTTCGTCATAAGGCTGTCTTTCCTCAGACTTTCCCAGACTTCGTCGGTACACCCATTGGCCACCTAATCAATGCCATTGGGACCACCTACAACCCGAGCATCTGGTGAGGTTCCCAATTCGACTAATGTCTTTGTAAACCGGCAAACCAACCACACGGGACGGCCCTGTCCCTGTCGATCAATTACAACAATATATTTGGCCTGATTGCCTCTTAAATCGCAAGGGCTAACATCCCGTATCCGACAAGCTATCACGAGTCTTTTAGTCTTCTAGCTCGCCGTTGGTCCCACGATATAAGGTCGTAAACGCCTCACCCATTCGATTCTCATAACATCCGATTGTACGGATAGCCGAGCAAAGACTTCTCACTATAAGAATATTTGAGATACCTAGAGACCCCGCCGCTAACGTGAATGGTTGTACAACGTGAGAAGTCGCGAAGTACGAGTGATGTAATCGCCCTCGTCAGCCTATCACGTCTGACCGGTGAGCCATCAATTCCCTGTCTTCACCTGGGAAAAGCCTGAAGCAAGGCACCTCGCTGATTATGGAAGAATACATATGCCAATTCCGTACAAGGATCCGCAGGAAACAATTAACCGTTAATTAACGGTTAATTTATGGTTCGAAAAAATAAACGTTTGGGAATGAAGAAACCACTGAGAAACCATCTTTTTAAATAAACGTTTATATGTGTTTTTATATTTGAACCAAACCTAAACGTTTGAAGATTCAATCGTTTATTTGAAGCTCGAGATGTACCTACACGGGAAGGCCACGGGAGCTAACGGGAGTAGGTGTAACGTTGGGACCAACAAGTAAACAGGTCAGGTCAGGTCAGGTTGAATCTATTCAGATCAGGCCAAGCAGGCCTTCTACGATATCTACGATTACAGACTTACCTCAGTTGCAGTATATCAACTGCAATACCTACCTGGCCACGCAGTTGAGCCTCACGAGTAAGTGAGCACTGCTAGCAAGTCAGTCTTGGAGTTCCTGGAGTTCCTGGAGACGATCCTGGTGGGTCCTGGATAGGTAGGTAGGTTTTTGAAGACTTCTTCAAAGACTGGACCTTGGAGCACTTGAAGTTTTGGAGAAGAAGAAGGCGTGTAAGTAGGTGGGTGGGAGCAAAGTCTTATATAGAGCTTGAAGGCAAGTAACACAACAAGATCAAAACAGTTAGACTAGAACGATTGGAATGGCTACACACACCTTAGGATCAAAGGTTCAAAGTATCAAAATGGCTACACACACCTAGATCAGGAGGTAGACCAGGATAGACCAGGATAGCTAGAATACCAGGACAGTTACACACACCTATTGAAGCTATTCCCAACTAGAAACGGTTGTTCAAAGTCAAACGTTTCAAGATATTTAACAATAAAATGCAAGTAATCGTTTAAATTTATAATCGTTCGGATAAGTAAACGTCAAAGTAAAATAAACCATATATTTATGGTTTAAATAAATAAACCGTTAATTAACGGTTAATTGTTTCCTGCAGGTCCTTGCTAAGTTCCGTCTCTACACATGTCTCAAGCCTCTTTGACGTCATACGCTAACTCGTACCAATAGGACTATTTTGTTACCTAGGATATGTGAATTCTTCTCTTTACCTCTCGTCCTATATTTATATCCAGGCAATTAAAATAATTCGATTCATTAGGATAGTAATAACACAGATAGTCGGGCTGTTCCAACTAGGTGTGGATGCCACGCCTTAGCAGTCAGCGAATCTGACATAAGTTCACGAATGTGGTTCTATGAACACTTAGTCGAGTTTCGCCGTTGTGAGCACCCAGCGGTTAGCACGGATAAGGCTCTAGCAGATCTCTATTCTCGCCCAAGACCATGCCATCAATAGGGCTCAGAAAGCGAACTTGGGACACATTCTTTTATCGTTCCCTTCACTAGTGCCTAGTACTAAGTAGAGCGACCGGTTCCGAGTATGTCAAGATGAGCTAAGCGGACAGCGACACGGTACACACATCGAATTCTCGGCACACTCGAGTCGGTCGTACCATCTTCCTAGGTATTTCCTATTATGACGATAGGATGCGTCGCTGGGCTATTTGCCTTGATCCGCCGGGGTGGCCAACATTTCCTACTTTTGGCAACTTTGGGATATGGAAGAATTGACATGCAGGTACCATATCTCCGATCCCACCGTTAACAGGACAACTAAGCGGTCTAGACAACGCTTCTGTTTTGGAGCTCATATGAATTTATTGACAAGTAACGTAACCCTCCACAATCGACTAAAAGAAATGGGCTGCGGAACGATTGATTTAAACACAGTCGTCTCGTCTCTCGAAATATGTATCGCCTTTGCGGAATGGAAGCTCCGAGAACTTGTCGCGACTCCTCTTCCGCCAGCAAGATTAACCCTCAAATTCTGGTAAAGGATCTCCCGTGTCTTAGCATGAGACCTTCAGCCGACATCCTAAGACTATGGCGTGGGGGTTTATCCTCCAATGATAGAGCTCGGTATCCGTTCAGGAGCTGAGAATATCAGAGCATTCTACGCTGTACATAGAAGATTTACCCATGACTGATATGCATACACTGGAGGATTCAACAACCCGAACTCTCTTCGATTGAGTTTAGCTGACCCCGCGGAGACCACATTCGCTACCACGGGTTGTACAAGAAACTAGTCCCGATTAGTTCCAATTTCACCTGATCGGGACGACGCGAATCTTCGAGGCGTTCTTGGCATCAGCCTCGCGAAATTCAAGGGGTCCAGCTAGGGTTTCAATCGCAGTGCTAGGATTATACCTCCGCCGACGTAAGGGTTGAGACGGTCCCTGTGTCAAGGAGCTCCCTCAGCCTTGTGTGCTATGGCGCCAGGGACATTTCCTTCTGTTTTATGTTTCCTTTTCTCCCCTCTATTATCTAGACGATCCTCGTTTATGATCGTCTGTCCGTTTCTTTCCCATTGTTCATTAGATTAGTACGGTGTTGCTGGTGTGGCCTAATTTCAGCGATTTTTATTTTTTTTTATTTTTCGTTCATTGACGCTGCTATTTGGCTGTTCATATTATTTCTCAAAAAGAGCGATAGTTCAAGATGTTTTCAAGCTTAACTACGAAACTGGCGATGAAGAAGGTCGGGTTGTCTAGCGATGCTCTCGATTTCTCTTCATCAAAACCTAGCAAACCCAGCGATGGTTCCTTGCCTGGTCTCGACGATCTGGAAGAGCCAAGTTCTGGGTGGCCAGCGTGGATGAGTACTAAGAAACTCCCGCTCACAGCACAGGCCTGGTTATCGCCCGTGCCTCCACCAGTTCCCATCGCCGAATGCCCTAAGCCCGGAGACCTGGCCCCTCTAGACCGAGATCGCCAGCTCACCTTTGGCGGCGGAAAGCCCGTTATAGTGCTCTTCCTGCGTTGCGTCGGATGTGCTTGTATGACTTGCCCCCACCGCCACAATACCACTGCATATCTTTTGTCGCTAACCACACTGAGTTCACAGTCGCACAAAAATCCTTCTTGGCCTTCCGAGACCTTGCAATCAAGAACCAAGGCAGACTCACCTGCATCGCGGTGTCACATTCCTCGCGCGAAGCGACGTGGAAATGGGTTGACATGCTGGGCGGCGCGTGGAACGTGGAAGTCGTCATCGACGAAGACCGCGCCATCTACGCCGCATGGGGGCTCGGCCTGTCGAACTTCTGGTACATGTTCAACCCCACGACGCAGGTACAGGGCTGGAAGGAGAAGGGTTGGCTCGGTATAAAAGTGGCGAACTCCCTCCAGCGGACGGGGACTCTGAAGCAGGACGGGACAACCAAGGATGCTACTAGTGCCGCTGCCGCGGGCGTGGGAGGCGCGCCAGGGGCAAGCGAGGGGCCGTCAACGGCGCTAGGGAATAAGTGGCAGCAGGCTGGCCTGTTTGCTGTAGATGGGAGAGGAACCGTAATATGGGCCGCGAAGGCTCTGCGCGCGGACGATTTGATGGATTTAAATGCCGCTGCCGCGTCGCTTGGTTTTTAATCACAAGCCTGGGTTAGACGCGACGTAATGAGTGTATATGTCACGATATATGTTGGTTATGGACGAGATGGAAGGTGGAAGGCATGTTGAAGAAAGGGAGGCTTTCGGATTCTAGTCTACATGGAATGGATACCCCTGGCCAAACTTGGCCAATGACACGAAGAGACTTCTTTCTCATGAGCGATTGTTTTATGGTGTGTGTCCTTGACAAGAACTGATAGTATCTCAAGTTAGCCGTCTGAATTGATCGTCATTTTCACATAAACGAAACCAGTGAATTTACGAAGCTACGATGCTTCTGATGGGTTGGTATGAACTCTGAAGTATTTACCTCCGGTGTGACTTTTTCACTGGATCATATCTTGAAAGTCTGGAGTAACTTGAGCGTAGAACATTACGAGAAAAAGCCTCGATTTGCAACAATCCGAAATTAAATCGACAGCACGCTCTTCTCGACATGACACATGTATATATGTATTATATATCGACCAGTGAGCCAACAACACAGGAAGTGGTGCTTCATGCAATATGGAAATAAAAGCTAAGAGAGGCTTGATCAAAGCCCTTTATTCGTGTAAGTCAAAGTCAGTTACCGCTTAGCCACCTCCCAGACCCATATGGTTCGTATAATGATGACAACACATCCAGTCAATATGTTGTGATCTATTTATAGGTAAACTAGGTACCGTGTCATCCCGTAGGTCTGACTTCAGACTCGAATACCCTCCAATGCATAAGGACGTTTGGAGAATCCCTAATTGTATAAGTACCGAGATGTGTATGAGGTTCATTCGATTATTAGGCCATCTACCAGTTACACGAGCCAGGCATATAAGACATCTAATACTGTTAGGTAAAAACCAAATAAAAAGAGTCTCACCCATTTTAGTGACTTCCACAGGAAGTCCTTTATTGATTACATGCATCCAATATAACAGCCAATCATACTTGGAGGACGTAAGAGCCCCTTTCAAATGGAAGCTCTTCGCTCTTTCTCCTCTACGTTGGTATCCGTATGTACCTCCCTAGTCTTGAGGGAACATTCCTTACTACTCAGACCCTCTGATGACATTAGACTTATAGGCAAATCTGAACACAGTGATATTCCATCCATTCAAATCAGTGAGACTTTGGAGCTTCAGCGACTATGAAAGGATCCCGTAGCTCAAGTGATTAGAGCATCACACGAGAGTGTGCAGGTCGAGAGTTCGAGTCTCTTCGGAATCATCTTCACCCTCCTTTTTTTACCCCTTGCAGGTACCTATTTCACTTTTTTGATAACACCCCTTTCACTTGCAACCCCCGTATTACCTACGTCTCTTTCTCTAGCTACCTAGTAGATAGAAGATTTGAACAGAGATCGTGGTAATCGGTATTTTACATGATGCCATATATGACCTACGGGCGCTCTTCATCAATGATATCAGTCACCCCCTATTATAACCATCTCCCCTTCCCATAAACTACCTATCAAATATTACACTTTGCTTTGACTACGTCCCCCTTTTTTGCTCACCTGAATCCTATTCAAGACCAAACCAATCTCAGCCACATCTCCAATTGTTGCCTGTTAAAAGCAATTTACGCACCGAATGTTCAATGCGCACTGAACGCTGCCACATAACCCAAGGAATAACAGAGATAGCTATATTCTCAATAATAGTTAGCCAAGCTCGTTGGAACCCGTAGGAAAATTCAAATAAGGCGTTATCTCCAAGTTGGATGAGGCTCCCGGACTGAAGCTTTCAACTTGGTAGTCATGGTATGCAAATCACATCAGACTATTCTTAAGGACTTCCTCAACAAGCTTCATGGATAGCTACCTCTACTTACAGTTACGGCATATACTTGTCAGTATCGAGAAACAGACAACAATATCGAGTACAAGCGCCATTTCATCTTATACCATCTGTTCATCACATCTTCACCCGATGGTTTACTTCCTAAACATTCACCACACATACACACACTCACTCACTCACAAGATCACACTTGGGAGAACCCATCAGCATAAGCTCAGGGAGAAAACGAAGAAGTACAATGCCAAGATATTTGCCAGTTTCCTTTTGCTGCTGCCTTTGCTGATGCCGAATCGATGTGCCAAACTCCCTGATGCGGACGTGCGTGACTCAAACACAAACATTTCCCCCTCCCCTTCCAGCCTGATGCTTTACACCCCGTGTAATGAGAAGAAGAAGAAAAAGTAAAACCTGGGATAAAAAACGAGAAGCCCCCCTCCCTCCCCTCTACGCGCGCGAAACACAGCCTTCTTCCATTAACCGGGTCCTTTTTAATTTCAGAGAATGAAAAACACCGCCATGCCACCCTTCCCCAGAAAAACACCCCTTCAGTAATTGTGGATATCCCTTCTTTCGCAATAGGATGAGATCTGAGCTATACTTCCCCTCTAGCAGCAACGTCACCTCGACCACACCTTAGATGTAAGCAACCTCGCAAAGACGGTAAAAAGTTGAGGACAGGCTACCAGTCTTGGTCCGATAAACTTCACGCCAATATCAGCGGAGATGACCTGCAACTCTCCCCATTGGCTGAATTGGTCACGGATATTGTCGTACAAGAACCGTGAAGACCTCCTGATGCAGCATCGATCCAGTAAGAAGTTCGACTAGTGGTGAGCTGAAGTATCGAGTGAAGTATCGTATTTGCGGAATAGGTCGTAGAGGTCATCGAATGTGCCGATCCAGATTGTTGATAGGAGACCGATCTTTAAATGCTAGTTTTCGTAACGGAGTTGAAGGGAAAAGAAATCCGTGATGAGTGGGTCAAGGTACGCAACCTAGGATTAGAATAGGTGTAATGGGGAAGAGATTGCAACCGCAACCAAAAACGCAGATCACCCTATGCCCTTGTATCCCTGCCGTACCGTTCCGTTACCAGAAAATGGCCTATCCTCTTTTCGTATTTCTTTCCGCCCAAACCTTTGCAGGTATCAATAAGAGAATAAGACCTCTTATATATCATTCTTGCATAGGTGTCATGTGTATGGTCTCAAGTAGAAAGTGACGATGATGTGCCAGGGAATAGAGAAAGGGTCGAAAAAAGGTATCGTAGGTCGAGAAAGAAAAAACAGAAACGCAACGAACTCCGAACAGAAAAATGTTTTCCACCCCTATTTTGCCAAATCTTTGTTTCCATGTCGTCAAAGGCCTGAACACCCATTGCTCATGCTGGATATACGCATCCCTCGCCTAACCCAACCAACCTGAACACCGATTTTTGTGCTGATTTAATCATCATAAGATTTCTCTGCGCCTTTCCAGCATCGGCCTTCCCTTTCAAAGCATGCCCCTAATAGCTCAATCATCAAAGGGTAGGCTTCAATTCGGGCGTGATGAGCGTAGTCTTGGTTCCTAACCCCAAACGCTCGCCTGAACTCCCAAGTTTGACTTATTTCCCCAGACACCTGAACGGCTGCCCCATCCGTTGTATCCGTCCGCCGCGGCACTGGGCGGGTTAGAAGGAGCTCCGGTGGTCGAAACGCCCTGGCTCGCATCCTCGCCATTACCCGAAGCGGAAAAGCCGTGACTTAAAGGAGACGGGAGGGGGGTTGTCGAGCGCTTGTTGAGCGCTGGGTTGGGTGCCTGCGAGCTTGCCGATGGACGCGTGCCGATAGGGGCTACTGCACTTCCGCCTTGAATTGACTTGGAGGCACCTCCCACTCGAGGAGGAGAGCCACCAGTCGGAGACGAGTTGCTGGTGCGGCTAGCCTGCTGGCCAACAGCGCTGTCAAAAATACCAATGTTAGTCGGGGGGTTCGACTGGGGGCTGGCGTTGCTGTTAGCACGGGATAGGCCCTGAGTCTCGGCAGACTGCGAAGCGCCTTCAGGAACATTAGGCGCGTTTGGCCGCCCGAAATCGTAGGCCATGGGAGAAGGACCGCGGTGACCGGAAGTACTGGTTGGCAAACCAGAGACCCCGACTCCAGGTCGGCCGACGCTGGACTCGTCCGAATAATTACCGTCGCCGCCGAAAAGTGCGCTACGCTGGCGTGCAATCAAGTCGCGGCGTTCGTCTTCGGACATACTGCCGGGGCTCAGAGCGCGATCAGGCTTGCTGTTGTAAGACAGATCACCAAGTACATCTGTTGATATGGGAAGTTAGCGCCAATTTGCGAAATATGACGATGTAGTAATTCGGCGCATCGTAACAAATTGAAATAGTGTTTTACGGGAGGTCAAAGAGGCATAATAGAAATATCGCGTGCGAAGCCGGGGGAGAAACATAGAACATGTTGACTCCGCCGAGTGAAACTTTTTTTTCTTTTTTTGAATTGCGACACAAGTCTCGTGCTATACAGAAGAGGGAGGCCTACTTCGGTTATATTGCTGCTCTTGATGATAGTTGCGAAGATCACGCTCCCGTTGAGCCGCCATCCTCCGCTTGGCCTGCATCATCTGCTCCGCCTCGTTGGAGCCGCGCGAAGGCTGGTGTCGTTGCGCAGCATAGAAGTTCTGCAGGTTGGGACCAGGATGGCCGGCGCGCGGGTCGCCAAACTCCAAGGAATGCGGTCGCGGACCATGCCCAGATGCAACTCGACCATCTACATACCAATTAGCACCTGTCTTCGCAAAAACTCCTCCAAGTTTTTTTATTATTTGTTTTCCAAGCACCCTAATACGCCTTGCCCCTCTTCCTACCCATGGTTGGAGTGAACTCACGTCGACCCTGCTGACCGTACATCTTCCCGCTCTTGATCAAATTATCGATGGCTCGTTCGACCTCTATTAATCAACAATGTCAGCATTAGAACCTAGTAGCGTGCCCGATCGTTATGCGCAATAATCGTCTCGGCCAGTGCTGGTGATGTGGATGCTTTCAAAAGATTTGGCTGCGCAATTCATCTTGCAACTTCCATTTCTCAAAATGCTTCCCTGTCGCGGAATTACGTACCCTCAATTTGGTAGGAGAAGGCGATCGATTCGACCTGGGGCGGGTTCGTGGAGTTGGTGCCTGAGATATCAAGGTTAATTTATAACGTTCTTCGGAACTTTAGTCGTTGGATATTGCCTGTCTGTTCTTACCAGATCGCGCCGGGGGTGGCGGAGGGGTCTGATGATCCCAAGTTGACTGCGATGGACCCGTGCCGGGCCATTGCGAATCTCCGTAGTACTGCTGCGACATACTGTCTCGGCGAATATTACTCAGTCCAATGCCTAGATGTTTTCCGTTCCCTAGCTAATTTCTTCACGCCCGGATGAAAGTGTGAAGGCAACCGTGGATTCTATAGGAGATTTAGGGTCAGCTTCGTCATGACTAAGTCCGACAATGAATAGAACAAAAGGTGCGTGTAGCGACGGCGACTGCAACTGCGACAGTATCGAATAAGGCGATAATTGGCGTCTTGTTTAGGAAGCGTGGTCTCGGAAACTTGAAGGCATGTCTTCTATTCGGGTCTGGTACGTTTTCTAATATTGATATATCCAGGCATCTAAATAGGTAATTATTTGATACAGGCCGGATTGGATATAAGGTTGTTGTTGTCCCCAATACCTAGGTACCCGACTAGAAGAATATTAAGTTTCGACCGTAGTTGCTTTGTAGTCGTGTAGTCGCTGCCATTTCATGTTCCGAGCGCGTCGACGTTAAAGCTTCGCCCTAAAAGTTGCCCGCGCGAGAGGGGGCGGGAAATAAAAAGGGCGAGAACAAATAATGGTAAAATCAAGTGGATTTAAAAAAAAATGTCTCTGGTTTCGCGACTTACCGAAAATCTTCAGCCCAAGTATTTTAAGGCGACACCTGTTTTGTTCGATTTGGCGACGGAATGCTCGCCAAAGTTCTATGAAGGAGAAAATAGGAAAATTAGAAAAAGTGAAAAAAGAAAAGACTGCACCACACAATTGCGCAGTACACACGCGACGGGGGGGGAGACAAGACGTGGGTTAGAAAAGGGAGGCGGCAACGGTAACGGGAGATGGCTACCTTCAAGTAGGTAGTAGGTAATTAATAGGAGTAATAAGAGAAATTATCGGAGGGACAGGTTGTAAGTTGATCTACCAGACCGGGTCAGAATGGGGGAATGGGAATGGGGGGGTTTAGGTGTACGCAGTACATACCTGTTTTATGTACGGTATGTATTGTACACTTTGTAGTGTACAAATTACCTACCTCCCACCTACACACAATACTTAAATACAACTAGAAATACAACTGATACTAGGGGTACTCCGTCTATAAGAGGTAGTACTTGCCTAGTACGGCTATGCTACTTCCACGCCCCCTTATTTTTCGCTTGCCAAAAAGGTACCTTTTGAGTACGACAAGTAGGAAGTCTCAGTAGGGACAAGTAGTGTATCGCGCGACGGGAGGAGAAAAAATTTAATGGGAGAAGGTCTCTTTCTTAGTCCCGTTGGTGTGGTCCTTTTTGAGCTCCCTGCTCCTGGCAGACCTGGGTTGGTTGGACTGACGACGATGGTGAATTTTTTAATGGGGCACAGATTAGGTAGTATCTAACTGGCCGAATCGTGGTTGGCCTACAATTTTTTTTTCCTTCGAGACCTCTTTTTTTCTGATCTTGTAAGGTAATTGTCTGTTCCCTGTAGGGAAATTCTCTAACAAGGGCCTATCCTGATGAGGTAAGGTGGTAGGACAACATGAAGATACGTGTGGAGTACATAAGTAAAGGGACCTAGAGTTTCAAGGTATTGTACATGTGCTTACTTCCTAAGCTTAAGCTTTACCTGAATCAACGGGTACGGTTTGTCTATTAAGCTTCTATTTAACATTATGATCTAAGTTTGAACGGTTAAGTAATCGATTCAAATACCAAATAGAAGTAACAGCAATGCCGTTGCTTAGGTGGGCAGTCATTGACCAGAATATTTCATTTTAAAATATAAAGTTGATTCCAACGTTTCAATATAACACGATGTAATCATTATGTAAGTAGATAGAATGAAGCATCTATAAGTAATCACGACGTTATACGTATAATACTTACCTATTTACAGCTGTTCTAATCATTGTTATATTGTTATATCAAAGTAGCATTGTTTTGAACGTTGGAAGATATAATCTTACATTTGAGTTGCAAATTGTGATTGTCATAGGACTTCGAAAAGCTTCGGTGTATTTGCAGTTTCCTCAACCCCTGGATTGGTTGAGATCTGTTCAAATATAAGTGGTTTATGCGACTGGAACTATGGGTTAGTAGTTGATATGCGTTGGCAGATATGAAGCATTCAATGTTCTTGTCTATTACTAATTTGCCTAGATAAGTCATCAGAACCTTTCTAGTACGACGATGAGAAGATTGAACGAATACATATATTATTGCGTAGTACCTTGTGCTTAAAGACACCTACCTAGTCTTTTGCACTATTCAAACAAATGCTGGAACGGTCAAAGCTGAGAAGTAGCACCGTTACCGGCTTCCTTAGAATATGATTGCAATATACGTGGTGGAGGTACAGAGAGTTACAAGGTCATGCCTGTTAGTAATCAACGGGAACCAGGATCTATTATGGGTCCATAAGCACACAAGTTGGAAACATGGGTGGATAGGATAGATGGATGTCTTTAGCGACTTCCACCTTTTCCATTACAGCACGCTAGGTATGTAGGCAGTACTTACATATAGTGTATGTATGTACCTAGATACATGTATTGTCCCTTGCCAACGATTTTACACTCGTCACCTTGCAGATATTTTACATCAACCGAATCCACCATCATCCAATGTCCTCTCATGTGGCCATCGTACTAATAAGTAAGTAAGCTACCGATTTAGTATAACGCTCCGCATGTTGGATGTTGTCCTCCCGTCGCCACTTACTTCAGATATAATAAATCGCAGACCATCAGGAAGTGGCTCAAGGAGACAGAGATCGATAATCAACCCTACTAATTAACCCCAGCTGCCCAGGTATCTAGTAATAAACCCCCCAAGGCTCAAAAGGCTGAGAGCACAGATCACAAAGTCAAGGCCGGAGTTTATTGCCGTCTGAACCGTTGTCCACCTTCACCTGGCACACCATGTCGCTTCGTTTGATTACCACGACCCCCACCGGCGCCCACCAGTTCTCTCTAGTCCTCTCCACATAGGCAAAGGACGAGGCAGGGGTTTTGAATCTTGTCATCTTCTTATGGAAGCCTCCCGTCTTGTCTCGGGTCGCATCTTGGACCCTGCGACCCGTTGAAACTTGCGGCTCCAGGTGCGTTTCAAGCTTCAAATCACCGTCAGAGTCCTTACTACGCTCTATTAAACAGCACGAACCTCGTCTCGACTTGACCGCTTTACACACCATGCATGTCTTGTCTATTTCTTTTAGCCCATGGATAGCCGGGTATAACTAATACGTACTCGTATTATCAACACTATTAGTCGAAGATTCGTTCTCACAAGTCTCTTATCGCTAAATACCTCGCAACATCTGTGCATACCTACCTACGATTATTGAGGCTTTGGATTTCTATCACTTCAATTTTGATGCTCCTTCATCGTATCTCGCATACAATTGCTTGAGAAAGGCCCGGGGACAGCTCCGGCGTAAAAAGAATATTCGATTTCGCCCCCTACGCAATACGCTGTTGTTACACGTGGTAGAGGTCGTCACGTAACATTGTCCCGCCTTGGATGATGAGTCTCCGTATGGTGCAAGGGTGTCCACAAATACCCTCCTCGCGGAGCGGATTACCGCCAGTTTATACCGGCGTAGAAACGTCGCACAACCGTCAAAGCCCGCGAGCCTGCACATACACGTAAGAACCAATAGTCACAAGGACCGGCTTTGTTGGGATTGATACGTACAGAAGGTATCAACATACCTCGGATTCCTTGTTTGGCATCTCGGACTCGATAGTCTTTAAGTAAGTAACAGAACCCTCTTTATACGGCGAGCCGAGCTGGGCGAACCATGCTCCAATTTCCGTTCGGTTCAGCATTTCCGAGGCAAGGTAAATTTTCCCGAGTTCGAATCTTGCCCTACGGCGCCTCAAATCTCGCGCATGCGTATACCCCTTGCTCGAAACCCAGGTAGCCTCACGGATGAGATCAACATCCTGGCAAAAACAGTAAGCGACAATTTGCTTGAACTACGTACATACACTAGAAATGTACAATATATATCTGTACATATGATTCCATTTCACCAGTCCAGTTTCAAATTAGAAGGATGAGGCCTTTAAAGGACGGCTAGTTAGTCTTCTAGACAGATGTTGATGATATACCATCTTTGTCTCTCACCGTCGTCTAGTTATGAGACAAGACACGACAACACACCATCAACGCTTTTTCTGCGGTAGATATGGGGGGAGTAAGAGTGCTGATCCTAAAGGAGCCAACGGTCTACGTGGGCTTGGCATCTCGCAGGTTTCAAGCAGGGGTTCCTATGCACAATTGACAGTCCAGGTCAATTAATAGCAAGGGAATTGTCAAAATAACGTGAGATTTGATAATTCAATTAATTGTGTAAAGAAAATTCTATCTTCTTCATCCAAGAGATTATGGCCAAGACTAACTGCAAAATCTTCAATGGTCTCCATATCGTGTCTCAGAGGAGATCACGTGAAAGCCAGAGATTTGAAGGCATCAAGGCATCAAAACACACGGACCACCTGATAACACTAAAATTATGAAATTGTATCTGACAGGAATCCATCCACCATCTAACCTCACGTGGAGGAACAACGCCAAAATTTCCACCCAGAGATGTGGTTCATCAGTGTAACAGCTACCAGAGAAAACGCACAATGCATTCATTCAATACAGGAGAACCAAGCAGAGGATAGTTGTATTAGCTCGCCACGGCCGAATTCCGAGGGTATGGGTAGCCTAGGTTTTAGACTAAGCAGGCTTGCCATCAATATATCTACAGATATTCTAGAGTTTCCGTTCCCCCAACCTGTCTACGTACCTGTCTAGGTGCATTATCGAGACACCGTGGTCGCGGAGTCGTGCGGACTTGAATTGGAGCACCAGACTATCAAAGTCCCGCAGACAAATAGTACATCTTTCAACAATTCTGAAGGGCTCTGGTTTGTCCGCCTCCATCCCAGGTATCTTTATTTTCCCCGCTAAGCGCTCTTAGCGACGATTAAATTCAACGTTCGGGGGCTTTCCAGAAACTAGCTTGTTCAGTGGCTCCAAATACCCGAGGCTACCAAATTGTGGGATGGCCCGTCGATTTGGCCACTTGAATAGCATTCTCACTGTCATCGATTAATGAATGGCCTGATCGATTACAAGGTTCTTACACAGTACATTTCGAAAGTCAAGGTGACCAGCAAAGAGGGTCTCTTCGGCGAGCCGATCGAAAAGGCCTGACCGTCCTTTTTCTCCATGAGCTTCCTGAATTGGCAATCTGCTCCTTTCGGTTCAATGGCGCTCGCAATTCCTTGGACCTCCACAACCCCATACCGCTCATCCTAGTACCCCTGAGGATAGTCGACTTGGATCGCGATTCCAAATACCACTCTCCAAAACTGAAAATCCGATGTCCATGGCATCGCTGACACCGATGCCTATCACTTCCTAACTCTTCTTGAATTCAAAGACCCAGTAAATCGCTTCCCATGGACTCGGTCTACTATTAGATCTGCGGCGTGAGAGTTTATGTTGATAATTAAGGAGGATGAGTTAATCTAGTAGATTTGTAGTTTAATGTAAAGATCTTCTACTCACACGTCAGCAATTCGGACATTTCTTTTCTCCCTTGCAAGCCATTCCTAGGTATCCAGTCAGCTAGGTTCGGATTCGGCCGAGTAATATAAAATCTTCACGATATTTTTAACGCAGAATTTATAAATTCAAAGGATCCAATCCGTATCAGCTTCAGTGAGAAAACAGTATGCATATTGTTAAGGTTTTCTTCAGGATACCACGGCTATCTCTATTGCATTTCCACGGACTCGGTATTCTCTCATGCACTTCATCAAATGCATATGATCTGAGAATGGCCTAGGATGTCCCAAACGTTGCCTCATTCAATCTATAGCTCACACTTGCTTCCACCTACAATCATGATGACGCTATTATTGATTTATTTCCATGGTCAGAGACTTGCTCTCTAAATCCGAACAACACCATAGTTTAACATTACGCTGTGTGTAAGATTGTTATTACATGTACGTAGATCAGGTCGGCAGGCAGGTGATATAAAGGCCATCTAGCATTTTACCATGATCTCTGTTAACTTAAAGCTCTTGCATGCAGCTGCAAGCGCTTCTTACGTACGTTCATGTACAAAACTGACTAGTAGCCTGGACTAACTTCCTAAATTTTGTTGATAGCCTATCCAGTAATAGGGAGCGCTGAAGCTTTTCCGTTGATAGCAACGATGGACCCCCACCGCCCGATCTCTGGGAGATTTCCTCTTTGTCCTCTTGGTCATCATCCAGCAAACAGGGCTTCCCCGCCTTACTGTTCTCCTATAAGATGCAAATCATGCCCGTCACCCTTCTAGTGATGACATCGACAATCTCTACTAGATAGCAGTCAAATTTGGTAGAGGCAACAAAAGAATCATCCACGGTTTTCTGCTAGATGACGAAGCATCTTCATATCCTATTGGCCATGGAATATACGATGTCAGCAAGGCAGTCGTCAGATACCATATTCTTACCGTCGGGCCTCACAAAGATCAAATCAGTAGCTAGAGGGTTACATGTACGTGGAAATTGGCCCAGAACACATCCAGCCGAAGAAATTCTTAGATGTCTGGCGTCCCAGTGAGCCCGGACACCTATTCCGGACCAGCACTTCAGGCACATTAGGGTCACGATATGTTTTAACACCGGATGTTATTGGTAAGACCTCAGGCACGTGCTTCAACTTGCATCCAACGACTTGCGTAGGACTGGCTGCCAAGATCTTCTGGAAATGTCTCGGTGGATCCTTTCCTTCGATTGAATCGGTTACCAATTGATGCAGTCGATGGCATATACCAGTCCCTTTTTTTCCTTTTCCAGCTGATCCGACAGGCTATTCTGCATCTGCTTGAGGCTTACCTCTGGTCGATTTTTCATTTGCCGATAAATCCCTCCGCCGGATGAAAGCTTATCGTGCATATATGTAAGTGTCAGCTGCGGTTAGTCTGTAGAACGTCGTGTGGCAGCCTTGTTATATAACACCTGGAATATCACCACCCCTTAAACTACCTACCTACTTAGCCTTGGAATGATAGAACACTAAAATATAATCCGAAGTCACCGTAAAATCGGGTTACCTAAATTAGACGCGGCGTTACTTTCACATCTACATATATCAACTTTGATACTACCGCGGACCTTACATGCCCCTTTTCGAATATCATGTCATATCATCAAGATCTTTGAAGTCATCGACAATTCATAACAAAGCTTCATAAACTCAACATAAAACGACACGCATATTGATTTTATCAAAATGTCTTCACATAACTACCTATATATATGACCTTCATTGATTCAACTCAAGATTGTTACTTCCAAGATTTGCGGGTAACTAGGCACGCCCTGTTAATGATGGATACCTAGGTACACTTTCATCCTTTTCATCGAATAAGTATCATGAGCTTGCTCTCCTAGATAGTTACCCAAATAAGAACAACCGAGTCCTTTAGATACGGCGTTTTGAAATAGGAGGCAATATCAAACTTCTTACTAATTTGATTAATTAGCATGTCTGACTCCCGAGTCCTATTATGTCTCCTGCATATTGGTAGCAACAGGATGCCTCTGAGCCTACTCGTGGCAGTGCCAAATTCTATCCTAAGAGAATCTATTAATGCCACCTTTCAACGAGCAATATGTCGGAAACTTTCCCTTAGTAATCTTGAAGTGGTCTTCAATGCCAAAGGTCGGCTTGAACATAGGTAGCCATAGAGTCGACCCGATCCGCCATCCCTATTCTCGCGTTTATGGGATTCACCGAGGTAAGAAACGTTCTATGAAGCAAATAGTAGTTACAATGAAACCTAATGTCCCACCACCGATGAGTTGTTCCATGACGATATATGGCTATCAAGCCACCTTACTTCCATACAATATGCCCCACCTCGATTATCACATCTACTACCTAGTAACTACCTATGAAGAAGTACGGATGGCCATGAATGAAAACATATATATAGCTATGTACGTAATAATTTATCCTTGGAATGATCACTATACATATAGCGACATTAATGTTTTCACCTTCCAGATATCGAGTGTTAAAAGACATGGTAAGATGTAGACAATCTTTCCCGACAGATCGACAAGCATCTTATCCCCCACAAACGCCACTTCAAGCTAATGCGGCGTGTTTAAGCCCATCGAGCCTCGAAACTTGCACGTGGCGTCCTCGTGGATTTTCAGCTCGACTGGAAACTGGTCGGATAAATGTGTCTTTATTTTAAGCCATAAAGAAGTTGACGTATTGGAAAGAAGATACGGGGGCCGACCGATGACATTTTACGTTACGGAATCATATCGATATCGCCTTTCCCCTGGCAAACATAGACCTGGACGTCTTACAGTTAGTATCTTGTGAATGAAAGTGCTTACAAGTCTTCGAACTGTTTGATATATGGTCTACCGGAGTATACTAAAACTGAAAGGACATTTGATCATACCTACCTTTTATTAAACCATTAAATCATATTATAAGGTATGTAGTCAATGGTGCTAAGAAGCTTAATGGTATACTTGAAATACTACTTGAAACGAGATCGAAGGAAAGAAAAGTTCGATTTGGCGCTAAAAGGGTGAGAATCCAATTGGAGCTCCCGCGTGCAGGCACTAGAAACATGTGCTAATCGGTGGGGCCCGGCGATAATGGACGGCCCAGCCCAGGGCTAGCCTTGTTAGTTAGCTGAAAAGACCGCTGACTGGGATATTGTAGCCAATGAAAGGGCCGAATTCAAAGATTTTGCAAGAGTTTACGAAAGCAACCACGCCAGTGACACCCCACGAGTCCCCACCTTGGCAACCCTCTGACGGAGGTTACTTCCCAGATCTTGTCTAACCTACCACGCCGACCGACCACATCGGTCGACCTAGACGGGCCGGACAACTCTTTTCTTTCTCTTCTTGAATAATTTTTCGCCTTAACATCTGAACTATCTTAATCTTGTCTACGAAGGGACAGGGTACTTGAAAGGCATGTTAGATATGCGTTGAGAATCCGTATATCTTATGATCTTGTTCTTATGATCTCTTGCTCTATCTCAACCCCGCCTTTCCTCTATCCAAACCGCGTACATCCTCCCATGTACGCACCTGAATCACGGTAACACTAATTGCAGGCGACTTGAAGTCTTTGCGCTTGCAGTAGGGGAGGAAAGAAAGACTTATAAGGAAGATTTTGTTTTCACGCTTTTTGGATACCCAAACTCACCCAATAATACGAACGACTCTGAAGGAGAGTCGTAATTGGTTGGCGCATTTTTTATTTTAACAAGATACCCGTCTCGACTATCGCATTGTATGCGACTTTCGGGAATCGCAGACACCTACGTTCAGACAATTCGAGATTTCTTTGGACGGAATCATCAAAGTCAAGGATATAGCCAGGTTGAGCAATTCGAAATGGCAGACTACCAAAAACCTGGCCAGTTTGAGCCTACCACCACTGTTGTGGTAACGGGTGGCAGCAGCAACGAGGGGACTGCTAGCAATGATCACGTTACTAACGAAGCAGTCGTTCATGGATTGCAGCAGATCGAAGCCAAGAAGGTTCATTGGTATTCATATCTCACAACTGCTGATTTCTGGATCGTCCTCTTAATGGGCCAACTGCTCTCGCTTTGCATCACTGCCACGAACACGTTTACGACATTCCTAGCCAACTACGGCACATCCATCCCGGCTTTTCAGACCGTCTTTATGTACATTCTGTTGTCAATCATCTACCTTACCTATACTGTATTTACCTATGGACCTAAGAAGTACGGCAAGATCCTACTCGTAGACGGTTGGAAATACTTCATTCTCAGTTTCCTCGATGTTCAGGGCAACTATTTCACCGTGCTGGCCTACCGCTACACCAATATCCTTTCCGCGCAGCTAATTAACTTCTGGGCCATCGTGTGCGTCGTTATTATCTCGTTTCTCCTGCTACGTGTGCGGTACAAGATTTTCCAAATTCTTGGTATACTCATCTGCTGCGGTGGAATGGGCATCCTGCTCGCCAGTGACCACATCCAAGGCACCAACGGCGGCACCGGGGAGAACATGCTGAAAGGCGATCTCTTTGCACTTCTCGGCGCTACGTGCTACGGTCTTACCAACGTGTTCGAGGAGTGGTACGTCAGCAAACGTCCTATGTACGAGGTCCTGTCCTTCATGGGCCTGTTCGGTATGTGCATCAACGGCGTCCAGGCCGCCATCTTCGACCGCACAAGCTTCCAGCAGGCGACCTGGAATGGCGAGGTCATAGGTTACCTAGTCGGATACACGCTCGTGCTTGCCTTCTTCTACACCGTCGTGCCGTTTCTGCTGCGCATCGCGTCGGCTGCTTTCTACAATATCTCGCTACTCACGGCGAATTTCTGGGGGACCATCATCGGCATTCACGTCTTCGGCTACGCGATCCATTTCTTGTACCCGATCGCCTTCGTGCTGATCATCGTGGGCTTGGCGGTATACTTCCTGGCGGGAAGTATCCTCGGCGAGAGCAAGAAGCCGTGGCTCGGCGATAACCAAGAAGAAGGCGTCGCGGGCTTCGGTACGGCGAAATTGAAGGCGTTGAATATGGCGCGGAAGCAGGGGCTAGGTACTGATACGGGGAACAACACGGTTTAGGGAGGGTTGGGATTTATTATAGATACTGGGACGTTAAGGAATTCAAGGATAAGCATCTGGGATACTACGGCTGAGGGCGGGATTTCTTGCCTACGCCTTGCAACGCGGATATTGGAACTATGGAAATAGTTTCTTGAGATGAACTCTGATAAATATATTGGGTATTATTGATATCTACATTCTGAATAATGTATCGTGTGTTTGTACGACTTGCGTGGATTATATTTACTTATGTGAACCTTGGATTGTGAAGCCCTCTTTCCCCCGTTTCCAGTTTTTCATAACTTTTTCGAAATCATGTTGCTATTCGAGCATCTAAGTACCTACGTAGATATTAATCGCGTATTCATATATTCAAGTTATAGTTAAGGATGATTATTCCTTGATATAACCCGTTGTAAAATTATAGGAATTATCCCCTCATTTGGCGAATTTTATGTTGCAACACCTGATATAGGTAGTTATACAGACCAGGCGTATGAATTATCGTGCAAATTTCACGATCATGACCGCAAGGATTTCGTAGGGGTCGATAATTGATGAGACTGAGCAGATTTTTAAGCTGTAGGGGCTAATGTGAAGTTTTAGGGAGTTAGTGACTGGCATATTTCACGTAAATCATGTGGTTCAATATCGGTCAATCAAATCAATAAGGTGTATAAAGCTTACCTATTAAACTATTCTGGTATTCATTCCGCTCCGAAACTGTTTTCAACTTAATTAAGCCGAAGTCAACAGGATACCTTAGGGTTGGCAGTCATGCTATAAGTACCTCCTGTCACGATCTATCTATTCAAAATTGACTGAGTGTAAAACTGTACCCAGGGAAAACCTCGAGTAATAAAAGAGGACTAGGTTCGAGGACGATAGGCTATTATCAAGTTTTCCACGTAGCCCTTGGTCTTTTATCACAACACCATGTGTCCTTCACTGGTCCACAATAGCATAGAATGTTCTATAGCAACGCCTATAAACCGAACCGAACACGGATATCCGTTTGCACCTACCTACATATTCGGGTTCAAGACTGGGAATCGATGGGACATAATGAGGTTGTTCCTCAAAGGGTCCTCGTATTATGAAGACCGCAGTTAAAGAAACGATATCATTCCCGTACGAAGACAATTATCTGACATGTCGAGATTCCGCGCTACAGGATTGTACCTATGTTACCGACATATTTCATATTGTTCTCGTTGCCGCTGAGACATCGATATACGTAGTCACCGAGGTTGATATCCCTTCGTAGTGTGTTCGCGAATGCTTCAAAACAAACGAGCTATTTGCGAGTTGCAGAGACACTAGCACCTTCAAGGCTCAGTTTCGCATGGCTGGCGTCGGTTAAAACGTTGCATTGAACTGTTTTAGTGTTTACATAGCTTCGGATGGCTCCGAGCCAAATACCTGCATCCCTGTATGATGTTTCATACAGCAATCACATATCGGCCCAAGTTTAAATCAGAGGAAGGAAGGGACCTTAAGTCTTCAAGATATATACAACATTGGATTCGATAACGCGGAATTTTATCCCTTTCCATTGGGTACGGAGTGAGGAAATCATCGTCATATCCGATTCAAGCTTTTCTACCAGATTCAGCAGTCTGCGAACCAAAAGGGGCAACCGGTGTTACCGACAGACTTAACAACCCACCCAAATGATATGATTTGATACGAGCCCGGGTTATAATACAGGGTCCCTACACGTGTCGGCAGAGGGGATGGCCCAAAAGATTTCGTCTCATATCAAGCATTTATGCGGCTCGAAGATGTTGCTTCCACTTTATCGAGGCTGGAACACGCTCCCAAGTGCACTAAGTCCACTAAACAAACTGTCTGACTGCGCGCAGAATCTAAAGGGGGAAAATGATGACACATCAAGGAGCAAGGGACACCCTGCCAAGAGCCTAAACATGGGTAATCGACCCCCTGGTTAAGGTACTTTCCCCTGAATTTAGTGGGGCCGTTAGCCGTTCTTCCCCTTTGGGTCTCAACTCTCTCTCGTCAATTCCCATCTTCTAAATGATCGATCACCATTACAACCGTTACACACATCTCTGCGTGTCTCTTTACTATTCTTATTATTCATCCTCTGTCCGCCGTGCATAATGTCTATTTCCCATTGTCGTGATATATCAATGCCATTATACACTCTTTTCGACTTCTCACGATTAGCTTAATTCATGCCTAACTTCACCGTCGGGGACGAGAGAGACCTTGGGTATCATCAGTAATAACCCTCTCTGGCTTGGCATTTCGAATACTACCTCGACCACGCAACGCACGCACGCGAGCGTGATAGTTGCAGCACTTCCCAAAAGGAAAAACACCATCTCCAATTCTTTCCGCATACATACTTACATACTAGTATATGCGATTCCTGAATTTGTTTTGATTCCTTTTTGCATAGGAGCCAATTGCTTCCTAATTTATTTTATTTACCAAGACCTCAAGGATTGTACATGGCATCCTGACTGACAACGTCGATTATATCGTGACGTCTTGCTCCTTGTCCCTATTACGATCGACATGGACTGCTAGCATCCTCGTTTCAACCCCGCTGTTAGACGCGATCCTGTCGCCAGACCCGGTTCCCTTTCAGCGGTCCGAGCAAATCATTTCTGAATATTATTGAAAGTCGGATTTTTCTTTGTTTTTTTCTTCTTCTCGGTGTTCAATTCCGCTGTTGCCCCCAACTGCTAGAGCTTACGGCAACCATTACCGGAGGAGGAAAGTGGTTAATGTTTCTTTTCGAGGAGGATCAATATGGTCTCATTTTTCGGGTTTAAGATCGGTGGCGGCGACAAAAAGAAGTAAGCTGAACAATTAAAATTACGTGAAATTTTCGATTAACGGTGTCACAGGAAGCTAGCCAATGAAGCAGATGCTTCACCAACTCAGCTGCGCCGAAAACACGAACAAGATGCTGTGACGGGAAGACAGGATGGGAAGCGTGCGCCTGATGGGACCGTCTACTCAGTTTCTCGTCCCGACACGTCGCACACGTGCAAGATCACAGCTACGCGGCCAGGAGCTTCACCGTACGGATCTAAAGGCGGTGTTGCAGCGATGAGCATGTCCGAACTTACGGATTCGATTCACCCAAATCTCAGGCAATGGGTGTCGAATCCTAACCTGGGCTCAAGTCGGTTCAATGCCTCAACCTCAGATTTAGCAGCAGTTCCGCCGGTGCCTGTGCGGAATCCTTCTCGACCAGCTACTCCTGTGCAACAGAAACCAACGTGGATGAACCCCCTCGATATGCATTCTACTAGGGGCCCGACGTTGGCGGCGTTGTCTGCACCAAGATCGCCTTTGGATCAGTTCGGACTCAAACTGGATATTCCTAATGACCATGTTTCTATCCATGAAGGCGACGGATCTCCAAAGGCCCCAATGCCCCTACAGATAAAGAAGCCGAGCCACCAGACCGCTGAATCGCCGAAGATGTGTCAATCGCCAAGGAAGCCTCCATCTCCTCCCCAGTCCGTGAAAGACATGGATAGGCATAGCCCAATCCGTGGACCGGCTGTGTTTAAGGATGATATGTTCCGGCCCTCAAGCAGAGGTAGCCAAAGAAACGTGACCACCAATCTCAAGGAAGTACAAAATGCCTGGGATATGCCAACCTATGGACCAGCGTCCATCCCGTCGCCCGTATCAACACCGCGGGGTAGTGAGGAGACGCCCACGAACAACTCGATGCATATGTGGTGTGAACCGGTTATTCGGTCAGTCGCGGCTAGGCGAGATACCATGACCTCCATGACTCATCATAAAGTGAGTATGCAAATAAAGTTGGAAGATCTTGAGAAAGCGTTTATGGATGAGCCGGAAACGATGGAACCTGAAATGCCCGGATTTCAGACACGACAGCTTGCGCGACCCCCGCCGTTGAACCTCGACCCTCGACCGAGGACGCCAGACCGTGCCGGTACATATCCGCCTGCCCCGTATATGATGGACCATCGACCGTTTACGCCAACCGGCGAGAACTCACGCAGACCTACGAGGGATAGATCCGGACCGCCTCCGGGCGCTATTGGTGCTCATGGAAGACCTGGGAGGCCGAATACCAAGAATGTACGCCGACCCGCTGCGGATGAATACGTGATCCAACCTTCGTCCCAGCCCCAATCCCGTAGGGTATCCCAAGATAGCTCGCGTCCGACTTCCCCGGATAGCCCTCTGCTGCCCCAGTCTGGTCCTCTAGCTAGCCCACGTTTCCTGCCGATTGATGCCCAACTCGCGCCGCCGCCGCTCAAAGGAGCTCGTTCTAATCTGCATATCGCAACATTTGCTCTGGATGATAATGAGGCTGAGGACCAGCTCGTAGCTCCGTGTATGGGACACCGCAACGCCCCGACGCCCGACGCTTCCCAATGGCCCATGCCTTCTCCCACGGAATCTTCGTTCGATGGCGCGCTATCCTACCGAGGCGAGTCGCCCTTTGTTAGAGCTGACTCTCCGCTGGAAACTCCGCCACGTGTGCTGCCACAAGGCGTGGTCGCACGTTCTGAATCGCCGTTCGGGTTTCGGTCTTTCAATTTCAGCAGGCCTATGACGCCTACGCTTGAGCAGCCACCGCTACGACGGGACAACACGCCGTCATCGGGCAGGTTTCCGCGGAATCCACCGAAGCGGTCCGAAACCGTGCCCGTGTCGCCTGGATTTAGGGATTACGAAAACTCACCGTCGGGCGGACCGATACCACCTCGTGCGAACACGGTAACGGCGAATGTAGGCCACGGGCTCAGGAGTCCGGCGATCGTGGGAGATGACTTCGGCGGAGGATTCATCTAGGCGCCTTTGCATATCCATAAAGCCTGCATTTCCAAACTCTTGCGTTCTGTACAGCTACTAGCGGGACCGGCGGCAACATCGATTTTAGGGCATCACGGCAGCATTCGTTTTTTTCATCGTTTTCAAAAACCCCATTTCCCTTTGTCAGGACACCCCATATAGCATCGCATTTGCAGCTGAGATACCCACATACCCCCTCTTCGCTGTTTCGAGGCTTTTGAAAATTGGGCGTTTTGGATCGGGACTGTTTAGGTTTATTAGCATAGCATTGTCATGTACATCATGTACCACCATCATTGTCAGCATTTCTCGAGCATTGGCGGAATTATCTTTTCTTGCATATATCTAGCGTTTCAGCGTGTATTTTCGGAGGATGAATTTTCTTTTCTTTAGAACCGCGCCTTGGGCGCCTGGTTAGGGGAGGCAGGTTCCTATTTTCTGTTTTCTTTTTTATAACACTGAACGTCTCTGTGCTGTATTGTTTTACTGTATTGTATTTTGGAGGGATGGCATGGGAAAAAATAGTTCGCATATCTATTGAGGCAAGCTCGTTCTACGTTCACGTAGGGTTAGGTTTTTTAGTGTATATTGTTAATGAGCACTCGCACGCGTTCGAGTGCTGATTAGATTGGCTTGTCTTCTATTGCTCTGTGCTGTATAGGGAGTGAAGCGCGCATTACTGATTTGTATACCTGAAGGTATACTTCCAAGGGTACGTCGTTAAAAAATCGCCGGACTTCACCTTATATCCTCCGATAGGTACCTATAGGTACTAGGTAGGTAGGTATCCCATGTTTGCGGGATATTATCAGCCATCTTGACGTGCAATTATCTAATCCTAGTACAGCCAGCTATAGGCTCCCCTCAGAATAAACTAGCGGGTTTTTCTTCCTGGGGCATATACGTAAAAATAACCTACCCCCTTTACCGAGTATACTGGGAAAAACGTCACGCAAGAGCACTTAGTAAATATACCTACTACGCATACTCCTCAAGTCCAGAACTTGCCTATTCCCCTCACTCAAGCAAGCAAGCAAGTAACACTCCATTCTCATAGGAAAAAAAGCTCATGGGTATATATTCCTCTCTCAAGCGTACACGGAAAGCTATACGTACAATCGCCCTTACCCTAGGCTCCACTTCCTATATAGAGCCGCCTAGCCTAGCGTGTAACCGTAACCGTACAACCGCAATCTGAACCGAACTGAACCGCAAACTGCAAGATATCCATCCGCCCTTTCATCATCATCATTGTCGTCCCCTTTTTTCACTACCCCTGCTTATTGTACACGGGCGGATTCGTATGCAAAGACCAGACCAGACAAGACCAGACCATGTTCAAAGCGCCGGTTTATCACCTCCGCCCTGATCCTTCGCCTTGCCGTCACCCTCCGCCGTGACCGGTTTCTCCGTCGTAGGTTTCAGCGGTTCGAAGGTAAGCGCCTCTTCGTCATCCTTGCCCTCTCCCTCGCCCTTCTCAGCACCCTTCGATGAAACCGGTACGCTGTCATCCACGAGCTTTTCCGCATCAGCTTCCTTAGGTACTTCCTTAGATACACCCTCATGGCCCTGCGATCCGCGCGCGTGAACCTCTTCTTCTTCATCTTCTTCTTCCTGCTGCTCGGGGAGGTTAGCATCGGATCGGTCGCCGTCGGTGCCTGCGGATATGGCCAACTTATCCTCCACGTCTTCGACGAGCTGGTCCAGCTCGTCCTTGATCGCCTCCTCCTTCGCCGTCTTGGATAGCTGGCGGTCCGCCTCCTTGTCGCCTACGATCTTGCGCCAGAGCGCCTCCAGCTCGTCGCGCCAGCCCAGTTCGTCCGCCAGCTTGCGCACCCCGGAGTCGCAGTCGCCTAGGACTAGCACGTCGTCCGCGCGCGTGCCCAGGTCGCCCACGCGCTCGAGGTTGAAGAGTACGCGGGGCACGCGCTCGCGTGCGTTGCGCGGCAGGCCCGCGAACGGGTGCACGAGCAGGCTCGTTCCCATGACGAGCACGAGGTCCGCGGTGGCGGTGACGTTGATGTTGTTGTAGAACTTCTCGGGCAACTGCTCGCCGAAGAAGACGATGTCGGGCTTGACGAGCCCCTTACACACCTCGCGCACGCAGTGCGGGGCCTCGCCGCGCTTCACGAAGTCGTGCATCATGTGGTCCGGGAACTCGGTGCGGCAGTCGATGCATCGCTGGGTGGCGAAGCTGCCGTGGGCCTCCACGATCTTATCGGCAGGCACGCCGGCTGCGCGCTCCAGACAGTCGATGTTCTGCGTGAAGAGCATGCGGAGCAGACCCTTCTTGGCCAGCAGTGCGATGAACACGTGCGAGATGGTCGGGCTGAAATTACCTGGATAGAGCTCCTTGGCTAGTAGGTAGAAGGGGGCCGGGTTGCGACGGAAGAAGTCGATCTCAAAGACGGCTTCAGGGTGTGGGAGATTGAAGCGGGAGAGATTGTGGTACAGGCCCGTCTTGGGGGAGCGAAAATCGGGGACTGTGCCATGGTGAGTGATATGAAATATAGAGAAGAGTAGTAAAAGGATAATATGTATATCATCAAGCATATTTCGCATTGCAAAAAAAAAAAAAAAAAAAAGGAACTTACTTCCAGCTGCGGTAGAGATACCGGCGCCGGTCATGACCACGATTTTCTTCGCGCCACCCTTCTTGATAAGTTGCGCGACAGCATGCAGGCTGCGCTCGGACAGAGTGTCCGGGGGAGTGTCCGGGTCGATGAGGCTAGATTGTTCTTGACCCATCTTGCGTCTTGACCACGGGCGTGGGCTTCGTCCCTTCTGGTGACGAGGTTTCTTTTTACGACCTATATTGAATGGTTATGTGAGCATCGAATGAGACTTCTATATGATGCCGACTTCGATTTTGAAGAAGGAATCACGAAATCGAATCAATTCTACACGGAATTATATAGGATTGGTCGAAGAAAAGTTGAACGGTGGAAAAAGAACGAATTGTAAATTGTAAGAAAGTAAATGTGAGATGTAAGATGCAGGTTACATCACTTTTCATAATTATTAAAACGGCGTAACCCGACCTTAGCACGCTAATCTAGCGCAATCCGTACTTGTGGGTAGATTTTAGGTTCAAAAAGTCGCCTCGAAGCCGGAAGCCTGGAGACATCGTATGGAGGGGTTGGTGCGTTGGTGTTACCTCAGTAATCGTATGACGCCGCGGGGCATTCACTGTCCGGGGCGTAACTTCGATACATGCATATCTCGGACATCGTTGACACTTCGGCCTCTCATCCTTGGCGTGGGCAACTCATATGCTGAATCACCTCAGCACGAGTCGGGTACTACCACATGAATTACTGTCGTCACATGTTCCATGAATCCCATAACGTGAATATTCCATGGTCACTAGACACACATACGCGATACACACATGCATGTCGTACACCGGCTCAAGCTTGATGCGTTTCATGGAGAAGGTGGCTCAAATTATATACTCCTATAGGACTAACTCGGAATTCACCGAGTTAACTATTCCATGAACCTATCAATAAACCAGGTAGTATACAGAACGGTCCTCGTTGCTGGCATCGTGGTTTCCACTAAGTGGCTCGTCACCGCATTAGACACCGGCGCTGCCGCATTAGAGCCAATCCCGTTCTGCTGGGCCATGGAGTGCATGCTCTCTCTAATAGAGGCAAATTGCTAACACCTTGGCTTTCGTACCCTTCCTTGCCCCAGTGCTTATTTATGTTTTATCAAGTTTTTCGTAACGATACCCCTTTTGTTCGCACTTCGCACTTCGCACATAATTTCGTACAAATACAAGCGTGAGTCAAGTTTCGATCACTCCGCACATTATCTAGCCCATTCAACCGTTTCGAGTGCCATCATGACAAGCACCAGCGTCGAAGGAAGGATCCTAGAAGCGATTAGTATTAATTCAGACAGCGTAACGGATAATAAACAACTTACCAGATGACATAGCTCTGGAACAAGATCTTAGACATGACTCCTTCGTACACTTCGTTGATCTGACAGATTTGTGCCAATTGTAAAGCACTCGGCGCACCCGTGAGGAGAAAACAGACGATAACGAATATCGGATCGTCAAGGATGCTAACCGGGACATATTTGGCGAAAAGTGCTAGAACGGGGGCCATGATGAGGGTAGGGAGCAGCATACGACTGATGAGCGAGGCCACGAGAAGTTTCTTCCCGATTTGCTCCTCCTCCGGATCTCTAGTAGTGTGGTTTTGCGTGTTCCGGGCTAGGTTAGCACCTAACACCACGAGAATGAGAGGCACCGCGACACCACCGCTTTGCGATACGGCCCTGGTCACACTGTTGTTGACAAACGTTCCCTCCTGGAAGAAAAGTCGCTGTAGATCTGGCACCGAAGCTACAACGATAGCGCAAAGCATAGCCCATAGCGGCGGGTTCATGAACTCCCACAGGAAGTTATACACGCGTAACCATCCTCTCCACATCCCGGTCAAGGCAGTCTGAATTGGGCGAGGTAAACGCTGGAACGTACGCTTGAAGAATTCGATGACATGCTGTTCGGTGGATGCAGCGGCCCTCTTAATACCAAGCTTTGCGCGAACGTAATAACCTTGGACTCCGCTCGGAATATCCGGATCGTTTATATCGTGCATACGGGGGAATGCCATGATATCGCCGGGCCCGGCCGTTACATACTGTCCGCTGACGCCGTTGGCACCGTTGCCTTGCTTCTTCCCAAAGCGTCTCCGTGTACTTGCATCGTCGTCCGAGTCGTCGGGCGATGCTATCGACGTGCCAGCTACCGACGTGCCAGCTACTGGAGTTCTACCGGCCGGTTCGTATGCATCTGATTCGTCCGAGCTTGCCGAGTCGTTTTCCGCCGTGACATTTCCATCTAAACCTGGTATCAAGGCCTCTTGGGAGAGATTATCCCGATACCTTCCTTCCTCGATTGTTTCATTCTGGTACTCCTCGTATCGACTCTTAGGCGCCAACAAGACGTGATATCCCCAGCTCCACCTAACCAATTGTCCAAGCTGCTGGAAGATTAAGAGGTACAAGATGCCGCGTGCGGCCACTTCGTCATCATTATCGCCCGGTATCCTATCCCAATGGAGTCCCTTCAAAGTTTGCGATAGTGAGATAACCAATGAGATAGGTAACGAGTTGGAGTTTCCAAACACACCCATCGCCGTTACGAAGTTTGCCGGACGTTTGCCAAACCGGAATGCCTTGGATACACCGACGGATACCACATACGACACGGCGGTCTGTATGACGAATATGAAAGGTATCACTGCAAGATCGATCAACTTGTCGGCATTAAGTTGCGACGCCAATTTCGTGAAGACTAGTTGCCCGTTAGCGGAGAACGTGGTAGAATAGGCATAATCATAAGAATATACGTACTTAGGCATGGCGTAAACAGCATAACATTTAGATTCGCCAAGAACTTCTGCTTGTCGGCATCGAAATGTCCTAGCCTTGCGATGATATATCCAGGTAAGCTAACACAGACGACTTCCAGTACGGCCTCGAAGACCAATAATATTAAGTGGTCAATGGAAGGATGCGAATCGTGAGGCTTCTTAAGTATGGAGAACGCTGTCGGTTCGGGCGCCCAGTCCATTCCAGGATTATTGGCCCGAAAGGAAGTTGGATTTGTCGACGTCCAATCCATATTTTCCAACATATTCGATGAATAAGATGGTATATATCCTGGTTGTTGACTCTTACAGTTGACGGATGCTAGCGGTAGAATTGCTCGATCGTATGACCGAAAGAATTCCTTGATTAGTCTAAAGGCACAATAGCACGATAGGCACGGTATTATCTTCGTTTGATTTCGTCAAGAAATCCCAGCGTTATTCAGACCAGCTGCAGAGTCGTCAAAGTAAGACCGGGAGGACCGAAGAGAGGTCGTCGGAAATACGAAGGGAGAATGGATATGGATATGGCGCGGTGCGTAATCCCTCAATCCCTTAAGAAACGAAAATGTAAAAGTGGAAAAGGGAGAAGGGAAGGGGAAGAGTAAAAGAATAAACAAAAGTGGAAAAAAACAAAAGTAAAAAGTCTTTTTAAGAATTAATGCCACGGGCTACACGGGAGACTTGTTGCCCAGCCGTGCCCAGAGGTAAGGATTAAGGATTGAGAAAATAGTTAGGAAAGATTGGAAAGAATAGACGGGATAGACGGAGTGATCAGTTGAGAAGTGCATCAAAGGATGAGCCTCTTTGCGCTCTGGACGCACCGGGTAATTCTGCTTTTGGATTCCGCCCTGCGACCCTGGAGATCTCTAGCCATTTCTAGATTCTGGATCGCGAATTTTGGTGTGGCTAGCGCAGCAGTTGAGGCGAGAACCTGCAGGTCCGCTACAGGTGGATACCTATTTAGGTTCATCCTCCAAACCTATTGGCCGATTAATGCCGCTAAAACGAATCTTCAGGCTTCCTTTGTCGCATACGGTCGCAACAGGTGCGAGCGCCAAGTGGGGGCGAAAGATAACCCCGTAGTCCGATCAATGATGCTCAATTAGTGCACATTGTGCAGTAGTGTACGTACCACGTACCGCCATGTCGGAGACCTCAATCGTTCAGGTTTAATTCGTTTCAATCAGAACAACATTAAAATTGCTACACTATGACGCCTCCATTTCGGTATTTGCTGGATTACATACTTCGTACAAAACCCAGCATCCATGGATTGGCATTAATCTTATCAATCTACACGATAATACGTATTTGGCAACTCTGACGGACATCTTGACTTCTTGAGAGACGTACATATGCAGATGTACTGCTTGACCTTTGTCACGTACATCTACATACATATGTACGCACGTTCGCCCGTATGTATGTATATATGATATGTTTTCTGTTATAATGATGTGATTAACTCGCAACTATCCAGGGCAGCTAGGGTAATGCGAATGCATAGCTGCGGAATAATCCCTCTACGGTTTCTCACGATACCACTCAACTCGCTCAAGCCGTCAACGTGCGCGGATAAAAACTCTTGGCTCATTACACTTACTCAGTTTAATTCGTGCTAAAGTCGCATCTGCTCCACCGAGACAATTCTTGAACTTTGCAGACTCCATGCAAAGAACCTGACGATGTTTGTTTGTTCGATAATACGCATGCTTGGCTATAACTTGCCGTTTCGACATTCCCTCTCGGAATATAATTGCAGATCTAATTTAATAGTCATACCTCTCTCACAACTTCGCAAGATTAACTGAACAATCAATCGATAGGCTATATGAGCCGAGCCGTGACATAAAGCTGCGGTGTTATCGAGTCGATGCTTCGAGCCGTGAGAGCTGACGAGGCCATGCAAATTACGCGATGCAGCCAAGGTCGAATGACATCGGGCAAAGGCCTGCCTAAGTACGTGGACTTGTCCGGTACTACTGGAGTCAACCAAGCAATTGCCCGAGCAGACCGAAGGCTCCGCAGGCAGGATTTATATAACGTCCTCACCGATAGGTTGAGCCTAAGGTAAAAACAGCACGACTTCCAAGGTTGTCCCGAATAATTGGATATCTCTGAGTTGTAGGCAGAAAGATAAAAGGTGATTCCAATTGGGTTGAAAAAAAAGTGATGACGATGTCGCAACGGTGGCGATGACGTTATTTGATCTTATCAGTTGCCTATCGAATGGGCATACGTAACATCTGTGGCTTGACGGAGGGCGCTAAGAACCCAACCTGCTTCCAAGCTTTATTCTGAGCCACTCAACTGCCATTCTTACCACTTTGTAAGCGTCTGGGCGCTGGTGTGGTTCAACAATTCAAACAACTCAAATATTTGGCAAGGAGCTTCCAAGGGGCGATGGTGAGACACGTTGGCACGAAGTACAAACTTGGTTGAGTTCTCTATGCTTCCTTTTATCGTGAGAGAAGTATGGGGAAATCTTTGTACCTTGCTTATGGAACAGACGGAGTGGCTCTCTCTGCCTTGGAATTCCAGAGTATATTCCATGCAGTCTATCTATGGTACGACTTTGACAGCATCATTTGCGGGGTGGTGAAGCATTTAAGGGGAAAGATCACCGATTGTTGTCAGTGTTGGCATTGGGTTATGTGGTGTGTGATGTATTGCAGCATACCAAAATCATCACCCAGGTGCATATTCAAGTCGGCTCGTGATAATTGTGATGTTCCCCCACTTCAGGGTCTGGCTGTATGGCAGCAAATTCTCCAACCATATGGAGTCATACAGCCATAACAGCCCATTGTTGACCTCATCGAAGCTTCACGTTCTTTTCAAGTTTTCCTTACCTACATACATAGTAGCCACATGTGCATCTAGAGCGATCATCCTCTTATTGTTGACTATATGATTCTTTTCAGCGGGCCCCATATAAGTGACGCAAATATTTCTCCTTCAAATGTTCGTCACTGAGTAGCAGGTGTCTACATACATACCACCTACCTACCCAGTCAGCTAGTAAGATATAATTGACATATCTAAATAACTTGAAACTACTAGGGATGTTATGATCGGTCTTCCAAATTGCTGGAAATGATCTAGCGTGGGTAGTATAGGTAGTATGACAATATGGGCGGTACGGATTGTCAAATTTACTAAGCAGGAATAAGGAAAGAGAAAGATCGAGTTGACAAGAATTCGATCTTTGATGATCTGCAATTATTGTTTCGTACTAATTATCAGAACCTATCAGAACCTATCAGAACCCGTTGATTGGGCCAGCACAAAAAAAAAGCTTTAAGCTAGGACCACGTGAGATTCCCAAATTGCCTGTACCTTCTGTACCGTACACCCAGAGGCTCAGCAAGTCTCAGCATTTTGAGAGAAGGTGGAAGGGATAGAAACGCGGGGCACATCCCACCCAACCCAGTCAAAGTCAGTCATAGTCAGTCAACCCATCCAGGCCATCGTAGCTGCCACCCAATTCATTGAATCTATCCACTAAAATCTACGGATACTACCACCACTACCACCATTGACGTCCCCCAATTTGTTCCCCCCAAATCATTAAATCATTCCTCTCCAACAAAAGTTACCAAAAGCGATTCTAGCAATCCAAGGTCGATCGCACCCCGTTCACGTTACTAGACTGAGCTCCAAAAACTTCTGAAACTTTCGAAAGGCCCAAGGAAGAGGAGACACGTCTAAAAAGAGGTTCCACATCTTAACAATCGTCAGTTTCTTCTCTCCTTGGTAATTACACAGTGGTGCCGCTTACATCCGCTGTCACATTCGTCCCCAACGAAACCTTGGAACTTCAATACGACTATACTACCATTCTTCCCATACTACATACATCCGTACCACATATTACATACTACTCCTCGTTCTCTAACGTACTATCGACCTGTATCGACCTGCCGAGAAACTGCCAGCTGAATGAATATCACAATTGGGCAGCTCAAGCTAGTGTCTCGAATTTGACAAGGTTCGTGCAGCCCTACATTGGTTACCTCATAAGGTTGTCTGGACCGTCTGGGTTGTCAGGCAAGATCCTAGCGGCTTGTTCGCGATAGATGGAACCCAAGGAACCCAATAACACCTCAAAGTACTCAAAGTACCTGAAAAGAGTCAAGCTCGGGCTCCGACTCCTCCGTTAAGAACCATAAATCGCTAATCAAATAAAATCACCATCCTGTAGACTGTAGACGACTCAGAACCTCCCGTGCCGACGAATCGGTACTGCGCTTTTTGCCACTTTTCCACCTGCAAGAAAAATTTCCATCTCTCCTTCGCAAGGACATCCCGATATTCTTTACTGGCCACCAAGTCGCCGAGGCAATACTCCATAAATCAACGGTTTAACTTTATCGCTTGTTGTATTATTCCTTTCCCGCCAACCACCAACCTGCCCTGTCTAGTCCAAATTACTACAATCCATACCATCATATCGATCTCTATTCATCCAACGAAGGAAACAAAGCCTCGATACTAGCTACTGGTCGGTGATGATAGTAGAAGCGCATTCCTAGAACTCTCCTTTTTATACGCCAGAACCTCTACCATGGCTGGCGAACACCACGACCCGGACTCGGTGCCTGCGACACCAGATGAGCTGATAGATAGGGATGTCCTAGGTACCCCCGTATCGCCCGGTTCCGTCGATTCCTCGGAAGCCACGACACCGATCGATACGCCAGGCGAAAGCCCTTCCGAACAGCCTAGAAGAATGCCATCCTTACGTTCCGTGTCTGATCCGCAAAACCCGGGTCACCCAATGACTGCCTCATCTACACATATTGGAGTCTTGTCTAATGCTAGACGTCCTCCTGCTACAGGTGCACATATGTCTAGCGGCCGTCTTCCTGAAGACATTAACGCCAAGATGCGAGCCTTCCACCTCTCCCGTCAAGGAAGCTCTGCCCTAGCTTCACCACAAGGTACTCCACCTTCAGGGCCTTCAGCAAGTGGTTCGGTCATGGGTGGTTTGCCTAGGCATCTTCAGATGCCCGGAGCCCCCCAGAGGCCTGGTGCTCCTTCATTTCCCAAATCGGCCCCCTCAGTACCCTCATTGCCTCCTGGAGTTGGTGGTTTGGCAAACAAGCGACGGTTTGGGCTGAAACTTGGGGACATGGGCGGAGGAGCTCCGCCTCCTATGCCCGGATCTGGCGTTTCTGGTGGAAGTCCCCAAATGTTACCCACCCAGAACGGGAATGCTCATAATATGTCACAAATGAAGCAGTTCGAGGAGTACATCGATTCTGAAAAAGGGTACCTGACATTTAGAGGCAAGGCGATCATCACAAACAAGGGAGTGGATTTCTCGGATGGGTCCGTCTTCAGGATATCGCTCGACGAGGTGGAGAAGCTAGATGAACTAGGTAAAGGTAACTATGGCACCGTCTATAAGGTGAGACATACGAAGCCACGATTCCCACGTTTCGGTCCGGGTCTTTCCGGATTCAAAGCGGCATCTTTAGCGAATCTGCCGACGGTTCCGCAAGACCAGGTGGATGCCGAAACCAAGACTGGCTCTAACACTGGGACGGTCATGGCTATGAAAGAAATTCGCCTGGAACTAGACGAAGCAAAATTGACAACAATCTTGAAGGAATTGGTAATCTTGCACGAATGCGCATCTCCGTACATTATCGAGTTCTACGGAGCTTTCTTCCAAGAGAGTGCGGTGTATATGTGTCTTGAATACATGGATGGTGGCTCGATCGACAAGCTCTATTCCGGGGGTATTCCGGAGGAAGTGCTCCGCAAGATCACGTATTGTACCGTGATGGGCCTTAAGGAATTGAAGGACAAACACAATATCATTCATCGCGACGTCAAGCCCACTAATATTCTTATAAATACTCGAGGCCAGGTCAAGATTTGCGATTTTGGCGTGAGCGGCAATCTTGTAGCAAGTATTGCCAAGACCAACATCGGATGCCAGAGTTACATGGCCCCTGAACGAATTTCGGGTGGAGCTTTCATGCAGGCTGGCGCAGGAGATGGCACTTACAGCGTCCAGAGTGATATATGGAGCTTGGGTCTGACAATCATCGAGTGCGGTATGGGAAAATACCCCTATCCTCCAGAGGTGTCCTCGACAATATTCAGTCAACTCAGCGTAAGTGGATGGCACGGTTCATTCCCTACTCTTAATCAGGTTGACTAATCATTATATATAGGCTATCGTCGAAGGAGATCCGCCCGATTTACCGGATAAGTACTCCGAAGCTGCACGCACATTCGTGCATGGGTGCCTCAACAAGGTACCTAAATTACGGCCAACGTATCAAGCCCTGCTAGCTTCAGAATGGCTTAAGAACCTAACGAAGCCGGAGACTATCACGGAGGAAGACGAGGAGGCCGCAGAGAACGAAGCCAGCGCGGAAGCGGTTGCTGGCGCGGCTGGGAAGTTGGATCTCAGTCACTCAAGCACGGAAGACCTGGAGGTTTCGACATGGGTAAAGGACGTCCTCGAGAAGAAGGAAAATGGGCAGTACGGAGAGACGGAAGGACAGCCAGCGCTCCACCATGCCCCTTTGGATGCCGTGAGCCCGCTGGCTAGCCCGCGAATTGGAAAATAGAAATGGGAGGAACCTTTCCGATAATACTCTTTAGACAAGGACTACCAAAGAGAGGGAAAATTTCTACAACTTGGTGGAGCAGGTTCTCCACGATCCTCTCTCACTACTACCACTTCGAGAACATAGCATTGCTTGGCGCACACATACTTCATTCGACACATAGCAGGCCAGGAGGGTGGCAGCACTTTGTCTCAACATTTCACAATTTTCCTTCCATTTGCGCAAAATGGGGTGCTTCTAATCGGGATTTATTAAAACGGCATTCGGGCGATTAGGAGGCGTCCCTGTACACGTATTCGGGATAAGGACGGATGGCGGACGGGAGAGACGAAAATACGGAGGAAATCCGCGTGTGACAATACTAAAATGTCAAGAGGACTCTTCGTTTTCATCATCGACAAATCGACCATTGTACCATTGTTTTTTGGTTTTTTTTTTCTTCTAGCATCGCTCGGATGGAAAGAGGGAAGGTGGCTTTCGTCTTATATATGAATGAAGGAGAAGTTCGACGGGGAGGATGTGGTGACTTTGAAGAACCGAAATGGGTCGGAAGAGAGATAAGATGGGAATTCACATTCCACTCGGAGTTTCGGGAGAGACAAGGGACATCATAGGAATAGGAACGGGATGGGGAATGTATGGAAGTAGGGAGTGTAAGGGGATTCGCTCAGTTTGGCAGGGTCAGATTGTCGAAAGAGATTCTGTTGTTGCGGCTTGGTGGAAGAAAGAATGACGACGAGAATGAAGATTAAGACTGGAAGTGGGTGAACGAGGAGAGGAGCTAAGAGTAATGCATATTTAAAGCTGAGCAGACGAGCGAATGATGGGGACAGCTGCATGGATGACAAGACTGAAGAAGTAGTAGTTGAATTGAACTGAAGTCATACCTTGCTGTCGGGAATGAGTATATTAATAAGCCGGGCTAAGTCAGGTTAAGCTTCGAAAGTCGTGCGTATGTGATGTAGTGATACGATACGATACGATGATGCGGTAGAATAGACGTAAAGGCGCAATGGTATACTACGATATAGGGTGTCGTACCTACGTGTCTAAAGGGGCTAGATGACATAAGTGATCTAGCACACCGAGAAGCTAAATGGGATGAAAAGCTTTAATTCGAGGTTCAGAGAGAGAAGCGCCGTCCTGATTAAAGATAGGTGTATTACCTACCTAGGTAGACATATATTGACCGTCATATTTTCTGGAAGGTCGATGATCCTGGATCATATAAGGCACGTCTGTCCGCAGCTCCCCAACTTTCAGCTCTGTAGTTCACTAGGTACCTACCCACTCAGGAGGAAATGACCATATTTATACACATCACATCAAGTCACAATTCTAGGCACTTCATCAAGCAGAAAAGCAAAGCCCTCTCAAATGCGGATAGCATCTCTTCGTATATTGCTCCATCGCAAGAACCCAAAAGATGCCCAGGTCCAGGCCCATACTAACTGATCTACCATAACGATCGAGTAGGCCGTAGTATAGCTAGCTGGTTGTAGATTACAAAGTTTGGTATCACAAAAGTTTCCATTATTATAGTTAGTTATCCACAATCCAACATGTCACGTCCACACTTCTCTTCTCTTCTCTTCTCATCATGTCTCCTTGCATTTCTCCTCCTCATTTGGGCTTGCGGTAGGGCATTAAGTATCCGCCGTTCGTGAATTAATATCGTCATTATCCATTACTCCGAGCAAGCATAGCTATAAGCATTAGCATAGACTAAGGACCACGCAGATCCCTCGGCCTGCCGTTTTTTCGTATCGTCGATCTTTTTAAAGTTGGAAAAAAATCGCAATCTCGTATTCCTTCTCGTACTCGCGACGGGACCAGCTGCTATTTTCCGCAGTTCTCTCCTCACTCGCAATTCTCGTGATGAGGCCGAGCTCAAGAGTAGTCGTCCTTCACCCGTCGACCGTTCATATCGTAACTTCGTCGACTCCGCACGCTCCTCTGGCGTCCCCATCGGCGGCCACCACTATAAGTACCATCGCCTCCACCTCGGATGCCGACGCAGAACAGTATCGTGGCGATGAGCAGCGCGGTCCAACTACCCCAGCTGAATCCAAATGCGTACCGGCCTAGACTCGCGTCGCGGCCGTCGGCCATAAACGCATTGCGCAACTTGACGAAGACGGCCGTCATCATGGAGACGGCGATAGTGTGGAAGAACAGGGCGGTCAGCGCAACGATTCCTGCGATGGCGGAGCCCAGACGTCCACAGCATGCGACGAAACCGGCGAAAAAGGCCAGGACCGAGAACACAAGCGCGATCAGGTAGAAGACCCAGCCGAACCGCCACATGTAGTAGAAATAGAAGCTAGTAGTGTGGCCGCCGTGGGATCCGACGACCGAGGCCGGCGCACTAGACGGGTCGCCCGACCAAGCCCATCCCAAAGGTGCAGCGGGCGTCGCGCGGCCGCAATCCGTGTTGCCGTCGCCGCAGATGTAGAAGTACGCCCACTGCGTGACTGACCGCGCTCCGGTGATGCCGGATGTGTCGGCTCTGAGGAAGAACGTGTCCTTCAGGGGCGACGTGTTTGTCACCGCGGAGAGGATCACGAAGAACAGCATGACCAGAGAGCCGGCGAGGAAGATGAGGGAGAGGGGCGCGAGGTAGGTGTTAGGCCGCGCCATTTTTGCGGGGGTTTTTTTCGGTGGCCGGTCAGGACCAGAGCCTTGTGCGAGGTTGCGCAGAGCTGGGGCTGGGGGACCTTGGTTTTATTCCAGATATATTCTCGGGAGTCGGGAAAGTTTGATCGTCTGAAACGTCCGAAAGGAAACCCAGCTGTCGAAAAATTTAGAAATTCGGACAGCGGGAAACTTTTTGGCTTTGAAGGGATGGAATCTGTTTTTGGCGGGCGATTGGCTTTTTTTCGACAGGGGAAACCGTGCAATAAATCGTAGCTAGGGATGCGAACTCCGGCAACACACTTTTTTTAACAGGAGGCTGTTTTGTTCCCAAACGCTAGGGCCAAGACAACAGTCTCTTAGATTAAGATGTCTTAGATACGAATCCGGATGGCGGGATCAAAGCCGGGTCGGGTTGATGTTAGGCTACCAAATTCTTATCAACCAGCCGTACAGTATAAAAATGGACAAAGAGGTTGAGTGAAATATGGATTAGATAAGTGAGCTATGTATTATTCTCAAAAATGAGGTTTCGATCCGGATGTGTATAGGAAGAAATTAGAAGATGGAGAAGGAATTAGTCGTACCTAGGTTTTCAATATAATGGAAGGGAAAAAAGTGAAGCCCTTCTTTAGAGTTTGCTGTTCATTATCGAAAGACGTCGTCAAAAGTGGGCACGAGCATGCGCCTGGTGGGGCAGAATGACGACACTGACGAAGCTATTGGAATAGCTCGTTACCAGAACAGGACTAGACCTGCCAATTAGCCTGAATAGTGCCGCATAGTACCGTACCTAGGTAGTTTCTAGGTGGTTTCCTTCTCATAAACTGGCTGCTTCCGAAGACTTCTTTCCCAAGGAAAACCTTTCGCAGCTTCCTATTATTTCAGGTTCGATACGACGTAGAATTAATTCAGGGTTAAATCCATTGGAGGTTCGGAACTAAGTGCATTAGTGTGTTGCTGGACATACTATTACTATTTGCATTACTATGCGCGCCTACCAACGCTTACCAACGCCAACTTGCACCTACTGCACCTACATAGAATTTAATCACAAAAGCCACACTATCCATACGTCATCCGCATAGCGTCTTCAAAGAAAGAGAAAAACATAATGTCGTGATGCCATTTAGTGATCACCATGATGCCAAGTCTTCGTCACCTTTATGAGGCTTAGCCGGTAGCGACAATGTTGAGAAATGTAACCCGCGATATCCGAAGTTTTTGATTTGGTAGTAAAGTTCGAAGTTGGATGTTTTCTCGCATGTTCGAGCTTACGTAAGTGATCAACTACGTATCAGACTTTTATTGGTCTGAGACATCAGGGCAAAAGGCGTCGAGACAGGCGATCGATAATTCGCTGTTCGTTTTAATAAGTTTCAGCTGAGCCCTAAAAAAGCCACACTGCACGCCTATATCTAGGCGGGTATATATGTCAGACCATATCCCCTGGCTGACCGTGCCGTTCCTGGCCTCCCCCCTGCGTGATCTTGCCGGATCGTTGCATAAGTTACACGGATGCGCCTAAGGGTTCGGAGACTAATACCGTCCGATTCTACAGAATATGTTCTTATTTGAAAACTGCTGGGTTGTTTATCTACTAGGATAGTTGGATCGTGCTGTGCTCAATCATACAGTAATAGACCTCTCCTGCACTCCCTTACGCTCTCTCAACATCAAATAAATAAAATATTATAATACACAGGAAATCCAAAGGGACGGGATATCGGTGTTTAAGTAGGCGCTTGCGCATTCTCATATTAGCTGTATGTTTGATTAATGTCTTTTATTTGGCTTGCCGCCAAGTCATCCACTTAGCTTTCTTTTTCTAATTATGGTTTGAAATAATACTAGATATTACAGTAGGACTAGGACATGAAACATGATAGTTGCAATTTTGTCAGCACTGCGAGTAGTGGCGTTGACTAGGTAGCTATCTTGAAGTGAAAATGCTAGCAGATGTCCTGTTTCTAGTAGTAGCTGAATGAGTGGCTGCATTCCACATACCCGCCTAAAGCTTGGAGCCATGAGAGCTTACTCATAGAACTGCTATGGTTTGGGAACTAGGAAATCTTTATAATATGTAGAGGCATTAAGCAACATGATATTCATACTGCTCATACTGGTGAAAGAAGTTACTTTCCTCATATAGTCCGTGGGCTGTGTGAAGCTTGAAGCTCTATTAAAAGGTAAGTTAAGATAGTGAAACGTAAACTTTTCTTATGATTTATCCTGGGCTATGTAGATTGTACTCGAAACTGTAAACACTAATATAATATAACCTCATTTCCATGGGATCGATGTATAGTTCCTTAGGCAACTGGATATGCCTGGGGCTTGAACTCAAATCCCTCTATATAACACCACTGCAATGTTAGTTAGAATTTAGAAATGAATATAGTTGGAACTATTATAATGTTAAGTGCCTTGCGCTTAATAGCTTCCACAAGAGTTGCTTAGGTACTTTGAATAGGATACCTATATTAACACTACAATTTCTGCTATAAGTTCATTTGTAAGAATAACATCGTCCGTCCAAGCTACGTGATCTCTAGATTCACTAAAACAAATCACTTCGTACACAATTCTATTCCTTCCCCCCCCTCTATCTCAGCAAGTCGAACGCGATGGCAATTAATGCCGAGGAAGAAAACATGGTTCTCCCCGACACATTTTTGATGTGCAGCATTCTGATGATCGCCATACTTGTATGCTGTATCATGATTTCGATCCCATTGGAAGCCCCAGTTGTGGCCGAAGAAGACGAACAAGCTAGCCTTCTGGCACGAAGCTCAGACTACGCTGCCGACGACGAACGGAGCCTCTAACAGTTCGGAAATCTTGAGCCGCAGGTCTCTGAATTAGTACATTGGAGAACCAGCGGAGTGATCCTTAGATGTGCTGGCGCCGTTTGTTTATTTATAGGATACCTATGTTCTCTGTTCTTTACGCATTGTCTTTGAGGATTCGCTATTACCTGCCTACCTACCTATGGAATGTCGATGAATCAGCTGGTAAGTCAAATGAAAAGGCTCTTGATGTATCATATAACGACTGACAATCCAGAAGCCACCAAAACACGAGCTTGTGAGAATGAATTACGCACTTCGAAATACGGATAATAATTATCAAGTCACGATATGGTCTTGATAAGGGGGAGTTCGAGAAAATCTCTAGAAACTAGGGGTTATTAAGTCAGGACTTCCGTGAGCCATGAAGAATCTGAAAAGGAGTTCAGGGTCCGGGTAAAGTGGAAGTTCTTGGATGTTAATAAATCATTGTGTATGCCAATCAGTATCTGCTGTTTTGCATGAATAATTGCTTGGCTTGGTGCCTTTCTTGTAACTGGAGTCTAGGCTTTGAGCTATAGGCGTGCCAGGGGCTGATAGCAAGAGGTAAGAAAGCTACGTCCTGTCCAGCCCCGAGGGATTTTAGAAGAAGGTCAGGCCTTTATAGCCATTCAATTTCTATACAGGTGAGCCTGTAACGAGTTACCTACTACTATCACCCGCTTTGCGATGAAGTCTTGAACTACGGGCTACACCCCTATTAGGATGATACCAATCTCATCTATGATATTACCACCTATTCTTACGTCTCACTTCTTCATACTTGTAACATTTACATATGTTCCCAGCGTATTTGATTGAACCAAATGGATTTGAGCCCGTAGATATCCATATACTTCCTTGTGGGCCACATGATAAGTGAGGCCGTCGCTTGCCATTATCATGTGGAAAGCTTCGTGATGGTTAGTATAATGATGCAATCAAAAAATATTATTCACTACCCAACTATACTATGAATTACCCATGTTCTTACGATAATCCCCAAGGATAATTCAAGTAACCCTCAGTTAAGGAGATAATCGAGTCGAGCTATAGGAATGCTTATACACGTTGAACTTGTATCACGAAAACGTTCCACTAGAACCCCTAATAAATTGTAGTATCGTATGTTCCCGAGAAGAATAAGTAAACATGAATCCAAAGTGAAAGCCGTTGCCTCTTGACGTATACTAGGTAGGTAGGTACGTAGGTATGTATGTAAAAAATGCACTTTTTATCGCGATATATTACTAGATTCGAAGAACCGCACCTGATATAGCTGATATTAATCAGAAGAGCATCGGTAACTATTACATACTTAAGATGGTCTGCAAGCCCGGTAGGTCCGTCTCACATAACTGTCCTGCAATTGCTACGGGTGCATAGCGTGGGTTGAGTTGGAAAGTTGTATTCAAGTCTTGTATATTAGCATCGTTTCACAATCCCGTCGTTATGAATGTTAGGGTATACAAAGCGAAATGAACAGTACTGGTGGAAAATCTGCTCTGTTGATTAAAGTATCACATGGTCTATAAAGTAGTTGCCGACTTATTTCAAATGGCCGGGTTCCCGAATCTGGTCTAATCAATGTGATCTCACGTCGCTGCTGAGTACCCTTAGCAGCGTTGTGGAAGTATAGTGGAATCATTTTCGGGCATATAACTTTCCCATTTGGCCTTACTTTGGAGTAAAATAATCACATGAGGTACAGGTTTTTCTGCCTACATACCACGGCAGGAGTTGCCCTAGCACGCTCCATGGGACCGCACGGGAATAGCGGGTGAGTCGCTGACGAACCTTCGGAGGGCCCGTTTATGTCAGAGCTAACGAGTACGATGAAGAAATGCGGATGTGCCGTTGCCGCAGAATATGCACCTCTTGGGGAATAAGCTAGCTAGTAATATCGGTAGTTTGACGGAGAATGAGTAGATCGACGGAGCAGAGATGGGTGTGACGAGAGACCCGCCTTTCGATCTTAGCTTGATATTCCAAGTAACGACAGATTCGTAACCCGGAAACGTTGATCTATCAGTTGTCGCGTCTGACAAGCTAGCCGCGTAAGTATGATTGGTGGGATACGCCCGCTTGTTACTTGTGGTTTTTGAGAAGGCTGTCAACAAACCCGTTCAATAGCCGTAGCTGCGTTTAAGTTCCGATAGGAGGTAAAAATTGAATGACGGCGTCGGCTATTTGCTCGTTAGACGAACGGTTGATTTGTAAACCAAGGCATTTCCGGGCCGCCGGCCGTCTATTCCTTAGGCGCATACTCTTTCCCATACATAATATGTACCTTCCTACCGTCGCGGCCGGGGCGTTGGCTTGTAATTATCAGACAAGTGTATGGTACGCCGTTACACGTATGCTCGGCTCCGCTTTGCCCTCGTCCATGGTTCTGTCGTGTCTGGTCCCAACGGAGCCGCACGAGATTAGTGCTGCTGCACATTACGAAGTGAGAGCGTTCTGCGAGTTCTGCGAGGTGCGAAGTGATAGACCGACATTGAATAGGCATACTCCCCCTGCCGTCGTTCTCCACTCTCCACTCTCCGCCCTACTCCGAGCAGATCAATAGCTGCCAATCAACCTTGGCGCCCAGTGTACAGGTCCTGCATTCGGCAATGAGAGGTCAGAAACGTGCGGCTTCTGACAGCTTTGTACCACGGAAGTAGCTACAACTCGCGGCGACGTACACGACGTACACGACGTAAATCTGGGGCTAGAAGCGTGGGAACACCAGGTAAATTGGACGAGATATGTACGGTCATGTAAGGTAAGTGGTATTGTATCTTGCGGCTGATGTGAGCCAAAAAGGAGGTGACCAGGAGATGACCATCGATGGTCATGTGTTCGGCCCATCATGCGGTGAGAGAGGCAGATATGGTTGCAACGCACAAGTGCTTACATGTATCTCGAAAGTATCCGAAGGAGAACGCCCAAGTCTTCTATCGCCAAGGGTGACACCGAATCAAAAGATGTCGCTTGGCAGCGGCATTAGTTGGTCCATTCTCTCTTCTTACCCTGTTCTACCTTGGCTGATTTCTTGGTGTGGTATGGAATCTAGAATGCGAGAGACCATGATCTTGGAAGTTCTAAACGTTCGATTCTCGCCTGTATCGCAGAAGCTAGCCCGGTAGTCTCGAATAGCGTGGGATGAAAGCTGTCGCCTTACAGTGCCTTACAGGCCTTGGAAGGAAAAGGAAGAATAAACTTTCTCGAAAATTGTCCAGATCATCATAAAAAAGTGACAACTCACAAAAGACGGTTGTGATGGAAACAAGGATCACCCTATAATCCCTGCTGGATCGTCCCGTGCCTCCTTGATGTTAGGTCCAACCATGTGGCCCGAGCTTAAGCTTGGTTATTCCCACCGAAACCCAATGTCCGTAGCCAGCAAGCTCCAAGCATTGAGGGGAGCTCGGGCCAACCTCGAAGTCAATGGACAGGATGAAATACAGGCCTGGACCCTGTCGTTTTGGCGGGGATGCTTTAGAGCTGGGGCTAGCTGAGAGCTATCCGTAACGGGTCAAGATCAGTAATTTCTTACCTAATCAAGTAAGATCATCCACTAACAGCCTCAAATTTTTTTTTCGTACCTTCGAACGCCATCACCGTCAACGCCTTGATTCGGTTCGAACACGCATTTGGTCGTCGCGATTCAATAAACCCAGGCTCGAACCAAGCAGCCAAGTCAATTACCCATTAGTAATGTAACAATTGAAAACAAATCCCTAGCTTTATCGCCGACCCTACGTACGATATACGAGAGCGCGGAAAAAAAAAAAAGACCAAACACTGAAAAAGTTTTCGAATTATCCAATGTCGCTCCGCCACATTAACATCCCCTCCATGCCCTGGGGCCATCCGCCCAGGTGCCCGACGTACCGCATGGCGACGCGCATCCAGACGAAGCTGCAAGAGGACCTGCTGGCGTGGAAAGCGGCGGGGTCCACTACCACCACGTCCACGTCCACGTCCACCCCTTCCTCCTCCTCCTCCCCCGCCCCGCCGCCTCCCCCAGCCCTGATCACCTTCACGCCCTCGCCCACCTTCACGCTGGGTCGGCGGCAGGACTACCCGTCCGCGCCGGAGCGCCAGCGCATGCAGGAGCGGCTGACCGTCTCCACGTACCGGCCCGCGCCGCGGAGCAGCTGGGGCTTCATCAAGCCGGACATCGTGCAGACGCCGCGCGGGGGACTGACGACGTACCACGGCCCGGGGCAGGTGCTCTTCTGGCCCGTGATCGACCTGCGGTCGCCGCTGCACAAGCACTTCACCGTGCGCGAGTACGCGTCGCTGCTCGAGCAGACGACGATCGCGGCGCTGCGGCGCGCCTACGACGTCGAAGGGTTCACCGACCCGGCGAGCCCGGGCGTGTGGGCGCGCAAGGTGCGCACCGTCATGGGGCCGCTGGGCGAGGACGTCGAGGTCCAGGGCCCGCAGGAGAAGCTCGCGTCGCTGGGCGTGCACCTGCGCCGCCACGTGACGGGGCTCGGCATCGCCGTCAACTTCCGCATGAACCTCGACTCGAACCCGAAGGTGAACCCGTGGCTGCGCATCGAGCCGTGCGGGCACGACGGTACCGCCGTCACCACCGTCGCCAAGCACGTGGGCGACATCCCGCTCTCCTCCGCCGTCGACTTGCTCATCCCGACCTGGGCCGACGAGTTCGCGAAGCGGCTGGGCGTGGCTAACGCCGTGGACCCAGATGCCGGGCCCCTCATCAAGGAGGACGGTTGGACGCGGTGGATTCTGGAGTTGGATCTGGCCAGAAATCCGGGCTTCGAGATAGCGCGTAAGAGGAGGTCCTCGTGATTGGGCGCGAATCACGTGTTCCCAGGCCTTCGAGAAAGAGAAACACGAGGGTTGTCTCGTGTGAATTTACGTTTCGATGCGAGGACTCGTTCGAACGGGTTCCACGAGGCCAGAGCCGGGTGGACGAACCGCACGGCCACCACTTGGGAGGCTACCCGCTGCCAATTCACACGCTGGAGTATGTGTATAGGTACCGTCATGATACCCGCACTCCTAGTTTCTGAAAGGCCGGTTTATACATATAACATACATGCGTACTTGTCTACCAACCCGGTTACTCCTGTATATACGCGTCCAATCTGAACCTCTCCCCTCAGAACACCAAAACAAACCCCCCAACCTCCAACCTTCCCAATTCTTTGGATAAAACCGCGACGAGACGGGTTTCGGCGACCGCCACTCCCGCGCTCAACAAAGCTGGGCTGGCCAAACCGGATATGTCCCAGGGGGCGGCAGGCCGTTAGGTTTCGAAGGAATTGGCATATCAGGGGTGTATATGCAGCCTTCCGCCGCCGATCTCGGCGACCTTTCCCACCGACCTGGAAATTGTAATGATAGATACCTAAAGTAGGCCACTGGCTAAGGCAAGGGTGTAGGTATGTACGTATGTCGATGAACGTACGTGCGCAAGTACATACCATCCCGTACATATCGTACATATCCCGTACATTACATATGTATACCTAGATAGGTAGTAAAATGGCACAACAAAAGTAGATAGAATAGAGGGCGGGCGGCAGACTACAGCTTTTCTAATTACGACGCGACGTGGCTAGCCGTTGTGGGCTTTGCCTTAGCTGCATACGAACCTTGGAAATAATTATGGCGACCTATCTATCCCACTTGCCTAAATACCTACGACTTATTTCCAATACCGTGTACTGATGATGTAAAATATAGAAAGCGAAAAGTGGAAAGTAGCAAGGCGAGACCTATCGAGGCAGATGAATTGATGAATCGTCGTCATCGGCATCTCGTATACCCATTGCAACTCTCGAGATGTGGCATTGTCGAGAACTTTGTTCATCGTTAGTAGTAGCATTTTCACTGTACCTACGGGTATTTAAGCCACGGAAACCATCATGGTTATCACATCTCAGAAAACCAGTTCAGATCAGATGGAGATATCGTATTAATTTCGGCTCGAACTTTATCAACTTAATTTTTGCGTTTAGCCTCTGCCGATTCTCAGAAGAGGGCAGCAGGATCTCTCGTGCACTAGTAGTTCTGCTGCCCTCTTGTTTCCCATATTAAAATACCAAATTCATAGGCGTTCCTCTTTCTCTCTTATTAGGATGCTAGATTGCTGGATCAAAACCTTTCGTCTTCATTATTTCGTCTCCGTGGTATATAATATTAATATACCTAGGGGTCAGTAAAAAACCGACTTCGTATCTCTCAGTCTTCATTACCAAGTAACGCCGTGGGTGGAATAGACGGGAATAGCTGCCAAACCCCAAACGGAAGAATGCTCGTGGAATCAGGAGGAAAGCAACACCTCTAACCCCTGTTCTCCTTTTTGATGACTGCGCCGCAATGCTCGCTACTCCGTTTCCGGCCACCCCCTTTTCCGTGTGGTATTTCTTCTTCCGCCTCGGGCCTGTACATTTCCGGTTGGAAGTTCATATTGTTATAATGGGCGACATTGAAATGGCTGTTCTTAAAAGTATTGGTTGTGAAAGCGGGTTCGTGGAAACTCGTCTCTACTAGATCAGGGAAGTTGTATTTGCTGAAGCGAAGAGGGTGCACCGTCATCGGTGTCGTGGGTTGTTGCTGTGGTGGACTTGGTTGAGGAGGCGGAGCCCTGGTTGCCAGCCCGTCCGGAAATGGCTGCGGCATCCATGGCGATTGCGGGGAGGGGGCATAAGGGTCCGTCAAAGGAGACGGAGCCGCTGCGGGAGACGCTAGTGGAGATATCTCGGCGGGCGCGCCAAAACCGGGTATCATGGCCAGCGCGCTCATATCCACCGCGAAATCTGGGAGCGAAGGCATAGTGTTCTCGATCTCATGGTGATGCGTGAAGGATGTTGCCCTGTTAATCGACAAGGTAGTTGGTGCGGGTGGCATAGGAGGGGCAGTCTGGATCACGGAATCGCGATACAAGATATCGTAGTGGCCAGGACGGTATAGTAAATAGATCATGGGCCCTAGCGTGGCTGGGTCTTGTCCGTTGGCTTCTTCGGGCATCCTATGTACGTTAACCTCCACGCCGTCGCTTCTATCTAGATAGGCGATCTCGAGAACGATACCGGCGGGCTTGAGTAAAAATTCGTGAAGCAGCACTACACCTATGTGATCGATTTCCCTGTCGATGGGCATAATGGTATCTTGATTGTAGTTCTCGATGGTACCGGGTATCCAGGGTTCGTAGTTAGCAGCATGGCCTTTCAACCACGAAGACGCAATTAAGCGCATGTGGTAGACGATAGACTGCGACGACTCGGGGTTGTTGAACTTGTCCATCACCAAATCCATAGGATCTTGACCGGTAGACATAGCAGTGGCTATAGCTTGCAATAAGGACCAAGTCTCGCCCACCATATCTTCGAATAGCCACGAACTGTGGCCACCGACATGCTCGATGTAATGGTTGAAGCTGTTTATCCGGGATTGCTCTCCCGAGACCTCATTTGCGTCGCCACGTCGTACCAGACTCTCGAAATAACCGAAGGCGATTGCTGCGACGACACCATAGAATGTTAACTTAGTCCTCTACAGATCAGACAACTAGGTTGGATAGGCGAATACGCCAATCGGGACGGGAGTGAAGGATTGAGGGTTCAGGGTTGAAGATCGTTCTACATATTTCGTGCAAGTCGTGGTCTTCATGGCGGTTGATCGTCGATCGATCAAATCAATCTGATCGATGAGAATCGTAGATAAGGCACACGAGAACCAGACCTGAAGACCCCCATACCCCGGCTTAACTCGACATGGCTTGCGCATGAACCGCATTATCTGTGCGGGGTATGCGTGCGTACGTACGTGATGCAGAAGGATCATCAGGTGTTGGGATGGGCAGGTGGTAGGATGGATGAAGTGATAAGAATCCGGTTATAACTCACCTCGCCAACCGCAATTACCGTCGCCCTGGATCGGGCGGTAGTGGGAATACGTCTGGGGTAGGGCCTACGATGTCATGAGGAAGTCAATTGGCCGGACTCGATTTCTAGGAAGTTCGGGTTCGAATCGAATTGACTAACCAAGGTTTTGGCGACGTATATGGGGTCTGCTTTAGCATATTCCTCAGTGATCTCCGTGCTCGGTCTTCTCTCGCCGACTAAAGGACCCTATTTCGCAGTTGAGGTATGAGCAATCTCGACGGTGTTCAGGCACGCATTTCGTCATTTTCGTTTGGGCAGGGTGGGGGCGAAGGCGAAACGGGAAATGAGAGGTAGCTATGCACATGGCTCCAAGGTTGTACGTGCGGATAAGAGGTGATATGAAGGGGATGCGTGATGATTAAGACAAATTTACAGTAACACAAAATGCAACTACTTACCTCTAATTGAGGCTTGAATTCGCGGGCTGCAGCCTCCTGCTGGGCAAGGTCGGTTTGGAGTTGCGGTTCCATCTTGATATTGCGACGAGTTTGGTGGTGATTGTGGGGTATTTGGGAATTGCTGTGGTTGTAAGGAAGATGATGGCTTGGGTTGTTGGCTGGAGTGGATATTAGAGAATTAGGATTGTGGAATATATGCGAGGCGAAGACGTCGGCGGTCGTCGTTGGTCTGCCACTCCCTGGGACTGCGCCTACACCTGCACCACCAAGGCTGCCACCACTACCGCCGGACTGCCCTGTCCCGAATTGTACCAACGGAGTAGGCTGGAAGGCGTATTCGGGAACTTCTGCGTTGGCTATGTGAACTCCATAAGAAGTATAAGAGGGAGAGTACGGAGTTGGTTGAGGCTGGAACATTCCTGTGCCTGGGCTTGACGAGCCAGAGCTTGACCCCAACCTTGGGAGCTTCGGGTCATTAAAGCTCTACGTGACCGTAACAGGTGGATGATCTTTGATGAGGTTCAGGATAGGTATCCCAGGTATAAGTTTTCTAGATTGCCTAGAGCTCATACGGGTAGATTTGTGGAGGAACCGGTAGAACGGGTCTGTAATAAGGTAGATTGTGTATGATTTGTAAATTGTAAATTGTAGATTACTTCTAAGGCTGCAAGCGGCGTTGCAGGTTCGCGGTTTGCTTCAGTCTCTCGCCCTCGTGCGTGAATTATTAGGGCTTCTCTTCGAGGCTGTAACCAGCAGCGACAGGTGAAGAGAAACAATGAAGTATTCCCGACGGGCGATGGAGGTAAAAGATAAGAGAGGGTAAAATGCGAATAAGGAGAGTAAGTGGGAGGCAGGGAGAGGAAAAGGGAAAAGGAAGAGAGGAGGAAGGAGGAAGAAGAGAGAGAGAAAGCAAGAGGGGATCCAGACAGTTGGTAATGGGCGGGCTTTTGTCTAAAAGGAAGATTGAGCACCGAGAATCAGAAGCGCGGGTTACACCAGCAAGCGGCAGTAGCTACTGTCCCCCTGTAGATTCCTCCAGGGTTTTCCAGGGCTATGTATTGCCTGTGTAGCGAACCTTCTTATGTAGGTACCTCATCTGTGTATACATCTAGGGTATGTCTAGTTGCAGAAATAGCAGGAAAATAGCTAAAAAGACGTTAGGGAAGAGGGGGAAATTCGGTTTCTTGGAGACTTATGGATAATTCCCTTTTGATCCCCGATTCCCAAAAACGGCTCTAGGTCAATGGCGACGATAGCCCTGTCGCTCACCTTAAATGTGATAATTGACTGATCTCTTGTCTGAGCGTTCCATTTCTATGGGGATACACTTTAAGTCTCAATAGGAACTTGCCGTCTACCTCTAAAGATACGGTACCCCACCTAAACTACGTGTAAGTGCTTTAGAAGGATTGTACATTACCCATTACATACATACCTACCTACCTGGTTGCATGTACACTCTTTTTCTTTACTCCGTTCTCTTGGAGTTCTTCTAAAACCCATTTATGAAACTTCTTCTCATAGGACATAACAGCGCCGCTAGACACCGGTCTTGTGTAATTACTGGCCTATCCAATCTATTCGCAATATGTAATATGACAAAGTCCACGACTTACACGTGCAGGAGCACATAGACCCTGGAGGGGTTACCTGGAGCATACTCGAACATACTTGCTTAGGTACATTCAATTGATTCAAATGCCCCTGTAAATTAACGTAAGGTCTGTGCTTTTGGCGCTACCGAAGCTGCTAGGGTTGGAAGCCAGACCTGACGTCGGCTAGCGATCAGTGGGAAGTAACAACGGTACCGAGTGGCACTACAGGCTCGACTGTCAGGACGATTTAACGGAAACTACCTAGGATGACGGATCACGGCTCCAACCTTTTTTACATATATCGAACGTTCATTGGATTTTCCCTACTGCCAACCTTTTCCGACGTCAGCCAGCTCAGCTATTATTATTACTATTATTACTATTATTACATACATCGTTGTATAAGTATGTTGTCAACTTTTATTTCCTCGCCGTTAGGACGGTATAAATTATTTTCTACTATTCAATATTTTGTAGGCGTTGTTCGTATCGTACAAGTTAAAGGTACGTACGAAATACATCCATGGATGGCTAAAGTCTCGGTCAGAATACAGTATAAGTTTAAATATACTCGAGATCCTATCACCTTTTATACCCGAGACATGTCTGGCCAGACATTACCTAAAACATACAACGGTCTAACCCTTTTATTGCTACGTACGAAAAAAAAACAGCGGAAAAGAGACGATCAGGGCCAAGAACATGTCAACCAAAACTACTAGGTATAGTCGACTAGTGAATGTCATGCCATGGGCGCTGACTCTTATCTGCCCAAATATCATGATCACTGCTAGGTACTATCCTCAGTCAGCGCATCGTATGAGCTGCAAGAGCCAACTAACAACAAACTCATGACGAGAAATGTGCCCACTAATAATAGTTGGCTTAAATTATAGTAATCCCGACCTCGGGTCCCAACTATCAAACCTTGGTCTCATGCCCGGCTTCGACTTATCAGCTCTAAGCATCCTTCTAACCTACGCTATTACCATATATTCTATTACGACAATGCGTATGATACAATGGAGGATCCAAGGTACTGCGGCTGTACTACGGTCTGCTTACCTAGGTATGGATGTATGATTTAGATGTTAAGGCCGAATCCTTTCACCCAGATCTTTTCTTACCCCAGACTGGTGCTTACGATGGATGCGGCGCCAGGCTGTGATGGGTTAGATGGGTAAGGTATACCAACAGCCAAGACACGCTACGTACCCAGGAAATTCAAGGCTATGGGCAGCAAGGATCTGAGACCGATTACCGTTCATCGCGCAAGATCGTGAACTTCACACGGCATCAATCTTGTGAGCTCGGTAGCGTCCTGTCTAGTCTTCATTCGTCTTTAGCTTCTCGAATAATCCTTCGATCTATTTTGGCAACAAAACCGGCACAACGGCGCAGATGATAAGCTAAATAGCTAGCTCGGCTCAGCCGATTCAACAGTCAAAGCCGACCCCCACGACAAAAAGAAATATTCAGTAATATTCAACGGCTGGCTGACGCGTTACAGAATTTCCCATCTGAGTAGAAGCAGGATCGTAAAAAGCAAGTTGAAGCAGCAAGCTGACACGCAAGCGAAGCCAAGTAGAGCAAAACATGGAAGCAAAGCAAAACGAACCCCGTGGCAGCGGGGCACGTCATTCGGTGGCGACTACTGAGATACAGTGCCTGCCAGATACCTGGGCTTGCCTGAATAACAGGGTGATACCCTACGTGGATGCGGTCGGTTCACGAACCTAACTAGCGTATGACTTAATGTGCATGCTACGAAATATGCTATGCTGTTGGTTGCACGAGGCGGACAAGCACAATGGCCATCGTAGCACAGCATCACAAGCGAGCAGAGTATCATCGACGTTGTCTTCAATGATACCAAACTAGATTGACATGTCCACCAATCCGCGCGGATTTCCGCGTGACAAGCTTTTTCGAGAAGAAACAGAAATCGTCATCAATGTCAGCCTCATCTTAATATGCAGTTTGTAAGTGCGTGTGGACGGTATACCGAAAATAGCCAACAGCTAACTAGGATTAAGTAGGGGTTCCATAGAGAACTAACCAGTGAGAATAGTGATCAACATCCCACACTATGGAATATTCAAACGACGGCCACGGTAAATATCAAATATGTATAATGAAAGACCGAATATGATCAAGGACCGTTTCCTTCTTCTTCTTAATAGGATCCCGTTAATCAAACCTAAGGCTGAAAAAAGACGGTGTGAGATCGATTCGTCTTCATATGTTGTTCTTTAAGAAGGACACACGCGGGATCGCCCTAAACTCGACAAAGGTAGGCTGAGATTGACGACAGGTGCAGCTAGGGTATACGGAACCCTGAATACATGAGAACGGTATTTCCTAGGGGATCTATCTCCGCTATCCATTTCATAGGTCATGTCTAGTTTTAAACTATCCATCGGACAAAGGATCGCGGGTGAACTCCAACGACCCGCGCCAAGCTCCATTACTATTGCATTCTGGTCTAACCCCGCCTTTCTTCCCGCCACCATGATACAGTACTGGGTCAATCTAAGACTTACATGGGAATAGACAACCACCGATATGTACGCCAAGGGGACTATCAGAGCCAGAGGGACACAAATTCCTCGGTATACCGGTAATCTACAATAGGTATCATACCCCCAAGTGAGAGTGGCTTATACGCCTATAACACCTCCTACAAACTATTCAATGCGGGATGACAATGGCTGCTCTGGGTAGAGAAGTTCTGGAAAACCACCTAGCTGCGGAAGACGTCGGCAATTAGTCTTCCGGTCAGGGTTGTATATCAGGCATCGGGATTTCTTCCAGAGCATCTTACTCGCATACATATATGCAGCTCATTTATCCCAACTCCAACTAATGCTTGAAAAATGTGAATTCGCACCTCACCGACAAGCTATTGACCACATCCATAGCATCGACTAAGTTCAAACCCAACGACTCATAATAAGCCGACAGCGGTGAACACGAGGTCCTTCAATGGCCACCTCGGAATGGACCAGCAATTTTTTAGCTGGACTATAATCAACCGCTTGCGTTGAGGTTACCCACCCTCGGACAATAGTGGCACACTTTAAAGTACCGTGATATGTGACTTCTGGAATAAGATTACGGCCACTGCTCCTGTGATTCGCTGGATGTTATCCCATCCAAACATCACGGCTACGACGCTTCGGCTTCCACCCAAAGCCATCGGGGACTAGCTGCAGTCGGCAGCAACCCTGGTGTATTCGGAACTCTCGGATCAGCAACAGGTATCGCATTACCACGTGCATCAATGGATATCAAGGACCGGCAAGTGAACTGCGGACTTGGAGGTAGAAGATGGAAACTCCCTCTTCCTTCTCTCATCATCACATCCGATAAAGTTACTCTGCCATACCTACAGCATACAGGAACAAAATGCTTGAGTAACTCTCATCCATGTGTTGATCGCAGCCAGAGCTCTATTGTGGGGGCCGAGAAACGTCCCCGGATTTGCCGTGAGATCTGCACAAAATCGAGGAGATCGACACTCGGTCTTCACCATTCATAGAATTGGAACAGCCCGACAGCCAGGTAGCTAGGGGTGTTTATTGGCTATGGGTTACCTCGATGAACTAATCTACGCCTCTATATCTGGGTTGTTGAAACACATGGATTTTAGCTCATGCTCTGCAATGCGCGTACGTGCATAGCTACGTGAGCTCCTACAACGATTCGCACTTGAGGTTGAGTTGAGATCGCACAACCCCAACGGCGCCTGTCATTCTGCTCTGCTGTGCGCTCTGTCACGTACTACCTGCCGAGTACCACGAGGCACTTGCACCATCGGACTATACAGCTGGCTATCGAGGTGTATGGAGACCACGCAAGCGCTCTCATACAAAATCATACCCGGCGTTAAGCTAAATCTTCATGTAGCCCGAGACCAAAATTACGTATAATCAATGACGACGAGTTTCTCCCCGAGATTATTCGAGTCAACGTGTAGAAAAGACACCTAGAGCGCGGAGCATCCCAATGCCAGATTTATCTAGCAAATGACGAATTCACGATGTGTCGTATAATCCCATAATACTTAATTCTTTCATGCAACAAACTTGGAGCATATTTCGACAAGCAGCACTGATAATTCAGAAGGAGAACAGAAATCCTATAGGTAGGCCGCAGCTTGGCCAACGGCAGGGTGCAGAAAATCGCGATATGTGTTACGCCAAGCCGGTGAAATACCTAGTGCAGAACGTCCACGACACAAACCAACAGCTGGCAAAAAAAGTTGAAGCAACATTCAAGGCCGGGTAGGCCTGTCTTACCTCCCGCAAATGGACACGAGAGGACAGGTCGCATCCAAACCAGAATATCACAGCTCTCAGCAGTATCACAGCATCACGACGCCGACACGGCGACGCCCCGTTGCGACCTGTCACGTAGGTCAAGATGAGTGAGGAGATGGATCTCCCGATAGTTCCCTTTCATCTATAATTCACATTATGCCGGTTCCCACTCGGCATACCTCATTCGTCAGACTGGATCGCCTTGCAGCAATCCCGCAGCGACGAGCACGCCTGGAATCTTCCCATATCACAATGCCGAGCCAATCTCAATCTCCCAGCGGCGTCCTTCTCTCCAGTGACGTTCTCCCCTAGCACCTCACCGTTGCTATTCGGGCGCGCAAACAAGGAAAAAAGCCTTTCTCTCTCGCCCCAAGGGTTTTTGTGACTCGGCGACAACTTACCGTCAAACCTATCACCCCCCCAGCACTGCGGGAGAAAGTATTCATCCAGCCAGCAAAATTCCCGAAGCAATTCCCCTACCCCTGAGGTTGTTAGCGCGAGAGACGTTGCACTCGCTTCCGGGCCGTTTTACCCACCGCAGCCGTTTCGACAGCCGCGTTAGCTGATCTTCTGGGTCGCCGACCGGGGAAAGATTTGCGGTTCCAGACGAAACCCCGAAAGCTTAGCTGCTTTGCTTCCCCCTTCTTTCTTCCTCGCCCCTTGCCAAACCCAACAGGCCACAACCACTTCTTCTTCCATCTGCGGCTTCCGTGCATAGCTCCTGCGGTACGGTTCTTCCTCGCCTTCGGTATGGAAATATATGATATACATGTATGCAGCGAGCATTTGGTGGCTCTCGGGCCAATCAGTGTGGCGGGACGGACCGCCGATCGGGAAGATAGTAGGGGAAAATAGGTCGCAAGCCATTTTCCAAGACACGCATCGCGTGCATCTAGCCACCGGTGGACGCCATCATCCATTGCCCGCTCACCAGTCACAGTCACGTCTGGGGTACGTACGTCTCTACGCGCGACGCCCTATGTGATTTTCCCATCTATACCCAAGATCATACAATGCCCTCTTCCCACGCACCAACGCTTTCGCCAACCAGAGCTCGAGGTAGGTACCAGGTAGGCAGGGAGGTTGCTGTGCCCTTTCATATATTTCTGCCGCGGGTGTCCACTACCACGCTCTCTGCCCCCTCGTTCGTTCCTTTTTCCTTGTCTCGACCCCGATCCCGCCCGCGGGGTGCGTCTTTGGGATGCGACGGTGACTTCCAGAGGCCGCGACCCCGCTGCCTACATAGCTATACCTCTCAACGACCACGTACCTACCTAGGCAACTACATGCTTTCGCAGCTTAGCTAGCCGGCTACCATAGGAATGGCCCGTCTCATCTCTACTTCCCGCTCCCACGGATGTTACCTGGTACCTATCGCCGCATCGCCAGGTTACAAATATGCCACTTTACTCCCCTATATTACCAGCCCATTCATCCCTCAGGAGGGTAGCAACTTGGGGATCTCTGCTACTCCTCCTCCCACGGTAAGTGGCGTGTTGAGAGGTTTCCTGCAGTCGCTAGCTCCCGGCGCCGTTTCCTATTTGCGGGCTTGTCCTCCTCGACCAGTTTTTTTTTTCCTGCGTTGCGTTACACGGCACGCTGCCTGCTTGGGGAGGGAAAGGCAAGCAGGCAAGCAAGCAAGCGGCAGGCAAGCGGCGGGCATTAGGTAAAGTAGACTTTAGCCTTTTTCTTTTTTGTGTCTGTGTCGAGTAGCCTAGATGCTGTCAGCCGCAAGACGCGGCCGCGGTCCGGTTTTTTTTTCTTTTAAGCTGGTTACCTTGCCTTCCTACCTACCGGTCTACATTGCTTAGGTAGCCTACCTACGTAATGCCATGGCACGGTGCTTTGATTGCTTGCCTTCCTGCGTGTTGTGAGCGAGTTTTAAGGAGGTAGGGGAGGAGACATCGAGAAGAATACAAGTAGGTAGGTACCGGAGGGAGGTGGTATGAATGTCAAACTTGACGCTACGGCGACGGCCTTTTTTTCGCTGGAACGAAGAAAAGTTTGCGAGTCGCGGCCCGTACGAGCTATTCTGGCCCAGGGACGGGGGAAGGGTGCGGATAGAAGTGGTCTGTCATACCAACCTAAGTGTTCGTGCAATGAGGTATTGATGTATGTATGTATACATTCATCTTACGTATAGGTAGGTAACGACGTTCAGCGTTACGGGACTAGGTAACCCGTCCCTCTCCCTGAGTGTGACTTTCCACCTGTTTTATCTACCTAAGTACCTGCATAACCTAGGAGGTACGTGCCCCGTTGTTTATCTGTCTGTAGGAGGCATCTATCAGCAAGCCAGTCAGCCAGTCAGCAAGCTAACCATCCAAGCCAAAAAAGGCTGAGATACGCTTATCTAGGTACCCACCGATCCTGACAATTATATCGACCGTTACCGCCACCGAAAAGCATCAAAAGGGGGGGGGGGGGGGGGGGGGGGGGTATGGGGGTGGGAGTGGGCACCAGACCCACGGGAGACCCCCCCGCCGCGGCGGGGGGGGGCGGGGGGGGGTGAAACCGATAGGTGGA